TTTCGTGTTAAAATGATGTGGGACTGCGGGCCTCCAACGGTGCTAGAGTCCGGATTTCAGGTCCAAGCGTTTTCTGGGGCCAAATATCCCAACTCAAAGCAGAAAGTGCTGTGCCGTGATAGTGGATCAGAGGGTGGCTGGCGAGATTGCGAGTTACGTTTGAAGGGTGTACGGAGTACTCCGTACGTGTGCTCATCTATATATTGGACCATACCCTTGATGTCATATGGATTAATTCCAGAAACATAGATCTCGTTTCATGATTAACAAGATGAGGCTTCTGAAACCATGCACATACCTTGTCCCTCGAAAGACCTTAATCCGAAAGTAGAAATGAGCTTCCTAGCGATAGCAAAAGGAGGACCCAATCGAACACGGCATAGAAAAAGTCTTGTTTCCTTTCAAGGAATAAGGATCTAAGAAGTTGGCAAAATAGCCAGGGGTATAACCAATGACCATGTGTATCAAGAAGCTCGAGATTGTCCCAGTCGCTGCCCGCAATTACTCCGACGCCCGGGCTTGGCAACCTGTCCCGAAGTGGCGCTTCAAACGAGTAGAGCGAATGAGACGGCAGAATAGCTCTGCGCCAACAAAACCCCGGCTTCTAGAGAGGGGAACCGTGCAGTGGGCGCATGATTTAGCCTCACGTTCGAACTTTCAAAGGGGGAATTGAAAGAGGTAAAGAGACAATAAAAAGCTCCATACAAGAAGAAAGTAAATGTAGATGGTAGAGAAAGAGAGACGTAGAAATAGAGTGGGATCATCTGACTGATGCCTGAGGCCAGATATCTAAACCTCATCTCCTCTCTCCACGGATTCTCCCAATGGCTTATCTGCACTCTAGTCATTCCTTTATTCTTTTGAGTCGTTTGATTCTTTAAATTTCCTTTAATCCCACAAAATCTTGCCTTTTCCCCTCATTTGCCTCTTTTCTTCTCTACTTTGCCTTGAAAGATTTTGTTTCGATCTCGGGTTCAGATGTCCCCTGCCAATGTGGTGTTAGACCCTCAACTCTTGCGTCGCGTGTGCCATTAGGCCATTGAAAATAATTGATTATCGTGTTTCCATCTGATTTCTTCTTTTTGCCTGGAAACAAACAACGTTGACTCCCAGGGTCTCCCCTCACCATGTTGCTCAAGCCTGCGACACCCCTCACCATCTTGCTCCTGATCGCTTTTGCGCTTTTGCTACTGTCATGTCTGTCAACTCCCATTGTTAAGGGAATTCCTCTAGCAACTTTCAAAGATGTCGATTATGGTGTCTTTGGATATTGCAAGGGTGATACCTGTACCAATATCCATGTGGGATACACAAGCAGTAAGTCTTTCCCCTGCGCTTCTGCCTGCTCTCCACTAAGTTTCATGCAGATGATATCAGTAGCACCGGCGATGATTTCAACCTCCCCTCCGGTACTCGAAAGTCGCTATCCTCGATCCTTATCATCCATCCAGTCGCCGCTTTCCTGACCCTCATCTGCCTCTGCCTGGCTATCGCGGCCCACTTCCATGCGCCCTCGCACTCGCCGCGCTTCCTTTTGGCGCTCCTCATCTTGTTGCTGCCAACACTACTCGTGACTCTCCTCGCATTCTTGGTCGATATTCTGCTCTTTGTGCCACATCTAGGATGGGGTGGTTGGATTGTGCTGGCCGCGACCATCATCCTGACCTCTTGCGGCGTGGTCACTTGTGCTATGCGCCGAACCCTTGTGAGCAGGAAGGCAAGGAAGCGCCGGATCGCAGAAAATGCCGAAATGAGCGGAGAGAATTATTACAACCGACAGAACGTCGCTGCGGCTGCGGTGGCGGCTCCTGTTCCAGCCCCTGTCGAACCCAAGGAAGCCTTTGTGTCTAACTCTCTCACCTCCGACACGGGCCCGACATTCGCATCCTTCCACACGGAAAGACAAGACAGTGATGATGATCGAACACCTCTCAATACGCGGACACCCATGAGCGATATCCCAGCACCTCCGGACCACCGGGGTGGCCCCCATCGCGCTCCGCAGGATGAATTTGGCAATATGCCGCCTCAGGGCCCCGGCCCGTACGGTGCTGGTCCAATGTCACGGAACCCCTCCGATCCACGGATTCGTCCCCAATATTCCGATGGTAGCATGGGTTCTCGAAGAGGAGGACCACCGCCTGGCTTCAATGGACGCGGGCGGGGTGGATATCCTCCCCGGGGTGGACGCGGAGGACCTTACATGGGACCTCCCCGCGGCCCTTCCAATGGTTCCCGGGGTGGCTACATGGGTCCGATGCCAGGCCGCGGAGGTCGCGGTGGGATGATGCCGCCTCGAGGACCACCAAGCGGCTATGGCCCCGGTCCTGGCGGTCCCAATCGTGGGTTTGACGCGTACGGTCGACCTGTGTCGCCTCCTATGGATGACCCATATAGTTATGGCCCACCGGGTCAGATGCGCCAACCATCCCCCGGGCCCATTGGCATGGCCATGTCACCGGAGACGGTAGGCCAAGCCATTGAGATGACTCCGCAAGCTCGGCAGCAGTACGATATGCATGAGTCGAATCAACCAATGAGCAGCGTACCACACGGGCTGTCAGCTGAAAACCACAGCGCCATCCCCGAAAGCCCAACAAGCATGTACAGCCGACCTGGGTAAGTCAAACTATTACAAGTACTGTCCCTAGATCAATCACTAACCTTCTATATTTAGCTCCTACGTTCCTGCTCGCTCGGGCTGGGGTACAAATGATCCTCGTACCGTGTCCCCGCGGCCACCGGGGCAACCCCTGCAATCTAACAACGCCGGTGCCAATTACTATGAAGACGTGGATCCCCGTTTCGCTCGTCGACCATCACCCCCCAATGACTCTGCGATCCCCTCCTCTCTGACGCCTGGAGCTACTCACTGTACGTACTCTCACAGACCACACCTCTTGGTGGAACCTCGCTGACTTACTCCTAGTTTAATGAAATTTATTGGCTTCTAAGTGTCAGCCATGCTCGACACAATCCTTCCTCTTGCTTTGCGATACCCTTTGCTTTTCTTCACTTCTCTGGCTAAACTTGGATTATATTATTTTTCTCCTCAATTTCATGGCACACTACGCCATTTTGGGGAACGGAGTTATGGTGTCTTTTTTTCTTGCCATTCCTCCATAAATGCTCTTTCTTGGAACGATAATTCGACCTTTCGTCTCGTCACCAAACATCCGCCACAAAATATAGGCTTTGAGAACGAGTGTTTTTCTTGATGCTGAATTGTACTCTGCCTGAACTCCGATGTATAGCAGCCGGCGAATACGATGTACAGAAACAGATTCTCAATTTCTGGCTTTACTCCAGATCAAAAGCACTGGATGCTGCTTTTGATTTTATTTCTTTTCTACTTTTTTTTTCTTCCACTGAGTGGACTCGCACTTCTATCCTACGCAAATCCACATACGTTTCTTTTCTCCGGTAAATCTGGCTTTTGACAATATTCAAACATAAATGATAATCCGTTCTTTGATCGGATCCCCTTGACTTCACGCTTTCACGGTTCATATTCTCTAAAACATGGCAATTCCACGTTGACTGGAGAGACTGGCAATGAGAGGCGCGTAGGCGTATGGAAATTTGGACTCGGTGTATGATTCTCTTTGCTTTTTGCATGGTTGCTCTGCAAGAATAGATGAGCTCGCCTGATAACTCTGAGTCTGAGTCCGAGTCGTAGACGTTGAAGCTTATCAGACTGCCTATTGCTGGATGCCGGGATTGGCCGAATTTCGTCCCTCGGCGCTTCAAGGCGCCGAAATTCACCAGGCTGTCACAGAATGAATCTCCAAGCAGAAGTGCGTTCGATAGCACCATATCACAGCTGCCTTGATCCGTTGAAGCAGTCAGACTATTTCAGTAATGTACCAAGCATCTAGTCAAGCTGGCAGAGTTCTCAGCTTCCCATCTTTTGCGAAATTTGACCAATCTGCTCCATACCACCCGTGTCAACGTCCGGCCATCCTGTTCATCGGACATCAGTCCAGAACCTGCATTCGTGGTTCCAATTCTCGAAGCATACCTAGCGCAGAATATTGGCATGGATAGGAGAGAGCAATTGTAAATTCCAACTGTGCGCATAATGCGAGATGCATCCTGGAAATTTCCCCCGCGAGCCTAGGGTAATCTCGTAGTGGTGTCATACTTGTGCAAGCTCCCGGTAGAGGCGGACTTGTCGTTCGTCACTTCTTTTTTGTCAGCTTTTTGTTCAATGCAGTTGATATCATAGCACAGAGAGGCTGTAACTCACAGGGCGAGCTATACTGAATATTCGGACTCCTGATCGCTGTCATATAGTGCATTCAATCTGGGCTGTCCTATGTGTGGCACTTTCCGAAGAAATGTAGGCTTTCTGATCCGAGGAAACCTTGACTGTGTAAGTTCCCCAAATTTGGCACAATGAGGATCTGATACCATGAAGTGATCATTGTAATGCAAAGGATGTTGTGGCCATGTGCCACAGCAAAGTCTCTTAGGGGGACATCAAGATCTTTCCACGAGAGCAAGTATATCACTAGCCGAGCGGTAGTGATGATTGGAAGTCAAGCAGCTATACAAAACGATTGCGCGGTCAGTGTTCTGATCCATCTCAAATTCCCGTCAAGAGGTGAAGGAACTTACCTCTGTTGGGTTTAGTCTCTTATTTGAATGTCAAATACGATGGAATATCACTGTGGTGGAAGTGATTGTATGAAGGTTGTCTGCATGTTCTTTGCCTCCCACATATGTGTCAAACAAAAGAAGGGAAAAATATATTCCGCACATCGATATTGTTGAGAAAAGTGGTTGCGTGCCTAGGAGATCAGGCCAAAACACAGTTCAAATAACTACATGTAGTTAGCTAACTAACTAGTTCGTTCTGGGAGTTCGTCATCTTTTCCACAACATAACCCCTCTCTCTGACCTTTGCCTTGCAGGGTCAACACATAATTCACCACCTAAGTTTTCCTTCCACCGTTCTCCCCGAAGAAAACCGAGAAATTGAATACAAGTGTCTTATAATGGCGACTCTCACCAACGCCGGCGATGGCCCTCTTCAGGTCCCTGGGTTTGGCTCAATTCCCCTGACTTTTGAACTTCCCCCGGAGGCCCGGTTTGCCCATGGGTTGGGGGAATATCGCCATTCACCTAGGTTGACCAAGCGCGAGATGGCTATGCTCCGACTCATGCAACATATCACGGAGCAGCTTGGGTGGGATCGTACGGTACTGGATTCGGATGAGACCAAGCTTGCGCAGTGGTACCAGGATGCTGTGGAAGGAACTGAAGGGTATCTTATCAGTACCGCTGCATGGAATTGGTGCCTCGCAGAGCTGCGTGATAAAGCGGAGGCATGGCAGGTAACGGGCCGTCTGTTGGTCTTTGATAGCTCCTCAGCCGTTTGTCAAGCTGATCTGCCAATGAAACTGTCACTGGAAGAGATCCAAAAGGAGGTAGCCCAACTGGGGCCACAGCAAGCCCACGGCTATCCGCTTGTTGATCCCTCTCTATATCCCCTGGTTTACGACCGGTCCCATGTATTAGTGCACGGCGGACATGGCTCTCTGGATAATTTATGGGGAATAGCTAGAGAAGTCACCAAAGAACTGCCGGTATATCCGGTCGACCAAGCGGAAAGGTGGCCGGGGGCTGATGCGTACTGGATGCCTGGAAAGATGGGAACGGAGAACTGCTGGTCGAATCGCTTCCAATGGCTTCCCTGCGAAGTGCAGTTCAGCTCAATGAGTTCTCAGACGCCCAATGACGGCCCCGATGTTCGGATTACCTCCTATGTAAACAATCTACATCCAGACCACCATACAAGACTGTACAAACACCTTGAACATGTAATCGCAGCTTCAGTTCCTTCTTGGAACGAGATTCTGTTCTACGGCAACACCCGTGGCCGCCACCCGCCACGGATTCTGACATATGGTTGCCAGATCCACAACTACATGGAAGAGCACAAGTTATTCAAAGACCTGTTATGGGCATCCACCTGGGCTGACTTGTTTGATACTTACGAAGAGTGGCAGGAGCTGTGTGCCGCTGCTCGCGAGTACAGCATAGGCCCCGAGCCACCTAAATGGAAGCAGGCGGATTTTGGCTGGCCCACCAAGCTACTAGAAGATATGACACCAGAGCAGTGGGACAATCCGGAACATGTTCGATGTCTCCTCGAGTCTAAGCGGAGGCGGAAGGCCTGGTTCGACCATCCCGAGCCGGGCGTCTCATTTTCGTATGAGCAATGGAAACAGGGTCAATTTACAGGGCGTGCGATACGCCCGCAGCGTTATGGAAAATTCCCGGATCCCCTGAATCATGATCATACCGCGGTACGACTGGAGCACACCTTTAAGGAGGACGGCCTCCAGGTGGTGGTGGAGATCAATCGCATCGAATTAACACCGGAGGATCCCGAGTATCCCGGAGATACTCATTTCCACACAGAGGGGCTGCGAAATGACCACATTGTGGCCACCAGTCTTTACGCGGCGGAAGCCAACAATGTAACTCAGGCCCGTGTGGCGTTCGAGCATGAGGATAAAGTCCACGCGAGCGAGCTCAACTGCGAAGAGGTCCCGGCAGCGCTATCGACTGTCCTAGATGTGGACTCCTGGGAAACACATGAGCAGCCGCCTCCGCGGGCACTACATACCTTTGGGTCAGTGCCGATTACAGAGGGGCGTCTTCTGAGCTGGCCTAATACTTATCGGTCGAAGCAAGAGTCATTTCGCTTAAGGGATCCTAGTCAGCCCGGAAATATGACCCTTATCAAGCTTCGTCTAGTGGATCCGCACTATCGTGTATGTTCCACGCGCAATGTACCTCCGCAGCAACATGACTGGTGGGCTCCTGCAGCGCGGCAGGCAGCGGATCTGGATAACCGCTTGCCCCCAGAATTGGTACTTTCTGTTATGAAGCAGGTAGACTGGTGGCCTATGTCTACAGTTGAAGCACAGCATCTGCGTGAAGAGTTGCATGGCGATCATGAGCGCGCGCGAACGGCCATTGATGAGTGTGTGGGGCACCATTTTCTAATATTTCCTCCTTACAATCCATGGAGGGCCAGGCAGCTGGCAGAAGAACATGATGTTGTGTACGAGTCTCCTTAATATCTTAAATTGAATATTTCATTTGCGCTACACGGCGCCCACAGAACCTATTACCATCCCAGGTACTTTGTACTCCCTTGCATCCTTCGTGAATATTTCGTCAGTGAGAGTGATGATATATGTGATCAGAGTGATCAGTGTAAACTGTGAAAACAAAATGAGCATTGCTATGTCAATTCATTCGAAACCCCGTAGAAGAATTCGAAAGAAACATACAACAGCAAGTACATTGCAAATTGGTCAGAGCAAGGGTTGTTGATATTGGGAATAACTCCCCGATATATATCGCGGTTCTGTCGGGTTCTCCATTATCAATTCTATCCCGGTCGTGACTCGCCCGAGATTTCTGTATCAAGCTCTCATTGTGGCATTCTTTTATTCATCGCTGAATCAATGTGAGTCTCCGGTGCTCTCTGCTTCTATATTTGTCACTGTCCATCGGCGTTGGGTCTTGCAAGGCATCGGGCCTGCTGCTCAAAATTATCTGCGAGACACAATCATACCCAGTTAGCTTTCTGTTTCTAAGTTTTGTAGTCCTTACCGGTATTGGTTTCAGGGGAGAAAGCTTGCGTCGATGGCTTGGTGGATATGTAGCCATCAAAGCTGGCGATCAGCTGCCGCTAAGTCAGTTGGTGAAAACACAGTCAAGCAAAAGAAGCAAGACTAAATGCGTCACCAATTTGGATCTATGCACAATGCCAATCCCCAGTTGTGACTTGAACAACATAAAGTTAAACGAACAGGCTTTCGTTGGTAAAGTTGACCGTTAGGACTTCTTATGCACAACGAACTCGATTCCAGAGAGTCGTGTCATATCTCAATTCCCTCCCTTACCACTCCCACAAACCGAGCATATTTACATCTAAATCTTCGCCATTCAGTAAATGGAGAATTTGCTGAATGAAACCCGCCAGTCGGGGTCCAAGAAATTCGTCAACCAGCGTGAGGTGCATCGACGAGAACATGTATGAGTTGCTAGCAATAAAATCGTACCAACGGATAATTTCCTGGAGTTCTCGTTGGATACGGGTGCACTCTTGATGTCGCCTGATAACTCTGAACCGAAGAAGGGCCAGCTCCTCCGACCCTTCGTTACTTGGAGCCTGAATTCGGTGGTTATGCGCCATTTCTTCTTTGTCAGCTTTATGTTGAGAACGTGCCGAAGATCGGAGAAGCGAAGAGGATTGTCTCACTGCTGTGAGCCCGAAGGACCGTTCTAATGATTGTCGATTGTGAAGGATGTGCGCCTGTAGAGGGTCTAGTGCTAGTTAGGCCTTTGGCTTCGTTTAAATCCTAGTCCCGGAGCAAGGGAAGTTACCTTTGGTAGAGTTGAAAGGCTGCGATAAATGATAGAGGATCTGCATGATCTACCACCAATGTGGTTCCATTGTTGTGCTGTGTAATGTCTTAGTTACTCTCTCACTACTCCCTTAGGCCCAGCACCTGACGGTCCGCCTGTTCCCCAGCCCATATATTACAAATCTGACCAACAAGAATCACCCGTGTCTCCTACAGGAATTGGTAGAGTGATACCGACTGCGAGGGTGAGAGGAGGTATCCATTGATTTCGACGAGTTTATAATATTGCGGAAGGTCCCAGGCCTGTCGCTCGAGTTGCACCTGGAGCTGCCGTCGTCGGGTTGCCCTGACCCATAAATGGGTTAGTTTCTTCAACTCGATCCGCCATTTCTTCTTTGTTAGCCTTATACTTGGAACGTATTTGGGAACGGAGAGCTGAGGGGTGTGTATCTTACGGATTCAGTCGGGGAAGACCTTTTTAACATGAATTGGTTGGGTGAGATTTAATCGCTGAATCGATTAATGCTGGTTAGTCCTTTGTCCTCTCCAAAATTCTAGACATAAGACGAGCTATCTTACCTTGTTGGGAGTTGCGATGTTGGAGTAAATTAAACTTGTGATTGTTGAAGAAGGCAAGAGAAGAGGTATTGAGAACCGTATTGTATAGTAGTCAAGGCCTGCGTCTTCATGCGGAAGGTGCGACTTTCACCTTCAAACGGAAAAAAACAAGCTCAGTGGAGCAAACTAAGGGATACCTGGTGATGGCTAACAGTCCCCCTTTATGGGTTCAAGTTCAATGCCACTGCTGGAGCATATATCAGGTGAAGTATAATAGTATGATTAATGAAGAAGGTTTATTGCAAGGCGGACTTATAGAAGAGTAAGAGCAAAGTAAGATTTAGGGAGATGGCGATAAGGTTATAAGGGGTCTTGGTGACAATAGAATGAGGCCCACGCATGGAAGTGATACAGGTGAGATAGAATCAAGTTCTGGGTTGGACTCACGTATAAGGCCAATCCTACAGCGCTACTTATAGAAAGAAAAGCCGGAAGAACAGATTCTGATTGGTCAAGTTTCCCTAAACAAAATATGGATTCTTCGTCCCCAAATGGTGCAATGAGATACAAAGTAAAGCTGATAATTGTTGTCTTTCTTTTAGTCTTGCCACGTATCAAGTAAATAGACTTCGGAGGCTTCCTCGGCTCGTAGGTCATTGATCTCGTTCATGAGTTCGGCCCATCTGTTCGAGAGAAATTCGTCAAGTGCCACGAAGTGGATGTCTGTAAACAAGATAGGGTGATCGGCAATAAATCCATAGTATCCGAGGATCTCTTCCAGGTGGCGGAGAATTTGTGCGCATGCTCGGGCGCGTCGAAGTACCCTAAGACGGAGCTGGGTCAAATCCTCAAGTTCGTCATTCGTAAGTGACTCAATTGGTTGAGTATCCGCCATGTCTCTCTTATCAGCTTTGCGTTTAGAATGCGGTTAGGAGCGGAGAAGCAAGGGATCAAGCTCACTAGTGAAAGGCATAAGATTTGGAAGGGTAGCGTCGAATACTTGTGAGCGATAGGGTTTTTATAACCAGTATACTATTCCTCCTGGTTAGCTATTTTATATCGCAAATTGTAGTCATGTAGATTTGAAGGGATACTGGGAAGGTCTGCATGGACAGTAAGCGGAGGCGTTGGAGATGGTAAGAGGAAAGAGTGCTGGGGAGGATGTCAAATAAAATCGAGGTGCTACGACTTCACTCAAAGGTTAGAAGGTACGATTTTCATCTTTGGAAGGGAAACAGCAACCCTGGCTAAACAAGATTATTAAACCTGTTCTTTCAATATGGTGAAGGATCGACCCCATTGACAGCACGATAGATCCAGGAGTAGTTCGAATAATTAAATATACATATACAGAATGTCATGATGGGCCGTAAAGTGAGCTCGGATGGAGGACTAAATTGGGGATAGTATCAACAAAGTGTAAGAGCCAGATGATAGTGGACGATGCTTACATATTTATCAAAGGTCTTAATGGTTTATATAAAGCTGAGTTAGCATATTAGCCTTTTGGATGAATTAAGTATCGTCTGGGAGTTTAATCAGTTTTTGAACATATCACTGTATGCGTGATAAAAGAGAAATATTGCAGTGTGGTTTCAGTTTTAAGGTGTCCCATCCACGGTTCAGCTTTGGAAAAAACTTCCCTATCTCCATCCAAATCACTTCTTCAATGCGAGAATCATGAATCTCCTCCTCTAGCATGTCATTCATATCCTCTAACAGGATTTACAAGCGTTGTTCCATAGTGTCGAGTACTTTTGCCATGGGGAGCTGGTCGGTAGCATATCTTCGCTGTATCATCATCTGGATCGCCTCCATGAGAAAGCAGGCCTCTTCATAAATTGCCACGCGCGCTTCCAACCGTTTCTCGGCGTGGGATCGAATTGTGCTGAGCATCTCTAGATTCTCAGGATCGAGCGTTGCGATAGGATGATGGTGGCTCACTTTGTGCTTGTTAGCCTTGTGCTTTTGGAAAATACAGAATGGGTTGGGTGATAATTGACTTGCGTCTATCAACAACCAGTACTAGTTAGCGTTTTATCACCTCGCAAGCCCTGATATGAGATGAGGGAAGGACCTTACATTTGACCAGATAGGTGTAAAGTTGGGGCACAGGAGTGGGTGCGATTATAGGAAACGTAAGAAGTAAGAGGGATGATGTTGATTAAGAATCGAGGAAGTACGTCTTCATATGTGACAAAGGTGCAAAGACTTGATAAGCCTGAGTTTGATAAGCCTTTTAAAATACCTAGGTAGATTTTGATATCTCAATCAGTCTTGCAACGCATGCGTAACAACGTGGACATATTGGAACATTTCTCATTTTGTTACCTCGCTCTAATTTTCCCAGAGACCCATCATCTCTTCGTCACGTTCTTCGCTGGCCCGCGATAGATCCAACACATGTAGTAACGCGATCCCGCTTTGGTGGAGCAACTCTTGTGCTCACTCGAGGTATGCGGGGGGGAGTAGATACTAGTTTAGGTGAAGAAGGAAATTATGGTAGTCCAAAATTTCTTGGGCCTTGTGTACAATTAATGCACGGTAACGGGCTCGCTGGATCCCGCGGACCCGTAGCCGGGTCAGCTTTTCTAATTCCTTATCAGTTGGTGCCTGGATAGGGCGGTTTTCCACCATGACTTTGCTTGTTAGCTTTGTGCGTCAAACGTAGGTAGGTATGAGAAATCGAGGGATTGTATCTCACTGATATCACAGATGGAATTTAGGATATGAAAACTCAAATTGTCTACTGATAGAAGCTATCAGCCTGTCAACAACTAGTATGAGTCAGCCTTTTGTTCCACCGTAACACCTGGTATGAGGCGGGGGATTCTACCTTTGATGGGAGGTAATAGTTGCGATAAAGAGGAAATGTGATTGTTGTAGAAGCCAGGGGAAGAAGATTAGGGAGGACCTTCAATAGTGATTGAGATACTGGGTCTTGACGCCAATGGTGCGACCATCCCCTTCAAAACAGCAAGAAGTCACTAAGCTAGCCAAGCTTAACTAACTATTTCCCAGTAATGGTAGCAGCGTACTAACATGCCAAATACATTTATATATATGTAGGTTTGTGTATATGAAGTCGTCATTGATAGCAAAGTGAGATAGGTGTAAGAGCAAAGTCAGAATTGATATCTTCCTCCCTTTATAGAAAATGTTCACCAACGCAATGCAAACCTTATCCTTTTACAAGAAACGGAGCCTGAGGCCACAACACATGTGAGTTTGCTTTTAAGTTACGCGTTGGGCTATTCAACTTCAGGACAGCTGCAGCACAAGAAAATGAGAGCCCATAAGCATCAGCTCTTTCCTAGAGACAACAAGAGAAGCTAGAGGTAAATCAATCTCCGCTTGGATCTTTTGGTCGATATAAAGGCTAGGGCCATTAATCTACGGGTAGGTAAAGAAAAATAGATTCGTGAACCCATACGTCCATAGTCATGAGGGCAAAGAGAAGAGTGATCAAAATTGATCCATGCAGCTAGGGATTGTCCTGCACAGCAACCAAGCTTTCAACGGCCTGGTTGATTTTTGGCATGCTTAACTGAGAGCAAGAGCCTAGGGTAGATGGTGTGTCTGGAAAACTCTTGTAATGCGTGGAGGAGAGAAGAGATACTATGTACAGGAGAGGACTTGATATGGTGGGAGCAAACAGAGAGATCACATTATCTCTCTGACATTAACCAATCTGGCTCCAGATCTGCAACGCCTCTGCATGGTTCTGTCTGTCGTAAACCTCCAGCCGACTCAACCGTCTGCATCAATTCTCCAAATCTCGCTCCAGCCTTGGGAGACGCCATGGTCTATTGGCGGACAACACGGCTCTTTTGGCCTCCTTAATGTTGGCCAGCTGCCCCTCAGTTTCTCTGCGCCTGTGAACTCGTTTGTGTGTATCCTCTGTTAGCTGCGATAGCCTTTCGAGCTGTGCGTTGTTAGGTGATGGAATAGGCTGAGGCTTGTCGGCCACTTTATGCTCGTTAGACTTTGGTTCAAACGGTTGTAAGGAATGAGGCTGATCTCCCTGATTTCTTTGCCTTGAATGAGTTGCGTCTGAAAGTTTGAGCAGAGTTGATGATGTTTAAGCTGAAAAGTAGAGGGTTTTGGTTACCTTATTGTTTCGTCAGAAGTGTTCGTCATGGGTATAGGGGTCATACTGTTGGTGTGTGACATTAAGATTATAGTAGGTAAGCAATGTGACTGTTGAAGAAGTGAAAGGGAAATCGGCTCGGTATCCTCTTAAAAAGGAATTTGGGGCTGATATATTCGTAGGGCTTTTTAGCAATTATATACGAAAGAGGCTTGCCTACGAGGTAAGAAGGAGAATAATTGGGGAGATATTAAGCTCCAATATATAATCCATGAGAGGTGATTGATGGAGGGTTGGTGTTTGATATGAAACTCAGTGAGAAGTGAACATGATGAAAGGTAAGAGCAAAGAGAGGGTTGGGACACTTTGTATTTATTAGCTTTGTGTTTTAAATGCGGTCTGAAATTAGGCTCATCTCACTGACCTTTGTTTCCAGTCGGTAAGGTTGATCTGTAAATTGGGGTTGTTGAAGAAGGCAAAGAGGAAGGAGCTTAGAGGGGGTCTTAAATAGCAATCGAGAGGCCATCTCGTAAATCTCTATAGCAATCATATCGTATAAAAAAAGGGTCCATATTCGCAAGCATGATGCAAGTGGCCCTGTTACAAGACAATTCCAGTGTTATAAGATACTCCATAAGCGGTGGAGAGCATTAAACTTGAAGCTCTACTAATATATGGATAAAGATAGCTCATGAATATATAGTACCTTTTGTCAGCATACTAATACACAGGCTAAGGCAATCTCTGGCGGACAAACTTGCCCTATCCTATGTCCTATTTCCACTATGCCTAACGAACCTCATTCCAGATGTGGCACTCCAATTTAATTTAGCATCATTTTTTTCCTCAGCAGCTAGCCGAGGCAGCTCTGATCCGAGCAGAAGATTGCCCCGTTCCTAATTCCCGCCTACAATATGTCTAGACTTGGTCCCAAATTTGACACTCAAGTTGTGCGTCGTTCTCTTCTTCCACAGTCAGTCGACGCAACTCTCGACGCAGCAGGCGGTTCAATCCCAGCTTCACGAGCAGTAGTGAATTTGGGTGAATCCAATAATACGTTGCGGTTGCGACAATGGCACCGTCATCGTAGCTGTTGACGCGCGACATCGCTTCCACGAGGTCCTCGAGAGACTGGGCCCGCTGGGTAACTCTAACACGAAGCTCAGTCAGATCCTGGAGCTGCTTGTCGCTCAATGACGGAATGGGTCGCGGATGAGCCACTTTGAGCCTGTTAGCTTTATGTGTGGAAAGCGGTTGGAGAGGGGGTAATCTCACTAGCCTGATGTTATGTATGGAGGGATCCCGTGTTGTGTTTGTAATTTCGTGAATCAGGTTTGACCTATAAAGCAAGCCTTGGTTAGCTCGTCAACTCGGCAAACATTGGTGGGCTAAATGGTCATACCTTATGTGGTTGGTATTTAGGTAGGGGGACAATGAAATCTTGTAGAAGGTAAGAGAAAGGCAGAAGGGGGAGCCTAAATACCAATCGACAGACTACCTCTCGGCGAGGAAAGTGCGACTATCACCTCCAGATTGGAAAGAGCGGCACAAAGCGCACCCTCTGATGAATATCCTCATATACGAGGCCGTCTGTGTAAACTTCTGATTGCTAGTTATAAATAATATATATGAGATGTCTTCAATGAAATCATGAAATATAACTGATGGGTGTCTCAAGGAAAAGTAAGAGCAAAGTGAGATTTGTTGATACCTAGCTGGATTGGGGAGATATGGCGAAGATTCAAAAGGCCAATGTGAGCCTGATAGAATAGGGTATTGACCGCCTAATGCATCTAAACATACCAGTTTCAGATGGTCGGGGTGATTGGAGAGTGTGCACTATAGCAGTAGAAAAACCAAAGGATAGTCAATACTTCTTTTGATGGATTGAGAAACACGAACTGGGGATTTCATCTACAAATATAAGCCAAAAGCATATGAATAGACAATCTTAGCGCGATATCATTAGTCCTAGGTTGAAGTTTCGGTACCCTTCCCCGAGCAGTAAAACTAAAGGAGTCAGCCGTACTAGTACATGCAGAGTGCCAATTTTAATCTCAAATTGATGCCGTCTGGTTAATTCAAGAGCTACTAGAATTTCCGCGGGTCGTTTATCTGTCAGGCGCATAAAGAAAGAGAGAGAAGGCTGGCGGCCATATGGTTCTTTGGCCTTGATTGGAAGTGACCAAGGTTCATCCACTTCACCCCATTTGGACTCTGGGCCAATGTTCCCAACTGCTTGAGGCTAGGTTCAGCCGGTAGCCATTACGGGATGCCTTGGTATCGAGAGTCATTGCAGTCTAGGACGAGGTTGTAGAGTCTGAGGACTAGACGCGCTGCGATGTGATTTGTTTTTGTTGGCCGGAGAGGTTGAGTGACAAGCTTGCTGATAGGATATTAGTGAGATGACTTGTTTTAGTGGAGGCGTATTTGTACACTCACATGGGGCAGTGTGAAAATCCTTTTAAGGGTCATTCTTTCGGCATGTAGGGTGTCTGAACGGCAGAGTAGGACTTTCAGATGATGAGACACTGAAGCTACAGGTCAGATTTGATGGAAGCAGGACAGTGGGATGATAATAGACGTGAATAGTGAATCCAGGGATACTTGACTACATGTAGGTGTAAATTGGACCCGGGGCGTGGACCTGTCCGCTCCCCAATGAGTTATCCAGGGGTTGTATGGTGTCACTGTACGGTAACCTAAAAAAGCTGGAACCGCAGAAACGATACAGTTGCTGACAATAGAGTGACGAGGCCTTGAGGTCTACCTAGGTAGGTAGCTCTGGGGAATTTACATAATACGCGAAAGACCCATGCTTTTACTTAAAGGCGACATCTGAACTACAGAAATGATGTTGGTATAGTGATGTCGGGTGCCTGCATATTTAAGTGGGGCACCCGGGAACACTAGCAAAATTAAGCTTTTTAAAAATAAGTACATACGTACATACATACTGCTACGTACTACTAGTACAAGTTTCCAAACGTCCAATTTACACAGAGTATAGCAAAATCCAGCGCAGTAATGTTCTGAAGTGTCATCCTGCTTATTACAGAGAGGGGCCATGGATATGTCTAGACTATTATGCAAACAATTTGACTGATCATCGAACATATTGTACATCATGGCTTGTAGGTCAGGATTGGGGTACGAATCAAACACTCCTGTTGTGCAAATAATGAGAACGGGAAGGAGCAGGATGAGTACATTAGCAGATGCTATTGAAGACCCACTGAGCTGACCAAATATCGACATCCTCCTGGGCTCGCAACCCAACTGTCTCATAGAGGAGTCCTCGCATACGCTGTTCCAATATCTGGAGAATTTGGGGAATAGTGTGAAACTGGTTGCAAGATTCGTCGGTGTACATGTTGATCAAGGCTGCACTCATGGCGATGATCATGTTGGCCTCGTATATCATTCTCCTCCGAGCATTTGCTCGTTGAGTGTCTCGAATTTGTGTCTGCCTCAGCATCTCTAGATGCTGGCCACTGAGTGGCGGGGTATACTGATTGTTGGCCACCCAGTCCTAGTTAGCTTTAGGTTTCAAGGCGGTTGGCAATCGGGTATTGGGTATATCTCACTTGTACCTCAGTGTGATTCGGTTGCAAATGACGTGGGGTAGGTTGAGAGATTCGACCTGTAAAATCGTCAGTCACACTTAAGTCGTTGATCGTTTTATCGCAAGTCCTGGTTAAAGGCCAAGGGGTCATACCCACCGTCGGTGTCACTGCGAAGTGAGAGCAAGAAAAGCGTAGAAGTGCGAGATGCTGGGAGAAAGCAAAGTGAAGATGGTTAGAAGGTAACTCAAATCCCGCTTTCTAGAAGGCTAAAAAGGAAATCCTGGATAAATGAGATAGGGGAGTGCGATTGCAACCCCAAGAAGGCAAGCCTGAGGTTGGAGAATCCAAATAACCACAAATAAGCCTCCACGGATGTTGTATGACCTTCATGCTACCTAGGTGGACACCTGAGACAGAGTTATATAGTAAAGTAATTGATGGCAAATTCAGATTAGACAGAAGCCGGAGAGGAAGATCTCCCGGCAGTGAAGTAAGATTACCTTGAAATCTGATGATTCCTTGCCAGTTGGTGGCTATATATGCAAAGGGCGCTCAAAATAGATGATGGTTTGTATCTAGCTAACTTAGATGGATATAAAATTCTTCTTTCCGAGTGAATTCATAGTACACGTGCGGTTGGCCGAGCATAATCCATTCTGATTACGATCGACGTAGAAACTACTCAATATCATACTAAGAAAAGATAAGCACATATACTCAAATCTCATTATGATCTATTCACCATTATTCAAGCTGCTATGGATATAGTTGGCACAGCGGATGCTGCTCTCAGATCCCTTGTCACAAAGCCGGATGATCTTCCACTTGAACTCGTGGATCACGTCGGTCGGGATCCCCCTAGGAGTTGAGGGCAATTCGTCTGAGACAAAGCTGACCTGGTCTCGCACTTTGTCCCGTTTAACCCGGAATCGAGGAGCTGCGTCTTGCAAGAACCAAGCCAATTCCTTTCGTGTGGCTTCAGAGCGAGCTAATAGCTACGCGAGCGGCAACGTGACACATGTTTTTTTCAATACTTTGGCAATTGAAAAACGTTCTCCGTCAGATCCAATAGCTCGGATCGGGCCCGGTACTTTGGGTGGTTCGGCGCCAATCTGGACCCTCTCCTTACGATAGGTCTCCGTGATGGTTTCATGGGATGGATGCATTCCCGTCGGGTCGACGGTCTGCTCGTGGGTGACATATTCTCTTCTGGTTGTGGAGGGACCTGGAGTCGCACTACGTCGAGTCGTGGACTGCGTGGCCTCGGTATCCATGCGCTCCCATGACTGGAAGTTCTGACTCAAGTCACAGTTGAACCCGAAAGTTAGGCTTTGCTGAACTCCTGACAGATTGTAATGTGGTAGCACAATTTGTACTTTGCCGTTGCCTTTGGCTGCTTTGTCCGCGCACTGTATGTGGTAACAGTCGATCTCGGTCATGCGCTCTAGCTTGATTTTGGTTCCCCGCTTGGTGTCGCCGAGCTGAATTGTCGCGTGATAGTGGTCTTATGAATAACTTCTTCAATGGGCTTGACACGTCCAAAGATGGGTATACTGTGTAATGTTTAAAGTATCTAGAGAATAACCTCCATATTAGTGCTGGGGATTAGGGTCTTGTAATGAAGAGACAAACGTCCTGAGGTTTCTTGTGGCCTTATGGAAGTCCTAGGGACAACAACGTGTTTACTAATGGCGGAGAAAGCGAAGTGTATTCAAATCTCCTTAGATGTGTTGTGCTACTGAGCCTTACAACATAAATCCAAGGATCAATGGCATTGGAGAGCTATTTATGTTTGATTTCTTTGTGTTGTAACATTAGTGGAGGGTACAATTCATCCGAGCCTGACTACCTAAGATTCCCCTGTCTCCATCCAGATAGCTTCTTTCATTCGGGAATCATGAATCTGCTCCTCGAGCAGGTCATTCATCTTATCGAGCAGGATCTCCATGCGCTGTTGTATGGCGTTGAGTGCGTTTGGCATGGGCAGCTGTCGAGTAGCATATGCTCGCTCTATGACCATCTGGGCCATCTCCATGAGGAAACAGCCTTCATGATAAATCGCCGTGCACGTTTCCAACCGCTCATCGATATGGGACCGAACCGTGCTGAGCATCTCTAGATGCTTGGTCCCGATGGTTGCGATGGGGTGATTCTGGCTCACTTCATGCTTATTAGCCTTTATTTCAGCGTGATGAAAACGAAAGATAAAGCGAAGGGGATCTGTCTCACTTTTCAGGGCGCTCAGCACGACTCCGGGTTGGGTAATTAGATGATACAAGATAATGTAACTGAGCATCAACCTGTACAACTGGAGGGTATCATTAGTTCCTTATTGATGTTGTCATAGATGTTGTGATTTCGCCAGCAGATGGTACCTTGTAAGGTCTTAGATTGGAATAAAAGCTTGAAAGCTTGAAAGCTTGAAAACTTGGAAGAAAGAGGGAGGAAAATAGAGAGTAAGCTCTGGTTGATAGCAAAATAATGTCCAACGAAGATGAGGCCCAGGACGATTTCTATGAAAAGTGAGAGAAAAATCACTTTTGAAGGGGCTCGACACTATTACGTGTGTAGTAATTAGAGGACGTCGTTATGAGCTTCAACTAAAATGAGAAATATTCGTTAGCTCTTTATGTATGTTGTTGTAGTCATTATTTACTTGACGGGATCATGCCGTTTAAGGTTGTAGACCTGGAGAGAAGTTTGGAACCGTCGAAGTGTGGAGGAAGGAAGAAGAAAGGGGAAGAGAGGGTTACCAGAGAGCATGTAAATAGCTCGGACTTTGCTACGAGAAAGTGCGTATTCACAAGGAAGGCGTGAAAATCACCTGACGAAGGATAGCCCAAGCGAGGTAAAGACCAACCTCGTGAGGGACAATATGAACGGGAAGTGAGAATAATGTGAATGTCCATGTAGATATGTAACGATCGTTCAATAAAATTTCAAAAATGCTATGTGATCCTTTGTGGTGGCTTGATGACAGCATGGTGTGGTTATTAATTCTAGAAACTGAATAGCAATACGGTCTATTTGGGCCGAAAGTACTACTGACCAAAATAAAAGCATAAATGAAGAGAATTCGGGGCACCCCGGTCCCTACCGGCGGCTACTAGGAAGGTTCTTGTTGGAAATCCCCATGTTCTTATTGCTGTATTGTCTGTAGCCGCCGAATGTCACACAATGTGCACTTTGACGATTAAGCATCTATATATCAGAAGCAGGTTGTATAAAATATTACGCTGACGCTTCGCCAACCTTATCCCCCATTACTTCTCCAATACGGCTATCATGGACCTCTTGGGCCCTAGCACATCCATTTCTTCGACTAGGACCTGCATACGTAGGTCCGTAGCTCATAGCATATTCAAGAGTAAGGATCTGTTGTGGATATGCCAGGCTGGGTATAGGCAGCACCCCATTCATGATACAATGAATGACCCTTCTCGAGGACATAAGCGCAACCTTTTAATTGGTATTAGCTGCGGGATTGAGTTGTCCTAAGCATGTATTTGGATTCGCTGCTCGGGCGACCGTGGGGTGGTATTGACACAGCCCTACTGTTGATTATCGCCCTGGACTATCATAATCGCAGCCATACCCATAATACATCAAACTTCTCCCAAGCTCTCAGAGGCATCGTCCTCTCTTGCTGCGCGATGGGGATCAATCTGCTCGAGCATCCATAGATGGTCATCGTCGATGGCAGGGATTGGGTTGCTTGCCATATGAAAATGATATTTGACAAAGTGCTAGTGAAGGATGATATGAGCAAGAAATAAGGATAAAGTGAGATTTGATGATGTCTAAGCATAGGACCATCTAATAAAGAATGGGACTAGCATGTTCTACTTCTTCAAGGTGAGCGTACTATATATATATGAATCAGGATCATCATTGGTATCTAATCTTACAGGCCACTGGGAGCTTTCTTGCGGGAAACATTGTTCTGATTGTTGTCTTTTTTTGCGTATGTTTATCTTCCTTAGTATTTCTCCCTAGTCTACGGCCATATCCGCCTACATCTCGCCGGTCTCGTACCAAATCGCCTCCTCAAGTGGGCATCGGGGACATCTTCCCCCTAGAGGTCATAGGCTTTCTGCAGCAATTCGCGCACCAGGCGCCCCAGGACGGGCAGGATACTACCCATAAGAACCTCATGTGTACTAGGATATTAGGAAGTATGCTGTTGGAAATCTTCGTATTCTGCCTCCTAGTTGTGTGCGTACGTCGAGCCTGGGTGGTATTGCATACCCCTGTCTGGTCACACCCAGTTAGATATCGGTGGTCTCCTCCCAGATAACTTGTTCAATATGACTATCGAGGATCTCTTCCATTCGGAGATTGCACAGTTCCTGAACCAAGGTCCGCATCCGACTTTCCAAAGCGTGCAGGGTATTTTCCATGAGCATGTAGTTTTGGTTCGGCCGGCCGAGAATGTGTTGCACAGCTTGCAGTATTGCAAACGCCTCCTCGAAGTTTTCAGTACGCGCTGCTGCTCGCCTGTCGGCTTGGGATCGAGTTGCTGTGAGCGTCTCGAGATGCTCGTCCGAGATGCTCGGCAATTGCTGATTAGTTGGCAATTTGTGCCTGTCAGCCTGGGATGGAACATCAATGGAAGGGGGTGTATCTTACTACTGGAGGTGTCCGATGGGGACATAGATCTCGTATTCGTCGTTTGTAGAGTGTTATTGAAAGGTTTCACCTGTCAAGCAAAGTGTGTCTCGTTAGCTTCTCGTGTTGTCGTTGAGCTTGCTAATGCACGAATGGATTTCACCTGGTAAGTCGAGGGAGTTGTACGGGCATGGATCAAGTGCGAACGGTGGGAAAAAGAAGAAAGGAGAACGAAGAGAAGACTAAGAAGGGGCGCTTTAAGTAGAAATTACTACGAGAAAGCGCACCTTCGCGGGGAAGGGACGACGCGAACTTCCAGCACATTGGAAGGAGAAAGCAACCCCCCTAGCATCTTGATACATTCAAGGCGATGTAACAATTTGTATATTGTGATATCATATATACATCTAGAGAGTGACCGATGAGTGATAGTAAAATGAAATTGGATAGAGGGCTTGTACAGAAAGATCTCAACGAGATGTGAGAAGGAAGTAAACTTGACAATCCTTATTTACAGGCTGTTCGTAAATATCACCATCAGAATTGGAGTAAGTGGGTATTTGATGTACCTTGGGCGGTCAGACATGATGTTACAAACAACAATGAGAACGACGTGTGGATCGGATAAACGGACGTCAGCCGGTTGTGGGCTAAATGACCAGCGGTTGTCTAATTCTACGTTGCTTTAATCAGTAAGGGACATGTGAGCAGCCATAGGCGTAGCGGTTAAGTGTGACAATCTGATCGTGTGTGGCCAAACTTGCTGTAGGTATGTATTCGGCATCAACATCATCCGTTCAGCTTGACTTTGAGTCCCCAGCAGAACTAGTCACTGTAAAAACCCGCAGGCAAGCCTTCAGCCGCCAAAGCTTGCCATGGGTCGACAATTTTCCCCGCCAACAGTCCGACTCCCCTAGAAGTTGAGGAACCGGGAGGAGTTAGACTAGCTCAAGAGCAGACCAATGCCGCGGGAGGGACACCACATACATGACCTTAGCGATGGCCAAAGGTAGTGCATATTGGTGGTGGATGTGTGTAGATCCACGGAATTAAGTCAACATAGGTTTGAACGAGTCTGTTGGACTTCACAACGTGCTTGGACAGGTAATCTAGCAAGTCCTCGGCACCGGTACATGGGGCGATGTGAATATTACCTAAGCACACAAGGCGCATGAAAGGACGCTACTAATTCAGTTGCGCAACGCTCCTCTTTATTCATTTGACCCATGTTGATAAAACGGCTTGTCCGCACTAATTTCCCATATTCCCCATGTAGATCTAGATCTCGTTCACGACAAAGCGTTCCGCTTCCTGTTCGGCCCAGAGGCGAATAATTTCCCGGAGGACTCGCATCCGCTCCTCCAATTTATAAAGGAGCTGTGGCGGGGGGTACTCGGAGGAATCGGCCGCAGCTTCGATCCAGTTTCCGAGAGATTGAATGATGAGATAGGCTTCGTCTGGGAGACACCGATGCGCGAGAGCGTGGTCTTAGCGTGGTCTTCCACCAACCCGGAGCCGAGTCAGGAGCTCCAGGTGCTTTTCCATCGCGGCGGCGATGCGCTAGCGATAGTCCACTTTTTCTTGTTAGCTTTGTGTTTCACGCGGCTCGGCATAAACCACGAATAGGAAGAAGCATATGTCACTTGCACGACTAGGACATTCCGGCCAGTTCATTTGTGATTTGATATTATGGTAGGGAATGCGAGAGTAGTGAAATAAGAAATAAGACAAGATTACTAAGAAGTTGGTTGAATAGGGATTCGTGCATAGGAGACAAGTCAGGTTTTTGTGAGTAAGATGGTATATATTAGTATCACCTCACCTTTAGAACCTTTGAAGGAACGTCCAGGGGTGGTAAAGCCTAGCCAGTGCTTGCGTAGTAGCAATAGCCACAAACCTATCTTCTTGAGAGCTTTAGACCTACCTAGGTAGGTATGTATACCGGTAGAATATAACAAGTAAGAAATAGTTGATAGCAAAACAATATTTGGTAGAGGAGAAATAGAAGAATGATCTCAACATAAAGTAAGAACAAAGTGGAAGTAAGGACAAAATGCTATGTTGGTCGCCATGCCCCTTCCCAGATCAGTGAGCGGTCAAACTTCGCTTCTTCATAAGTACGCCGCATCTCATCTAGGAGGGCTGCAATGCGCCGCTCCAATTCGATACGTAGGTGCCCCCGGGTGTGTTCAGACAGCTCAGTTCTTGCTTCCATATATCGTTCAAGCCAGTCAAACAAGTCATACGCATCTTGGAAAACACGACGACGGGCGAGTACGCATAAAATCTTCCCGGATGCGCAACTGGGTGCGAAGGTCCAGCTACCGGTTGCCCTGGGTGGGGAGGGGCCCATGATTGGTTACTGCTGCTTGTTAGCTTTGTGTTTAGCGGGGATAGGAACAAAGTATGAAGGGCAAAAGTGTATCTCACTGTTGTTTAAAGTGTTGAAACCTCAGTGAATTATTGCGGGGTGCGTTTTAGAGGACGTAAAATGGCTAAGCCGAAAATATAATCTTCGTTAGCTTCTTGTTTTGCGGTAGATTTTGATGCTGGGGCAAAGTGCCGTACCTCGGTTGAAATTGTCTTTTGGCAATTGATGCGAGAATACTGAAGAGGAAGAAGGAAGAAGAAGAAGATATATTTATTTGGATCACGTTAGATAGTAATTCCCCCAGGCTGACGAGGGAACGAGAGTTTTTACAAGGAAGGTGCGACTGTCCCCTTGAGGAAAGACCAAGATTAGTGGAGCTCAACCACTACCCGCGAACAATTTCAACAATATTATTAGGACCTCGATACCTTCAACCAACACTCAGTATACTGCTACAATATATACAGAGTCAGCTATAAGTGGTAGCAATGTGATATATGATAGAGGCCTGGTGAGGTGAGATCTCAACGAGAAGTGAACAAGGTCCCAGGGGAATGCAGTGTCACCCAGTAGGACAAAGGCTAAATAGGAATTGACTCCATAGAGCCTGATCGGTAATTCTACCAATAGAAAGTAAAGATACATGAATAAAGAGCATTGTTATCATATAAGGCTCTCTGTGCTGCTATATATTCTGGCCTTAAAAACTTTGTGTGTTGAAATAGTTTGCGGTCCCAATATATTTCATTCTTGGCCCTAGTGTCAGTGTTCAATTTACCCAGGTTACCGTTTTCTATTTTAGACTGAATCGGTCTTTCTTTAAATGACCCGTCGTATGTGCAGGACTTTCTCTTCGGGTCCAAGCCGAAGTATATATCCTGAGAGAGTAACTATATCTGGACTAGCGTGTTTTGGAATTACATGATTCCGGGAAACGGTGTTTCACCTGGTTTACAGTGGTGCTGAGTCATATAATACCGTAATGTATGGCATCCAAGGTGAAACGCCTTCACGTGCCGAGATTGCGGGAAAATTGGAGAAAACCGGTTTTGCACTTGATTTCTGATTGATCTTCTGAAATCGAGAAGGTACGCTTAGTATTAGGATGACGCGCAGGACTGATCAGATCTCGTTCTTCCCTAATGCAGACGCAAGTATCCTGACGTCAAAGCATGCACCCCCACTATCTCGCCCGCAGACCGTTGGCCCCATACTTGATCCGGAAAACCTTGATAGGCCGATCAGCCCCTGGCCTTCAGACATCGAAACCGCATTCTACCCTAAATCGGAGCCTTATCAACCCTCTTTGATCCCGGAAAAGACGATTTGCCCTGATCGATACCTGCGTGCCTTCCTTGCCGAGAATGAGAGACTCAGACTCTCCGTACTCTGGTACTATACTCGCGATATTCTCCAAGAAGATGAGTTCCTCTCCGGGCTTCAGGAGAAAGCACACTTTGCCCAAGAATCCACCGGATGGGAGTTTGCAGTCATTGGCATTCTTGATGTCAACGTCTATATTCGCTTGGCCACAGTAGGGCTTGAGCTAGGCATCCTTCCCCGTGGCGAAACTATCTGCGCGCATACCGTTACTCAACCCCCCGGTGTATGTTGTAGTCCCAGCCCCGATTCCTTGAAATTTGCTGACCATTATTTACAGAACGTATTCCTATTACCAAGTCTTATGGAGGACTGGAGATTCCAAGAGTGCCCTTATCTTGAGCGTGGTGGCCTACGAGCGTACGCCGGTGTTCCACTTCGTTTACAAACTGAATCCGGTGATTGTGTTAGTCTTGGATCACTTTGTGTGGCCTCGAGCAAGGCCGAAGAGCCCTTGACCAAAGCCCAGCATCATGCGCTTGTTCGCTTAGGCGACTGGGTTGTCTCTGATCTTGTTCAATGTGCGAGAGCAAGACGTCAGCGAGAGCGTCGTCGAATGTCCGAACTCCTCGCCAAGGCACAGAAGGAAACAAATGATGCGGTGTCTGTAGAACCAGTCTTCAAGGTTCTGAGAACTACGTATCCGGATGCAATAGTCCGCATGCACACATCTCGAACAACCCATGTTGAATTTGAGGGATGCAACTCAATCCCGGTCTCTGAACTCAAAAACGGGTTATGGGAAGACGTCAAATTGCTTGATGACTTCATTGGGAATTCAAATCACCTCGCTCCTCCGTCCACTAGACCAGTACGCATCGCTGCTGCCCCATGTGAAAGCCCGTCGGGAGAATCCTTACTTATTGTGGCATCCAAAGATTTCCACCTTGTCTTTGACGATGTCGATATATGGTTTATTCAGGCGTGTGCGGGTATCCTCTCCCAGATGTGGCGTCAGAGCCTTTTGGCAGAAGCAATGAAAGCAAAGGAAAAGTTTTTCCGAGTATTTTCTCATCAACTCCGAACCCCAATCCATGGCATCCTTGGTTCTGTCGAACTTATGGCTGAGGAACTCATGTCGTGGGATTCGACCGAGAACACCACGGCCAGCACAGCACTGCAAAATACCACGGCAATTAGTTTGCGCGAGCCCTTCACATACCTCAACATAATCAAGTCAGCAGGACGAGACCTCACTTCGATCATTAACAATCTGATTACACTCAACAAATGGTCTGATATTGCAGCTACTGACCGGCATTATGCTATGCATACTTTAGACGAGCTAGAGACAGAGATAGGAAAGGAAATCGTCAAGCTGACATCGGGGGACACACGATACAATTCCTCGGTGTATTTTACTCAAAATTTGCCACCCAGTTGCGTGGACTTTTGCACCGACCTTTTGGTGCTTCGAGAGACCCTGATTCCATTAGTGATCAATGCGGTCCAACACACGCCACAAGGCGTTGTATTGATTACAGCGTCGATGCACTCAGACGGCACACTTATTGTCGATATTGAGGACAATGGCCGTGGTATTCAACGCGATCATCATCGGCGCATTTTTGAAGCGTACGAGAAGGTTGATATTCACTCAACGGGCGCTGGACTGGGCCTTACAATCGCTTCTAAATTCGCTTCACTCATCCACGGCTCGATTGATTTAATTTCGTCGGAGATTGGTCATGCCTCTCATTTCAGAGCTACATTCCGGGAAATTGAGTGCGGTTGCTTGCCTCCGCCGCAACCTCTGGCTGTGAAGCTCAATATTTTACCCTCCAGGTTTTTCAAGATGAGGGCTGGCCCTGGCTCTGTATTACTGGGTGATCATGTCGAGACTTTCCTCATTCGTAACGGCTTTACCCTCTCGGACCGGATAGAAGACTGCTTTGTCATCCTTGAAGCTGTGCCAGACCTTGAGCAGCACCAGGCATGTCTGTCTCAGATTCCATCTGGACAAGTAGCCATCTGCCTTGTTTCGATACCAGAAGAGAATTCTTACCTCGAACGGAGTGCTGATAATGTTGTCTATGTCAGCGGGCCTTTTTTGACTTCAACCTTGAATTCGGCACTTGAGAGAGCACAAAATATTCTCATGGTGAAAGCCTCTCAACCTTGCCTGCCACAACCCAAAGCCATCAGTCAGCCGTCCCTCGCACCCTTATCAAAGTCCCAGCACTCAGGTACAGGAGAAGAGGCTGCAATAGATTCACTTACGGTCGAATCGAACGAGCCTAGTTCGAACGAAACTGTACCACCAGCATCTCACTCAGACATATCAGTGTCTCTGGCTCTCAACTTAACCACTGCCTTAGACTTTTCAAGTTCAAGTTCCTCTCAGCCGGTTACCTTGATCGTCGATGATAATCCAGTCAATCTCCGCATTATGGAAATTTATTGCAAGAAACGAGGATTAGCGTATCTTTCTGCAACTGACGGCTTGCAAGCCGTTGAGATGTTCACTCAGTACCAATCACGACCCGCCGCAGACGAAACCTCTTCAATCCAATTAATCTTTATGGACCTGCAAATGCCAGTATGCGGTGGAATTGAAGCCACCCAAATGATACGATCACTGGAGCTGCAGAACGAATGGAGGAGAAGCTGCTTATTTGTTTTGACCGGGCAAGATAGTCCGGCGGACAGAAAGGATGCCGAAGCGACTGGAGCTGACGAATTCTTCGTGAAGCCTGTTTCAATTAAGCAACTTGATCGCGTTGTGAAACGATATTTTCCAGCTTTCAGTAAACACGGCTAGAAAGACAATGCATTATACCTGTCCTTGCAACCAATGTCTCAATGTCATCCTAGAGAAAGAATGCCAGATGGACACGGCATCTCTCGGCTGAGTGATGACAGAGGGCTTTTATCGTTTACGATTCGTCTTTAGCCTATTCGGGCATGGAGCGCAGATATGCTTCAAATTTTCGCAAGGTTCTGTAAATATTGATGACTGTAAGTTCCCTCTATTCAGCCTCAGTCCCTCTCCGAGACGTGGTGATACTCTGGGTCTATGGTATCATGAAAGGGATTAACCTTTTTATATCTTGTACCTAGCCCTGTCGTGTGAAATGAGCTTTTATGACCTTTGAAGAAGATGAAACAATGATTGATGGGCGATTATACTAGTACTACATGTATGTGTTCGAGGAAGTGATTTTTTCAAGGAGGGTAATGACTTTGCAGGTGTCAGTCATGTCAGAATTACACAATAATACACTGGCATAGATAGCGCGAGTTCCTGAGGAAGGCGCCACTACCCTCTCCGCTACTAACAAACATGGGGTGCCCAGGTGGTAAGGGTTAACCAATACCAACCCTGATAATGCATCTAGCCCTTCAAAAAGGGTTCCATAGAAAATATATAAGTAAATGATAATTAAGCGATGGCAAGATTGTAGTTAGCTGATAGAGGGCTGATTACATATGTTGTAGAGAATGATTTTAACGAGAAAGAATAAGTGCGTGAAATGCCATTATATATCCTTAGCTAGAGAGCACAACGATGTCTCGAACAAAGTCCCAGGGCAAACGCAATGTCTTGTAACAGAGACAATAAAGCCAAAGTAATCCTAATGAGGTTCAAATTTCTATTGTAAATCATATACGTCCACAGATAAGGATCATTGTGTGTACCTAACAATCCTCACAACACCTTTATGCCTTCAACAACAGGTAACAGGTAGGCCGATAGAATATATACGGAGTAATCTATCATCAATGGATAGCAAAAATGACACCTGAGAGACGTCGGTCAACGAATATCTATGCGCAATACATTATAGCCCCTATAGCTATCTGATATCACATTGTTAACTGGCCTGAAGGTGTGCTGAATCACTACTAATCGTCACGATACCGTTTCCCCCTGAATTTGTGGGTTTTGTATCTTGATGACCATATATAATTCTCCGATATGCCGTAGTTCTGAGGCAAAGGAGCGTCCACTTTACATATAGATCATCCTTCTGGTATACCTTAAGTGAGGAACTTGAAGTTGTATTTGTTAGTATTCATTATTGTTCTGTAAACAGCGTACTGGTCACCGTATTGTGACCAATCTTCAGTGTACTGTACTATGTACTACATACTAGTATAGTATTATTTCAACGGGCACAAAGGGGTATTATGAGTTGCCATTACAAGGAGTTTGTCTAAGGAGTTTGTCTGGACCCCGGCCTGCCTGGACTTTACCATGTTGCAAACACCATGACCACACAATCCTACAGTCTTCTTGATCTGCCACTTTCAATTAGAATTCGTATTTACACTTTCTCAGGGCTTGCTAATAACCGCCTCATCCCCCTCGATCGCAGACACCGCGTCGAGGAGCAATCTGCCCCCACCTGGGAAGAACCTGACCGCAAACTCAACCTTCACCGGGCGGATTTGACCATTTATTCATGCCTTCTACTCATCTGTCGGAGTACTCATGATGAGGTGTCGCATTATTTCTATTCTACTAATTCGTTCGTCGCGCACGACCTGCAAACATTGGGCTGCGTAGGCCCGTCATATCTCGCTTTGCTGACCTCTCTCAAACTCATCCCCTGCCTTACAAAAAGCGCCAATTCCCGCAATGAATGCACTTGCACCCCGCTGGAATTTATTGAAGACGATGCAATCCTCGGCATGGCCAGCCCTTGGGACCGCTCCACCCTCTTGCAGTGGAACTCGACCATCAGTAAGATTGCACCGCATTTGGCAGCCGATAGACTTGACTTGAGTATTATCTGCCCTGTTTACGACGAAGGTACCGCGACAAGTGTGGTGGAACCTCTGCGCCACTTCCCTGTTCTATCTAGCTGCCACATCAGGCTCGGTTCCTTCAACCGTCGCAACTATGCTATCCAGATGATAGCTATGAAAGCCGCTCAACAGGCCATGGGACAAATTACCACCCCTGCGCAACCATTTCGATTCCTCGATCTCCCCAGTGAAATTCGTCTACTTGTTTACCAGTACACTGATCTTATCAGCCCGCTCAACACGATCCAATGGGACCCAGACCATGGCTATACACTTCGCCCATCATTATGTCCACCGGGTTGCAGTGCACCATATGAAAGTTGTCATCCAAGCATGCACAGCGACTGCGGATCCCCTAATGTCCCCCGGTGCCACTGTCGTCATGGGTTATCAGACTGGCACGGCGGAAAGCCCTATTGCTGGATATGTACACACTATGCCTGCCAATTCAACACCTGCAAAGCTCAACCTGCAGACGGTACAGACCTAGGCCTAAGCTGTTGCGGGGCAAAGACATCAGCGTATTCCCCCGCATGCCATTGCTGGAAACCACCCGTCGCGTTCTTCGGCACATCTCGAACCATCCGAGAAGAAACACAGCGAGTCTTCTTCTCTCAAAATGCATTTGAGATTCCTCACTACAAGTACTGCTCATACATAGCTGAAACCGACGACGCGCCGGAGAGATGTGCAGGAGCAGTATTCCTAGCAGAGGTCGTGCCTGCAGATCTACTGCCGTATCTCAGGAATCTTACCATCTCACTCTGGGACTGTGTTAAGAGAACAGCGAGGGAAGACTGGATGCAGGTTATATCATGGGTCGCTGGTATATCAAACCTCCGCTTTCTGTCCATTAGCACTGCGTTGGCCTTCGACGACATCACGGACGTGATACCGAACACCCGGGAAGAACTATCTAGTGAACAGGGCCTTATCAGGATTAGGGATGCTATACATGAAGAGGCTTGGCCGGTTGAGATTTCTCACACGGCGGTGCGGTCACTCTTCGTGGATGTTGGATATAGTCAGTACCTGGTTATCCTCAAGGTCTACTATTCCTATCGGCGCCCCGAGGACCCAGCTGTTCTTGTTGGAGATGAGCGGATTGCGGGGGATAATTATGCTATTGTAAGAGAGTGCCAAGGACCGGTTGGGAAGCAGGGAGGTCATGGGAGATGGCTGGAGGGGTTGCATATCTTTGAGCCGGATTTCGGGTAGCGTAGTCGCAGGGCTGTGAGGTGCTCTAGCCGCTCGTTGTTCGGGGCCCGAATTGGCTTGTGTGCTGCCACTTCGTCCTTGTTGGTGTTGTGTTTGGGATAGGTTATTAAGAGCGAAGGATTTATCCAACTACCTTGCCGAATCGTCGAAAGAATGACGCTTTGCTGGCGTCGGGGATCTTTGACACGGTCGATCTGTAGATTGACCCGTGTGTTAGTTAGATGTGTAGTTTGTTCCATAATCGCAAGTCTCGTTTGTTATGAAAGTGTTATACCTTTAGTGCCAAGTCTATGCTTTATTTAGGTGGAAATGCTTTCGGTGGAAATTCGGAGATGTGGGACCATGTCCCATCAGAGGGAAGCAGTAAGGGACACTTAGCAGAGACTGGTCTAAATACCATTATAGCGAATGTAAGGCTATCCCTTTGAGAAGGACCAACCAAGTCTGTTGAGATTTTCAGGCCTAATCATTTCTGCCGTAGGGCCGTACTCAGGCTAATTAGGCTAGAATAAATTATTATGTTAGAAACGTCGCGTATGTTCTTCATTTTCCCTTTGCTATTTCATTTTCGGGCACTTAAGCATCACAGACAACGTTCCAGATAGCGCTTTCCATTTTTGCTCCGTTTTTTAGAGCAATGATCTATCTGACCAACGGGTGCCTATACCCTCTCCTCCAACTTCGAAAGGACACTCATAATGGAGCTATGGTTCAGGTATCAACATTCTCATTGACTACATGATATTGCATGCTTCTAGAAGGACTCGATGGCGGCTGTTTGTACGGGGGCTTTCACAAACTGGAAGCCGCATATTTTGAGTTGTAACGACGCATTCGAAAGGCGAAAGCGTGTGAGGATGTCGAAAAAGGAATAATGCTAATGGGAAGGATATCAAATATGATTCCAAGATAAGAAATTGCGACTATCACCCTAGGAAGAAACGACTAAGGCTGTCCAGGGAATGAGGGCTGGCTAATCTATGCGTAGTAGTAAGCGCTACAACGTTCTTACCATCCTGTTGCTTTCAAAGGTAGATATGCTGACATGATATGTACTCAGAGTAAGCTATAATTGATATCAATATACTGTTCGACAGAGCGCTGCCGAATGATGATATCAACGCGAAGCAAGGAAAAAGCGAGATCGAATACGTTCTACTCATGGAAGATGAAGTAACATCAAAAAAGAGGATTTGTAGTACCTCAGGCCCACTGGGCGACTGTCAACATCCTCGTTTGAAACTCGATGTAAAAGCCCTTGTATCATGGCCATCTATTGTATTTGGCTTCGTTGTCAAGGTCACACATGACCGACCATTCTCCAGATCTCGCGCTCTGCCTCCTCTTGGGCCATCACTTGACCCATTTGATTCAGGAGAACCTGCATCCTCGACTCCAGCTGGCAAAGCAGAGTGACATCAACGCACCGGTTTGCACGGGCGAGGCTCAGTAGAGCTCGCACTGACTCCATTACATGACACGCCTCCTCGTAGACTCTTCGGCGAGTGTTTGCTCGTGACCCTCCGCGTACACGGAGGGCCATGAGCAGATCAATCTCCTCAATATTCGGAGCTCTGATTTGGTAAGGGTCTGTCACTTTTAGCTAGTCAGCTTTGTGTTTGAAAGGCAGATACTGAAGCACCGAGGTGAAGGGGTCGATCTCACTGGTCAGATCACAATGTTGGTTACGGTCAAAGAGGTTTGATGTGTTGCCCAAACTCTGAGCTGAAAAACCAAATATATGTTAGTTACGTAGTTTATTAGGTCGTCCACGGGTATGGGCCAAATCATCATACCTTGGGTTGGTCCAATTGAAGGATTTCGTGACAAGGAGGGAGAGTAGATGTTGGGAAGGAAGAAATCATATCAGCTGTGGGAAGAGATTTTAAATAGAAATTCCTACGATAGCGAGCCTGCTTTTGCGAGGAAGGTGCAACTGTCACGTAACCGTAAAAGGGAAAGAACAAGGCTGCCCAGGTAGTGAAGCGCGGCCAACGCTTGCATAGTAAGAGCCACAACCCTTTATCTCAATACATCCAAGGTTACATAGATACAGTTATTATATATATACAGACAGTAAAGCATACCTTATACCAATATACTCTTAAATACAGGCCCGTTGAATGAGGATCTGAACTTGAAGTGAGAAAACAGTGACATTTAATGAGATTTACTTGTAAGAGATAAAGCAAAATGAATCAGGACCATCGATATTATGAATTCCATTTATACCCTTTAATGCTTATTTATTGTCGATAATTTCAACTCTGGATAAGCGCGTGGTCACAGCGTCAGATCTGAAAGGCTTTGGTGTCGCATTCGTAACGACCTCCAGTGCAAAGTACACTTGGTCAACCATGCGCCAGACATTGGTTCAGCGTCCTCTTGAGTTCTAATTTCGTACATCTGGTGCAGAAGAGCGCGCATGCATTCTTCGAGCTGCAAAAAAAAGCCGCGTCAACATACTGATTGTCGTGCTCCAGGGCTATTAGGGCTTGGGCTGTTGCATGATCCGGTGAGCTTCTGCGACGATGCGCCGGCGAGAGCTGGAGCTGGAGCCTCTGCGCACTCGTAGGTTCGTGACAGCTCATGCAGCTCATTGTTGGAGGTTGGTATGTGTCTATGGTCGGCCACTTGATCCTAGTCAGCTTCATATTCCAAAGTTGAAGAGAAAATATCGAGGGGCAGGGGTAGAATTCACTGATAGTCGAAACGTATCGTGGGTTATGTTGAGGGATGTCTGATAGGATTGCAAAAGCTGGATCTGAAAAAATGAAATGCATGTTAGTTATGTAGTTTATTGTTTTGTCGCAATCCTTCTAGGCCAAATGCTCATACCGTGTAGTGGGGGACTAGTAAGCTAGCCTGTATGAGAAGCAAGAAGCAGTTTGAGATGCGGGAATGTGGAAGAAGTATGAAACAAGATCAATTTGGGAGATCTTAAATAGGAAATGCATTGATTGAAAGTACACCTCCACGAGAAAGGGGTGACTCTTACCGGACCTTGATTAGGAAGTAGCAACACAGGCAACGTGATGAAGGGTATCTGAGGCCTACATCGTAGTCATAGCCGCAAGGCAACGTTTTGAAAACTTCCATATATTCATAATCATGTATAGCGAAAGATTATATACAAATATAGTAAGCCACAATGGAAGGCAAAGTGATATTTGATATAGGGCGGATTGGAGGATGAACCTTCTTAAAGGTAAGCGCAGTTCCAAATAAGTCTGCATCATGCATAAGCAGCGTGGATACTTTAACAAATATCAATCAATGCAATGTCAGCCTGGTGTAAAATAGGCATGCAAACTATAGTATCCCACACAACCTCCCTATCCCGAATATGAGATATAGTACTACAAACCTCAGGCCGCTTAGTACCTAGAATTGACGTTTTTCCGCCGCTTGTCCCACATAGGCCTATATTTAGTTGACTACAGGTAGGTAACAAAAAATGGCATTGCTACCGTTGTATATCTTCGTACTCCTACCGCGATCTAGTCCCAGAAAGGTCATACATAATATAGGACCCCTACGAGGATTTGTGTACAATACACTGAAAATTAGGGGCCGAAAGATTGAAAGTAAATTGATTCTACGCCGGTGGATTTCGAGAACTCCTGTGATCAAACTTGCAGAATCTAAGACAACGATATACAAGAGGTTCAAAGTTAAAATGCTCGAGATGCGCTAAGATCGACCCAAGATTCGGTATATCCATATGTAGATTGATGTCCATATTTCCAGGATCATTGGCTTGGTAACCTTCACTATTAGCGCTGTTCAGAGAAACACCATTTTGTAACGCATACTAACGCGATTATTTAAAAGTTGATGCAATGGAATGATGATTTAGTCTAGTAACCAGTCAATAGCATGATTGACCAGAGCCTCGCTGCTAACTTGTTGATCATGTAGCAAGCTGGACAGATTATCCACGTCACACCCAGTCTCTGAATTATTCACAGGGTCATGCGCCGGAGGTTCCACGTTTATATTAGACGCCGTGATATTTTCAGGACCCAAACCAGAGGGCTGGTTTGAGGATGTTTGGCGTTCGGAGAGCGAGGAAGAGTGTTCAGTGAGGAAGCGGGCCATCCAATTATCCAGTACAAATGGGTCTGATATGGAATCTTGGCAGGAATTCTGGAATTTTCGAAGTCGTGACAGCTATTGATGTGGTCAGTCGTACTTCAATAGAAGAAAATGGGTATAAAAGCCTTACAGAGTGCTCGACGACAGGCCAGTACGATTTGATATCCATTAAATATTTGAAGTTAAAGAGTAGCCATTGGCGTGCCATGGAGAGTGATTCGGGTTTATCACTGAAGAGCAGAGTATGAAGATGAACACATGAACTGATCACAGCAATATGCCCGTAGATGTAACAATTCAAATCGCAACATTCGATGTCTGTGCTATGCTGTAGAATTTCGGATATTATATTTGCACTTCGTTTGCATTGGGTCGCCTTTTCTGTGAGATTTATAGTTGTATATTGATCCCTGCGTGCGTCGAGGAAGGGGAAGAAGAGCATTTCGCGAAAGTGGTGGTACCCAATATGCATTGCCAGGAAGGTCCGACCAAGACCTTGCTTGACAGCGGACATGATATTTTCCGTGGTATACCTTAGACTCGGGGGCAGGCTCTGCTCCCATTGATCAAGACGGCCTTCCAGTACACCCGCCTCCTGGCAATAATCATGGAAAGCGATCAACCCTTGGCTCATCCGTCGCAGTAGCACGCTCGTCTTGTTAACAATGTCAAGCGACCTTGCCATATAAGCCCACATGTTGTACGGTGATGGGTGCAAACAAGAGGTTGCTTCTACCGGTCCTGGGTCCAAGCTCTGGAAAGCAATATCATCGAATTGGAGAAGATCAACTGCGGGGCCGTGAATCAACGATACAGGTTCGATTGATATATCGGTTGCCGACCAATCACTGGCAATATTCACGGATAGCCATGTGCGACGATATTCCTCTTGAGATATGGGGCTGTCATCCTGGGGCACATCCCAGAACGGCAAGGTTTCTGCATGTAACCTCGCGAGACCGATATAAACATGCTTGGCTTTTGTGTCGCCTTCCCCACCGTAGTAGTAGCCAATCAAAATTAAACCCTGCATTGACTCAAGGCTGGGCATAATTATAGATTGTTGAGCGAGACGCACAGCTTCGGAGATGTAAATGGTTCCCCGCGAGCCACGGGCGATGCCATGGAAGACAGGGTCGTTTGAAAATCTAGCGGCGAGTGCACACATGGCGTAGACATGTACCATGGATGCTCTGCCCTCATTGAGTTGGTGCATAAATTTTGCCTCGTAGATCATGGTATGAATAACATTGTGAATGAAGCGAAAGTACAGGCGAACTAGATCATGGGATACATCTCGAGTGATTTGGATTGTCGGCTCTCGGGGGCCATTCGACGGTCTGGGGGGAGTATATGGATGATCGAGACCACATGGAATGGAGAGGGATTGGCATAGGTTGCAGCCACGCCCATCGCCTACTGGACTGCACCGTCGTTTGCGCATGCTAAATTTGATATTTAGCACCACGTCGATCATACATCAGATAGAACCTACCGGCAGTTGACACAAGCTTCCGCCCGTGCCCTCTTTGTCTGACTCCGAGCCATAACGCCAGAGACAAACGCATGTTTACTCTACCTCAGCGAGGTGCTCCGTGCTCATATGTCATACTGGATGTGTGGCGAAGCTACCTAGGCGGTCGGCAATGGCAGAATGGTGGATGCCGAGCCCACAAACACCACATTTTTCATGTGACATATCCTTCGGCGAAGAAAGATTACATTTCCTCATCACTCGAAGTGAGAACAATTTGATGTGCTTGATTGGCAGCAGACCAAATCGTTGTATTTTTTGAAATGCGGGATGCAGGCTTGTAAAGTGTCTTTCTGCCCCGCCATATCGGTTGAAGGACCTGAACATCCAACTTAGGTCCGATCTATGGCCTTGGGAGGCTATGTTCTCTAAAATCTCTACCAAATCGACCAGTATTCAAGAAATTATTACTGTACCCCCAAGTCACAAAAAATGGAGCAATCCTATTTAACCGAAGCAATACATGGTCGGATATGTTTTCCACGCGCAAAGGGACCTCAAGACTGGATGTATTCGTTTGAGACTGAGACCCTATCCTACGAAATATTGTCCTATCGCGAAAAATGATCTGCATCACTTGCTCGTATCCTCCACCATGACCGTCTCAATTCCCTCTTTCTCATTCTCAACACCCATAGGCAACTCATCACCAAACAAGGAATCCATCTGCTCCAGCGTCTTGCCCTGGGTCTCAGGGAAGAAGAAGATGTAGCACAGCATAGCAATCAAGTTGAAGACAAAGAACACATAAAAGTAACGGAAGCCAATCGACGACAAGGCAGTTGGCGAAACCTGGGCGAGTACAAGGTTGATAGTCCAGTTAGTGAATGTGGTGATCGAATTACCCTGGTTACGGATATCGACGGGGAAGATTTCGGCAGGATAGACCCAAGAAATGATACCAACAAAGGTATAGAAGAAACTAAACACGAAGTTCATAGCCACCATTGCCCGAAGCTGGTTTTGGTTTCCCTCGTCCCAATGCTGGGACATGGCAGCATTGCAAAGTAGTGCACCGGCCATACCCGCTGCAGCGACAATGAGGGGCTTGATACGGCCCACGCGCTCCAACGCCCATAGACCACCAGTGCAGAAGACAATCGATAGGGCACCGGAGATTCCGATGATCATGAGAGACATCTGTGTGTCAAACCCTAGTGTTGCATAAATGCGGGTTCCATAGTAGTTGATGACGTTGATTCCAGACAAGACACCGAAGGCCTGCACGCCACAGCCAAGGATGAGACGGCGGCGCCAAGAGGGCTTGCGCAGGATCGAAGTGAAGGAAATTTGTGTATGCAAGCGCTCGGCCTGAATAGTTTCACGAATCTCCTGGAATTCGAGCTCGATATACTGTGACGTCTCTGCTGTACCATCCCCGTGGAGGTTTTGGAGTGAAACAAGGGCTTCCTCGTGGCGGTCTTTCTCCATCAGCCAACGCGGAGACTCGTTCAAGAACAAGACACCACTGATCAGGGCCAGACCTGGAACACATTGGAAAGCAAGAGGGAATCGCCCTGGAAATAATATATCAGCATACAGCCAGAAAGGGTGTACGGTAAAATCGAGTTCGATTAAACCCCCAGATCAAAAGCGTCCACTTACACTGGAAGGAAGTCTGATTGAAAGAGCATCCATACCCCAGCCACTGAGCAACCAGGAATCCCCAACTCAACATCCACTGCAACAGACCGGACATCATACCCCGCGAAGAAGCCTCGGCGATCTCACTAGCATACATGGGAATAACAGAAGTAAGCATGCCGACCGCAATGCCGGCGATAAAGCGGCCAACGATGAGCATAGCCAGATTGATAGCACCAGCCTGCAACGCACACCCGAAGGTAGATATGCAAGCTCCAACAAACACGGACCACTTCCGGCCCAGACGGTCACCGGTGAAGATGTTGATGATTGTGCCCAGGATGGCGCCGCCCTGGAATGCAGAGACGATGCCGCCGGTCACAGTGTCGCTCGGATCAGAGAAATATTTGATGAACTCGGTTTGGCCGATGGTCGAGGTGATGATACCGCTGTCATAGCCGAAGAGGAAGCCTAATATAGAGTGTCAGCGAGTGATTCCTAACTGTGCTGATGGAGAATGATTACCTCCAGTGGCCAGGAACATGGCCGTCAGCAACGTCTTGAGCTTGGCCATCGTTTCGGTGATTCTGAGCAGTGCGTCTCTGAAATGATAGAGCCGAAGGATGAGACACTTCAACCAGAATCCGGGGATAGACCCATATTATATAGATATCGAAGACGCCAAGGAAAGTGGAGCAATACAGAACCTAGACCACAAATGGGCTAGTCCTTTCTTGTTACTCTCCACTACCTCCGATGAACTGAGGTAGTGTGTGCATGGCAGGTTTTGCCATCCATATCCCAAAGGAAAATTTCGAACCCACAAAAGCGGGGGGTTCGGTATGATCTTTCCCGAATAATTAAAGCCTGCAAGCTGATCTTTTTCGTCAGCACTGTATGCATCGCTAAAATTAGCTCCCTTGGGCCTGCGTGGCTGGCTGTTACTCTGATAGTGGAGATAAAGTATAGACAATAGTCTGGTAGGGAAAGGATTTTGGTGGGTGAGGTGTTTCGGCTTCTTGGGCAACGGAAGGGTGTGAAGCTACAATATACCTGGGTATGTCCGGGGAAGCAAATTCTATCATTCTAGGTACGTAATTTATCTATAGCTGAATAAATACAGTGTACATTCCATGGGTGAGGTCCAATTCTCTCCCATCGACGGATCTCGTTTCCTCCTTGCCACCGATAACCTCAGCCTGCTTCATATTGACCGGCAGCTTAACAGTAGCAGTCGTTCCAAACGGCACCTGAAGGTCCAGTTTCACCGAGATATCCTCAGTTCGGGTGAACTCAATCGAAATCAATCCATAGGGAGAATCGACAGACCCCTTGACATGAGTGAACTCAGACTCATAAGGAGGATCAATCTCAAAGGTGCGGTATGCCTCTGAAATAGGCTTCAACCCAAGGACAGCAGCATAGAACCATTCGTAAATTGTTCCCAGCATGTCGTGGCACTTACTACGGCATTCATCCTGCCAAAACTCTAGGAGGGTTGTCTCTCCCCGGCGGAGGAACCGCATGTATGATGGGTGCTCCTCCTGTCTCGCCATTTGTAAAACGAGATCCGGACGCTTTGCATCAGCCAACGTGTTGAAGAGGAAGCGCAGTCCGATTTCACCAGCGCGGATCTTGCCATCGGCTACATCGTCCAGGAACGCCGCCTTCACGTCGCTGTGGCGCTCGGCGGGCACCAGACCAAATTGCAACGCCATTGCCTGGGCGATTGCATCGCAGTCTCTTTCTGGGTAGTTGTCGAGGGATGTGTAATAGGCATAGGGGCGCGAGGGGTCATCGGTCACCAACAGGTGCCGATTATAGGTGTCGTAAATGCGAGCAGACCACTGTTTGAACCTCTCTGCATCTTCGAGCTTGCCAAGCTCGCGTGCCATCATTTCAACGCACTGGAGGCACCGGTAGTAAACAGCTGTCTCGATATTTGCTTGGTTGTTGCCGAAGGCGATGCCTCGACCCCAGTCGCCGAGTCCGTGCTCAATCAGTCCCCCCTTGCGCTCTTTGGTCTGCATGTATTCCATATATCGAACTGCAGCGGGATAGACTTTGGGGATGACGTGTGTGGACCCATAATATTGTCGTAGAATATCCGGCAGCAGACAAATTGCACAGCCCCAGGTGATTGTATCATGCAGAGGACCACACATATACCGGATTTCGGGTGCCATCGTTGGCACGAGACCACTAGCCTCCTGGCTGTCCAGGATATCGTCCAAAATTTTGGTATACAAGGACTCCATATCACGAATGTATTGTGTAGCCGGTGCCAGGAGGTGAGTGACCTCAAGCCAGCCAAACTTCTCGATCTGTGGGCAATCCGTGTGGTAGCTGAAGAGGTTGCTGCTGAACGACCAATACAGGGCACTCAGTAACGAGTTGACATCGTCTTTGTCGGTTGTCATAGATCCGAGCTTTCTCGCTGCGGATGAGATGTGACGACCAACCGCAGAATGAATGATTGGCAATCCGTCACCTGCATCCAAAGACACGCCCTCTACCTGGAGGTATCTAGCACTCGTGAAGCTGAAGTCTGGCTCCCATATCTCGGGCTTGCCAGTACCAGCGAGGGTTATTTTGGAAAAGACGCCTGTCTCGAACTCCTTGAACAGAGGATCGGGCATCAAAACGGTCCCATCTTCTGTGACAGTCTCCGAGTATCGAACAATGATCTGAGAGCCCGCCTTGCCTTCGACCGCGATTTTGACCATGATTGATGAATTTTGACCCAGGTCATAGCACACAATCCCCTTCTTGGGGCTATGAATCTTGAGCGGCTCGAAGGTTTCATGCAGCACAACCGGAGGCTGGGTCTGGTAGTAAAGATGACCTCTCGGGCCGGTGAGAGGCTTGACTGGTGCCCATTCGATATCATCAAAACTAGCAGAATCCCAGCCTGAAGGGTAGAGACGTCTATCATGGTCCTCGGAGGCATAAATGTTGGCAAGTGTGGTAGCGCTCTTCCTCACTTTCCAAGAAGCATCGGAGATAAGAACATTGTGCTCGCCATCCTCGTAGAAAAGATGCAATTCACCAAAGAAGCAAAGCTCATTGCCGTACCGGACGTATGTATTATCTTCGTACATTGGCCAGAAGAATCGATCATCACCTCCTTTGTCTCCAGCATAGAACCCGTTGCCAAGATGAACACCCAGTGCATTCCGACCTGCATCAAGACGCTCTGTCACATCGTAGGATGTAAACTGGACACGGCGGTGATAATTGGTCCAACCTGGATCGAGACGATGGTCGGAGGCTGGCTGGCCATTGATCGACATATTGAAATGGCCGAGGCCCGATGCGAACAAGATGGCTCGAGCTGGCTTTCGCGCCAAGTCAAAGGACTTCCTCAGATAAATGGGCTTGTCTCCTCCATTCCCGATCCAAACAGCTTTCCAGCGATTTGCCTCGTCTTCAAACCAAGACTTAAAGATCAAACTGCTGTGAGGCATGTATGTCTGGTTCATACTGTACGGGGGAAGAAGGTTGGACCGCGGATAAGCTGTAAAAAAGTGGTTGATCGAGCTGTGGTGAACATTGTTGGCTCGATCCCAGACTGTGATCCGCCAAAAGTGACTGGAAGTGGAGTGGAAGCCGTTGGAGGGCTTGCAGGTGATGTTTCTTTGTTCGTTGCTCTCAACGCGTTGGGAATCCCAAACCAGTTTGGATTGATCTGAGCCTTCTGCTTCAAAATCTGTCGCATCGGTTGTCACCACAATACGATACGCCACTTGAACGGCATCCTGGTCTTCGCTCTTGATTGCCCAGTAGAAGCGGATCTCATCAGTGTCAATTCCAAGCACTTCATGGAAACCATGAATGCCACAGCGAGAAATTTGCATGGTGTGTTATGCCTTGTGGGAATGAAAGTGAGTGAACTGAATGTCAAAGAAGAATTTAAAAATTTTGAGCACATCGAGAAGGGTAGCCATGTTGCAAATCCTGCCACTGCTAACCGAAACAATTGTAATATCCGAGTTCCCAATAGTGATGCAATACTCGGTCTCATCTATACCGAGCAACCCCGCAAATACTGCTCAACCAGAGGACACAATGCCATGGGGAGAGATGAAAGAAAAGTCACCCGAGCGAACCTCAGAAGCGGAGCCCCATCAATACGGCGGCGACCTACCAATCGGAGGCTGAAAACGCCGCCGGTGTGGGGTAACTTTATAAAGTGGATCCCGAACGTTAGTGCGGCCCGACTCGCTAAAAAAGGCCTCAGCGGGCATTCGGCGCGATCTCGGGCTGCAATTTCGGCAATCACTTCTGCTTATACATCGAGAAATTAGAAGGGTTTGTGTTCTGTGTTCAGTTGGAACGATTCTAGGCGTGGAAATATTCGTCAATCCTGGCGTAAAAGGGATGGATACCTCCCATCTAGAAATTAGAGTGCTGGAGAGGACCGTAAATCAAAACCGGTAACATAACTCTAGATAATGCTCCTACTTCAAACCTAACTCGAGATCAGAGATACAGAAATTTATTAAAAACTTGGCTTTTAGATTTGATGCTCTCGACCTCCAAGCAAAGGTTATATATATTTGACATGTCGCGTCTGTAAATGACATGGTTTCAATGCATCAGCTACATATTTTTGTTACGAAGACACAAAATCAACTTGTCGACAGGAAGTGTTTCCTGTTGCCGAAGTGGTGAGTCCAACGACTCTGATGGCCATTGTGTCGACTGTTCAGACAGTTTTTAGCTGGCTCCAGATATCCGCTTCCAATGCGCCCGAATGTTCCTCTTTGGCCTAGCGGACGAGAGATATTGGAACTACTGACTACATCCTCTGCTCGAGGCTTCACAGCACATGGACAGGAAAACTCTGTGTATGTCTGGCATACAGGGCTATTGGAGTCTGATCATGGTATGATTCTGCCTGCCTCTTTCAGTATCCGTCTGCGGAGATGCGCTCGCCTGGTGCAGATTTCGCTGGTCGTTGTGTGAGACCGGAACCGGCTGAGTATCAGCCACTCCATCGAGTTGGATCGCCGACGCCTATCAAGATTTGCAGAATGCATGATGTAAGAAACCTCTTAGTGTGTTTCGTCACGAGCGTATACTCGCACCGAGCCTCAATTGACACCCGGCTAACAATATTAAGCTAGGCATTGTGAAGAACTGTAATCGGCCGAGTGTGGGTAGTCGTTTTCTTAGCAGCTTTGTATTCGAGATGCGTTTGGGAATAGAACATCATGTGGACGGTGTGTATCTGACCTTTGGTAGTAGCGGCCTCCACTAGGGCCGCTGAAGCGTGTGTGGCCTTCGCAAACACACTTGAAGACCACACCACCGCATATTCATGTTGAACAGTTGGCTATTGGTGATCCAGCCGCTGATGATCCGCCTCGAGAGGAGTGGTCTTGAAACATTCGGCAATGACTGCTGCTTTGAACTCGTACTGATCAAAGAGACTGCCCTAATGCCTCGCCCGGCAGGCCTTAGGTGCATAGTGTTTCGAAATTGTAGAGGAGTGGTAAGGATGAGCTAATATACCATCTGCTTTAGATTATTGCTTTGTCCCCAAAGTTGCTCATCGAGGAAATGGTCATATGTAGCTTCTGTGCATGTAACCACGGTCAATGGTACTGAATGTGGAAATATGGGTAACGCTGGAAATAGAAATCCTTAACCGATAGAGAGGACCTGCAGTTGCAATTGCTACCAGAGAGCGCACTTTCCCGCGGAAGGTGTGGCCATTACCTTGATATGGAAATTCCACGATAAATATGTCATTGTATTCTTGATGTTTCATAAAGAGTTCCTGATTGTTTCAAGATGCGACATGCCTCAAGGGAATCCAGCTATGCATCCTAGATGGTGATAGTGACGACATTCCTGTGTAGTCGGGGCCGGCGCTCAACTTGTGATTCGATACAGGAATTGCCACGGAATGATAGTGATGGCGAATAACAGCCAATATCGTAGAATAGAGTGGCGGTCCTTGACTGAGCTCCTTATCCCACATTTCTCCAGATATTTGCCTCCAACGTACGAGCAGCCTCTTACTCAACCGGTCGACCCATCATGCTGATATCGAGAGACTGCTTAGTTATCTCAAACATACATAGAACGGGTACAGACGGGGCATGGCCACGCTTCCTGTACTTGCTCATCAAACCCCCGAGTCCAGGCGTTTTTCATCTCGCTTGTCGTATAGTTATAGGCTCGTCAAGTGCGCCGGACGAAAGCTGGGCGTGGGGTCTTCGGGGTTTCGCGTGGCTCGGACGTGACCGTGTCTGTCAAAGTCCCCTGGGAAAGTATCGGCTCGTTCCACTGCTGTCATGGTCTTGAATGCCATGTACACGCCTTCATCGGACAGCTTGACTCTCCGCGGTGGTGGGACCCATTCTTGGTTTTCACTGGAGAAACCGTACTGTACCCCGACCGGAGCTGTGGCCATTTGCTGTTCAGTTGGCTTGGTGGGTTAGCAGCTCTAGGTGCTCATCATTCGGGGTCGGATTTGGCCAAGATCCCCCCACTTATTCCCTGTCAGCATTCTATGAAAGGAATGGTTAGAAGCCCGAGTAACTCACTTTCGGTTGAGTTACAATGACAGGGTTGAGAATTTTGAGATGTCACCGTGGAAGCGCGTGGCCTATGGAAAGAAGAGGTTCAAGTTATTGTTTTGAAGAGGAATCATCGAAGGGGTTGTACCTTGAGGGTTGTTGATGGGAAGTGGGCTGGAAGTATTAGAATGGGAAATAAGGAAGCAAGACAAGAAGATTATTAGGAAGGACTTTCTACCCGTGGACGAGATGTTAGCTTTGTTAACGTCTCTCCAAATCTTTTCCTCTGCAGCACGGTCGTATCGTTCTTCCGCCTGTAGGCCCACCGTAGATTGGAAAAGACCCATCATCACCCGTTCATATCGCTAGAGGACGGCCACATCTGACCATGACCCTGGGTGGAACATTCCTGTATTCTGTGTGCAAATGCATCCGCCCTTGGCAACGCCAATACAATGATTGTGTATTGGAAAATCACAACTCATCGAATCAGTACACTTGTCGCCATATACCTCGTCCAAAAGAACGATAATTGACCTCTTCAGCCTGGAAGTCTAGGGGGCTCCGCAGGTGTCCAGCCTCTCTGTGGTAGCCCATAGAGAGCTTACATACCGGAGTGTGGGCCGCAGAGTATAGAGCTGAAGACGGACGGGAAGCTGAGGTAGGAGGAAGAAAGAGAGACCAAGTGAAAATGCCTGTGCAGTTGGGTACAGCAACGAATATCTGCAATGTGCACTCGCGTAGCCCGCAGGGCGCCGTGATGCTTTCTATTGGCAGAAAGACATAGGCAATTGATTGTTCCTCAAGTTGATAAGGAAGATCCATTTTAGAATTGGCTTTCTGGAACACAAAGACTCATGATTTGCTCAATGTCGCTCCCCAGGGCCGTGTTGCATTCTTATTCATCAGATTTTCAGTCCAGCCCTCCGACCACATATGACCTTCATTTGTTTCTCTCCAGATCTGTCGCTGGCGGCAGTGGTCGATTATCTCCTGGGCCCACAGGATGAGAGCCCGCTGGACGAGCTGAAGCATTCTCTGTTCGCATGCACAGAGGATCCAACCATCGGAATATCTATAGTCCACCATGGGGCCGGACAAAAGGATTGCCTCGACCCGTCCTATGATGTCGAATGCTTCCCTCAATAGTGCCTGGTAAGCTCCGGCTCGTCTAGCTGCCCGGCGGCGCAGCCGAGTGAGTTCTTCGAGCTGGCCATCGTTGGGTACCGGGATCGGCCGTTGGTCGGCCACTGTTTATTGTCAGCTTTCTGGTTCAAATGAGGTTACATGAGAGTGCTGTATCTCACTGATATTGGGCAAAGGAAGAAAAAAAGGGTTCAAAGGGGGTTTATGCAATTGTTTCAAATTGCAAAGCACTGAGAGCTAGTCAGCCTTATGTCTCGTGGCAAATATCTGTTGTAGGGGGTGATATTTCTCTTTTTTGGATTATGAGTTCCGGGTTTGAGGACGTTTGACTAACGAAAGTGGAAAAAGAAGAGGAAAGGAGAAGAGGATCAGGGGGAGGGGATCTTAAATATAATCTCATACTAGAGGAAGTGCGTTTTCGCCAGGAAGGCGCGGCAGCCACCTAACCCGAGTTCCTCAGCATCCGTATACTGTTGAAATTTAGGCATTTACCGATGAATTCTCGAGTGAGCAACCTATTGTTGACATCAAAATAGTATTCAGTGGAGGGCTGATTGAACATGATCGGAATGTAAAGTGAAAGCGAAGTGAAACCTGTTGCCTATGAATATAGAGAGCTGAGCGCCATCTCATAAAGGTTCAACGGCATTTTTGGTTTCTAGTCCCTCCGGATATCTGCCTTCAACGCACGAGCAGCCTCTTCGTTGGCCCGTAGGCACATCATGTTGAGAGCTAGAGACTGCATGGTCCTCTCAAACATCCATAGAATGTGTACATGCGGAGCCTCCCCACGGTTGGCGTACTCGCCCATCAAAGCCTCCACTCGCCGCATTATCTCCGTTGCCAGTCGCATAGTGTCCCTGCGGGCGTAGATTCGCCAAGTGCGCCGGACCCAAACCCGGATTAGCACCTCAAGCCGCTCATTACTGGGGGTCGGAATCGGCCGAATGTCCTCCACTTATTCCCTGTCAGCATTTTGTAAAAGGATGGGCTAGAAGGGTATTAAAATCAAATCGTTGAAGGGACTGTACCTTACCAGCTGGTGGTAATATGTGCGTGGGAAGTACGAGAATGGGGAAGAAGACAGAAGGGAGACAAGAAAATTATTAACGAGGATTTTAAATAGCATTTCATACCCGAAAGGTCGCCATAATGAGGAAGCAGCGAGACCACCTTCATAGGGAAAGACCACAGCTGGTGAACCAAACTTTCTCAGCATCCTTGTACTCTGGAAGTTATATTTACTGATGGATTATATACTGAACAAGCCATAATTGATATAAACATGATATTTCGTAGAGCTGGTTGAAGAATGATCATAGTGAAAAGTCAAACCAAAGTCAAAGATGTTGATGGCTATGTATAAAGGCCTCTGAGGGCTATCTGAGTAGGTCAAACTGATCTGTGTTGGGAGCGGGGATTGGCCTATTGTCACTCACTTCCTCCTTCTTAGCCTTTTAGTTAAGACGGAATACCAAGTGGAGAGGGTCTATCTCACTGGTACACGGTTTGGTTATGTTGTGTTGGTTGCTAATCGTTGAGATTATGCTCAATGCCAGTCTGCGAAGTAACTGTGAGTATGTTGGGGAGGGAGTATTAGAAGTTTATCGGAAAGTATTGAAATAATGATCTGCTCTATGTCGATAATAGAAAGTAGGATGTCACGGGGAAGGCGCGACTGTCACTATGGGGAAGGACCCAGATTTGTGAAGCTTAATATTGCTTGAATATATTATGAATCATTGGAAACCAACGTACTTGATATCCCGATCATTTAAAGATGAGTATACGGACAGAGTATATACCGAATATGCAATAACTGATAATGTAGAATAAAATAATACTTGACAGAGGGGTGGGTGAACAACGATGGTATTGAAAAGTAAGATGAAGGTGACATTGGACGATACCCTACCTGAACAGCGAGTGGTCCAATTGCATATATTCAGAATGCAATAATCAGGTTCCAGGGGAAGCAGAGTTGCTTCTTGTAGCAAACCGTTGAAGGTCAATGGGTTCTCTTTGTGGCTCATATAAAGGTAAAGAACCACTTCAAAGCTTCTACAGATGAGAGACAAACAAACAAACATAATACGACTTTGTTGCAATAAATCCAACGGTCCTGACCTCTGATATGTTCGAGGCTGAAGACCCCGATGCCATGGTCCACGCCTGAATGTTTCCTTTGGTACTCTTAACAAATCTCGCGCCAGATTCTTCCCTCCGCGCACCGATGAAGGTGCTCCTCTGCCCAGAGGCACTGTAACTTACCACGTAGCACCATCATAAGTCGTTCCAGACTCAGCAAAATGCCAATCGAAGCGGGGTGGTGGCTGTCTGCATAGGAGCGCATAATTGTTGGCACTGACCGTAGAATGCTGGACGCCTCATCCATGATGGCTCGATGGGCGCGTGCTGGCCTGGTAGATCGCAACCGCAGCTGTGAGAGCTGCTCCAGATGGCTTTGAGTGGGCATTGAGATTGGTCCTCGGTTGGCCACTTCGTCGTCCTTGTTAGCATCATGTTTGAGACTTAGTTGGGCACGAAACACCAATCGCAGAGGGTGGTATTATCTCACTGATGACGCTGTCCACTCTTCTCAGGTCTGCAAAGTAGGCTAATATCCGAGGGGTTGGTGAAAGTTAAACTGTAAAATCACAACTCATCATTAACTTCTCCTGCTGCCGTACATCCTGCTCGTCGTCGAAGGGGTCGTACCTTTGGAGCAGTGAGCGAAGCTTGACGTAAGGACTAAATAAAGCCGAGAAGAGAACAGCATTCGGATAATCTCCAAGAGAACCTAGTGTAGAGCAAGAAACATCCAGTTTTAAATAGGAAGGCCCGACTGTCACCCTGAGGAAAGTAAAAGACTGATGAAGCTAAACTGGTCCTCCAGTACTAGGTATAACTGGGTACCAACCTTCTACATATCTTGACACTTTAATGCTGGGAATGCGAATGCAAGATATACAGACGAGATCAAGTTTCATAGGAAAGTGAGAAGGGAGGCAAGGTCCCAGGGTAATGGGTTTGTCAGAAGGAGACTATGATGAAGTGCATGGTGTAAAGTGAGATTGATTGAATGGGTTGTAAAAGCTAAGTGCTAGACTAAGAAAACTGACAGGGTTCTTGTTTATGTCGCCACAGACAGCTCATCTTGAAATCCATGACCAATGAAGAGAGACTGTCGAATGTTGTAGTGAAGGGTTTAGGGTTGCCGAGAGCTCCACGGTGCGGGAGATGATGATAACCGACTCCACAAATCAGCGGACCTCGCGCCATATCTGACTCTCCTCGTGACGGCGATAGCGATCCTCCGCCTGTAGGCGGTGGATTTGATTCAGCAGAAGGACCATGCGGCGCTCCAGGAGGTGGGTAGATGTCACCCGCCGGTTGTGCGCGTATTGACTTATTCTCTTTCGCAGAGCGCGAATTCGTCTAGTTTGGTTGATACGGAGCCTGTTTAGGCACTCTAGCTGTACATCGCTTGGCGCTGGGATCGGTCTCTCGCTCAACACCTTGGCCTGATTAGCATGGCGTTGGATAGCCAATCGGGAAACATCAACGCAATATGATACGGTGTATCTTACTAGTGAAGTAGGCTTTCGAGATATGCTTTGTGGAAATTGCGTCATGTTGATAGATATCAATGTGGGTAAGGACGGGGTGAGAAGTAAGATAAATTCAGAGGAGGAAGAGAAATTCAAGAGAGATCACGTTAAATGGAAATTCCCACAGGGCTACGAGGGAAGGCGCGTCCATTGCCAAGGGGCCTTGTTTGGGTCAGCCCAGAGAGCTACTACCACAGTTCTATCAATGTACAATGAACGACTCCCATACAGAATTCGATGTTAGTGCAAAATGCGAATGATTGTGGAGGTGTCCGAGCTCTAGGGCGCTGTATTGGGCGATTACACAGCTTAGTGGACCCGACGCCAAATCTGGCGCTCCAGGTGGCGATGATATCTCTCCTCACCCGAGAGGCGGCGAGTCTCAATAAGAAACACGATCATACGGTTCTCCGCGTTAACTACAGTATGTATTGGGGGGGGGGGGGGGGTGTACCGCGTGGTCGCGGTCGTATATACACCTATGATTGTTCCTGCCGCGTGAATGGAGGCTGGGGCCTTATGTCTCATCGCTCGAAGGACGCTGTATACGTAGCTATGTCAAGCGCTCGACCTGCGTATCGCCCGATACCTCAATCAGGGTATTTTCACCCCCTTTAGGCTAGTTAGCGTTATGTTTGATAGGCAGTTGGGAGACATCGAAGTCATAAAGTGTATCCTACTCGTGAGGCAGGTTCCGAAGACATCAGACTTTGGCTTGGTTCCTCAGGCTTTGATGAGTTGATAACATGCCGATCTGTAAGACAGTCAGGCTTCGTTAGCGTCTTTCTTTCTCGTAGACCTTGCACCTCCCCGGAGGGATCATACATTTTCTGCTTTGCAGTGAGCCTAGCGTGATAGCTGAGAAAACGTCGAGAGAGAGCACATTGAATAAAAGTCCATATAGGGAAAGCACGTCACACGCTCACGAGGAAGGTGCGACTGTCACCTTGAGGAAATACCAAGGCTGGTGAAATTTAACCAGCATTTGCATATTATAGGTAACGGCAAACAGCCCTCGTTGTCCTCTAGATACCTAAACAATCACATGGCTACACTGCGCACAAAGTGATCTTGAATAGAGAGCTGCTAAATGATGATCTGAATGAAATTATAAGGGCTCGATGTTTGACAATGTGTAGGAAGTGGGAGGCCCCACGGCAGAAATTGGAAATTTCAATTTAAGGTCTTGTGCGGTCATAGGGAAATGGGAGTGGCCTACGGGAGAAAGACTTAAAGTATCTCCGCGTTCGGTCAAGAGGCTATTCTGAAAGTTCTACTAATAAAATGCGAAGATGGATCCATGAATATAATCCAACTAAGCAACACTCCCTAGCCTACTATATAGAGACTGTCTAGTTCGAAATGTCCGTGCTGGAATCTTTCATTATATTTATATTTGTTTTGCAAATTCATTCTTCCTCCCAACTAATCATAAACTTGACCGATTTCTTCTTCAGATACCTCTTAAAGTCGAATCCAGATTCATTGTTCCGTCGCCCGGTCATGAGGGCCCCTCGGGCCGTAGGGCCATGGTCTCGTTGATGAGGACCTGCAGTCTTCTCATAGCTGTCCACAGGGTCTCAGTAGGTTGTGGCTGGTTGTACGCGGCGCATTGATGGAGAGAGGGTTGAACGGGAAGTATGATTCCAAATGCCTCGTTTCACCGAGTGGTACGGCGACGAGTTGCACTGATACGCAGCTGTGTTGGATGCCTAGTCCTAAGATCCGCTGAAGACTTTGCACTTCTTCCTGGTCAGCTTCATGCTCAAACTGCGATTAGGAGCAGATTATCAAGGGCTGGGGGAGGGGTATCTCACTCGCAGCCGAAGTATTCCATCGAGATGAATCCAACGCACATTATGTTTCGTGTCACCTCTGTGGTTGGCGTGCGGGTGCATCAACATTGTATCTCACTAATGGTGGGTGGAAAGGTAGGCGAGGCATATCCAGAGGTCCAATATGACTCTGGACTAAGACGGGTATAGTAGTATCAATGCCCGCGGACTAGTGGGTAAGGGCCAACCAATTTAGACTCTTAGCAACTTGATACGTTCAGAATAGGACAACTTACTCATAAAGCTGAATCTTTGTATCTCTCCATGTCCTTCATCTTTGTGTTCCCATCAAAACATCTGTCGTTGCGTCCACCGAGAAGAACCCCCAATACACCCTCTTGACATCCTATATGCAACATGAGTCCAGATGGCCCGTTCGCGACGGCGATCAATTAGCTCCTGCCCGCGCAGGTCTAGCATCTGCTGGAGGAGACCCCCACCCGCCGTCCTAGTCGCCACAGGATGTCTGCCAGGGAGGCGGGTGCTTGATGACCACTTGCATGTTGAGCCACGACCATAGCAAGCAACTGAGCGCATAACCCCTCTTGCATCTTGTAGTTTGGATGTGCGACGATATGCGCGACGAGTGCTCCGGTATCTCAGTCTCATAAGGTCTTCCAATTCGGTGTTGTCGGGCGATGGGATCGGCCTATAGGCGGCCGCCTTCTCCTTTTCAGCTTCATGGTTGAGACGTGGCTGAGAACGGAATGTAGAGGGAGGAGGGGCTGTATCTTACTCGCGATGAGAATCTGAGACAAGTTATTCAGTTGGTTTGAAAAGGACTTGAAGGCTTTCTGTGCAACTTAACCCGGTTTTGTTAGCTCCGTGGGTTGTTGTAAACCGTTCTCATCGTCAAATAGGATTTTACCTTCAAGTGGACTGAGGGCTAGGGTGAGACGCCTGAAGTAGTGAGGAAGGAAGGAAGGAGAGGTGATCAAAAGCGAATAGTCTATATAATAATAGGTACGCTAGAAACCGCGCCTCCCCGAGGAAGTTGCGATTATCATCTCCGTAAACCCTGGTCTTTGAGTCCTTCATTTCCACATGTTTCTGGTCGTTTTACTTAAAATTACCCCCTCCCTCCCTCGAAACCATACCTTTCAAATAGCCAGGACCCTGAGTCAACCCCTCTTGAAATCTCCTCGAAGTAGTCTCTAGATCGAACACTCGAGGGCCCAATCAAGAAGCTCCTCAGCGCCTGGCGGGATCATCTCGATTGGTGGTCACTGATTGTAATAGGAGCAATTGGTTGATCGAAATTTGGACCAAGCGTTCCATCCAAAGCGCTTGATGCACAACACGTTCGCGTGAGTTATCCCATGTAGTTCTTCGAATCCGCAGCTGGGTTAGATGCCCCATGCCCAAGTCGCTCCAGGTTGGGATATGCAGGGTCAAGGTCGGCCGCTTTATCCTTGTCAGCCGAATGCTTGAAACAGAGTTGAAAACTAAGCATCGTGGGTAGGAGGTATGACAAGGATGTAGAGACCGGTTATTCAGTTTCTGTGACTATTCTGTTTGTAGGGATAGCATACGAAACACCGGACCTTTTTTAACTTCTTATTTGGCGCAGACAGTGGCCATGAATGTAGAGATTATACATCAACGATTGTTGGTTGCGGATTAGGGCTCAAGGTCAAATGTCTGAATTAGGTGGATCAGGAAGAAGGAAGGAGGAAGAAATTGAAGTAGCTGGGAGGTGTTTTAATAGCAATTACTACGATTCACGGCGCGTTTCCACAAGGAAGGCCGTTTCCACGAGGAAGGCACGATTATCACGGTATGAAACAAAGAGCAAGGCTGCAAACCTCCGAGACCCTGACCCATGTCCTCCTCAATGCCTTGGTGCCTGCAACACTAGGTATAGTTATAGTTACACGATAGAGGTAGTAGGCTATAATTGGCGTCTCAGTGATATCTCATGAAGGCCCATTGTAGAATGACATCAACAAAAACTGGAAGCGAAATGCGATTTGTCGATTTATATACATTGAGTGGCTGTGAAATAAAGAGGCAAAAAGGAGGCTTCCAGAAATACGCGACCATCTATAGGGGAGGCAGTATTCGGTGGCAGGAGCAAGCAATCTACAAGGCGGTCCGTTTTGCTTGGAGTCGACGATGAAATTGCACATAATACTAATAAGCGAGATTAGATATATGGGTAAGAGGATTTTTACTCCCCATCACCCTGTAGGCTTCTATTATATGCGGATTGTCCTGCAGGCGGTGGATTTCGTTCAGCAGAAGTATCATCCGACGCTCTAGGAGGTGGGTAGATACGACGCGTCGGCTGTGGGCGTATTCACTTATCAACCCTGTCAGGGCATGCGTTCGTCCAGTTCGGTGGATAACTTCATTCTGAGAATCCTTCCAATTTGTGCATAGGGTCGATCTTATTGAAAACTTAGTGAATATCCCTAGCCGAGCAGAACGTCCCATGAGCCTCGTTTTTCGTAGCCCCTTATTGCCTGCACAAGCTGACGTAGCAGGTCCTGCTCGATGGCTCCATCGTTTTCCTCCTCGACCCGGATATGATCCAGCTTCCGGAGCAGGAGATCTATTCGATGTTCCATCTGCCGTAGTCCGTCCGTTGAAGGTATGTTGTGGGTTCTTGCGTATTGGGCCACAATTAAACGCACTGAGCGCATGACCGAGCAAGTTTCCACGATGACCTGCAGGTGCCGGCGACCCCATTTATGTCGACGGAGTCTCAGCTCCCTCGGCTCCTGTAGCTGCCTATCAGTAACCCCCAGAATTTGCTGTTGTTCGGCCACTTCGTTCTCGTTATTTTGTGTTGAGACGAGCTTGGTGACAAAGGGCCAAGGGCATGGGGTAAATTTCACTTGAGAATGAAGTGGTCGGTAGTATCTTGCTTTCGTGTGTATTCTCAATTGAACGGTGATGGGTGTGTATGTGGGAATCTATAAAACCAACACATATTCTTAGCTCCTTATTTTGTCGTAGATTTTGGTCATGGTAGTAGTGGTTCTACGTTGATGGTTGTTGGTTAAGATGTCTCAAACTGGCGTGGAAGGAAAAATGAAAGAAGAAAAGAGAAGTAATGGGGAAGAGCTTGAATAGTAATTGCTACGATAGAACGAGCGTTCTCGCGATAAAGGCAAGACTGTCCTCTTCAGAACCAGACACTGACACTGCCCAGGTTAGGGAGCCTGACGAATATCCACATTCTCGCGCCATGATACCTGCAATACTGGCTATGTTGATATAATATATTGATATAATATAGAGACAACAGGTCATAATTGACTTCTAATTGGTAGTTGATAAAGAACCATTAGAGGAAAGTGTTAGGAAAAACTAAGGAGAAAGTGAGATTTGTTGATGACTATATGTAGTTCGGGGACATCCGTTCAACAAAGATTCCAACATCCAATAGAGTGTTCATCATATCACATTACTATCAAATTACGTTATATCAGGAACACACCTAAGGACTAATTAATTAAACTTCGATTGTACATAGCATACTGATCTCAGACTCCTTCCAATGAAATTAAGGATACATGATTAGTTACCATTGTGAATAGCCCTAGAATTCCACGGCTCATTATGGTACCATCAAGCCTTCAAATCACCGACACTCCCTGTTGGCCTATTTATTTCACCTGCTAGATTGGAGGTCAAGGCATAATTGATACGAAAATGAGATTTTGTAGAGGGAGGCTAAAGCGTAAACTCGACGAAAAGTGAGAACAAAGCGAAATCTTCTCACTTCTAGAGGCGTTTATATATAGAACATACTGATTCGATCACTAATTTCATATTTCAATGCTTAGAATTTAATTGATAGCCCATTCGTGGGGGCCCATAAGGCCCCCATGATAGTCCATTAAGGGCGTCTTGTAGTCGCTATATACTATAAAAATTTAGAATGTATAACTCTCTATAATGTATAACTTATCTAAATATCGTGTTTTCTCGCGTTCTCAAACGTGATATATAAGCTTAACTAATAGATTATACCGAATCGATTAGAATAATAAAATCTTACCTCAGGATAAAGGCTAGAAACAGGGTCTAAACATAGTAATTAAAAAAGTCACTTTTGTCAGAATTTTTATATTGTTTGGTGCTTATTAGGACCTAATGACCGGGCCCATTAGTGGGTTGGGGCGGGTTGGGCTTTGGGCTTTGTGGGGTTTGCCGACGTCTAATTATAGGGATATAGGAATACCACAATTATTTACATAGGTTAGTTACATAGTAGGAAAAGCGACCGGAGACATAGTACCCAGAGTAGCGAGCTAAAAGTTTGCTGGTAGTAGAACAAGTGTGTGCCGCTGGTCATTATTCCCATTATTACTCCGAGTGTCGTCTTCCAACCTTGCAACCTTGGCTGCGGGAAGGTTCCGATATCTGATTAGTAATCCGCTATAACTATCTTGGAAGCATGTATGTAACTAACCATAGTATCTAACAAAGTACGTTAAACTATTGTCGGATATAAAGTGCGCGGATATCCGTAGATCAGATGGCCTTTTCACCTCTCCTAACATACTCCGTCTCAAATTGACCCGCCCCATCAAAGCGGAACGATACTTCTACCACCACACCACGAAGGCACATACGAGCAACATGGTATCTACTCCAAGATACACACCACGTGCGGTTCTCGATGCGTTTTACGAAGCAGAACGAGCATACATGTCTGCTGACCCTGAAGCCCGTGATTTTTCCGGCATCGCCGCCACGCTCGCACCTGATATGCGTCTGGAGCAGACACCCGCCCTTCCGTACGCCGGCGTCTACATCGGACCCAAAGGAATGCAGGACTGGAGCACTCGTATGGGGGACTACTTTGATATCGTGGATGTGCAGAACCCTGAGATCTTTGAACGCCCTGGATCGGACCGTGTTGTGGTGTTATCGAATGTTCACTTGAGAGTGCGATCGACCGGGCATGAGATGGATTTTCCGTTCTGTCAGGCCATCACTGTGGACCTGGAAATGGGGGTTATACTGGAAATCAGGCCGTTTTACTGGGATGTGGCTGCAGTGAATGCGGCGCTAGGGTGTTAGTATAGAATAAGGATTCGCAGGCTCTATGACCAATGTAATCGTCACAGTACTTTGGACAACAGGATTGAATTCATGGGGTGATGTTTGAGAATGGCCTAAGATTACAAATATGTACTCCGTAAAAAGGGGGGGCCGATAGTGACCACTTTTATCGCCAAAAATGGCCGTCTTTCCACTCGTACCAACCCTCGGGCAGACTGCCACTCGTTGACTTCTACATCCAGTACTTGATAGCTCATTTCTGCTTCGCCGAAGTTGACAATGAGTCTTTGACAAAAGTCTCATGGGTTGGTCAAAGCTGCAATCGAATATACAATGCACCATAATAACGCTGGAAAGGGTTATTTATAATATTACCGGATCGATCCTAGTTTTTACAGACTTGTGTTTGTAGAGCATATTTGCACTTCAAGTTATTGGATTGGAAGGGGCTGGTTGATTGGCCGAACCAAACGATTTGCCGATAGTGTCAGGTGACCGGAGAACCGACTAAGCACGTGATGCTGTCGGCGGGTAAGGTATCCACTTCTATAGTTGCCCAGGTGCGCTTGGCGGGTTTATAAGACGGCGGGATGGTCTCTCCCCAGGTACTTGAGAATGCAATAATTAACCATTCCGTGAGTGAAATATACTCAAGCTTCTACCGGTGGTAGTATATTTGCTATTTTTTACCAGTTTCTTCTGGTCCAAGATCGTCTCTGAAACTTTTATCCTTTCCATTACCCACTCTCATCAATGAAAATGGCGATTGAAGAAGTTCCCTTGCAGATCTTCACGATCCCCAAACCAAATGTTTCGTACTTGACAGAGACCGAAGCCTCAAAGCCGGTCCTGCTTGAGTCTTATCATGTGGACCTGCTCCCTGAGTACGGTTACATCAGTCAAGAGTTTTTGATTTCCGGAGTCGCTCAAGGTGAATCATTTTGTACACGCCTTCTACTTCGTCGTCCGGCAGATCTTCAAAATTTCTCCGGGTTTGCTGTCGAGGAGCCGTCTCACTTGTGGGGTGGAACCAGTATCTGGCGTCACACCAACCGCTGGCTTATGCGTAATGGTGAGTCGTAATATATATATTGACAAATCACATCATTACAACTGGCTGACAACCACTTCCCTAGGCCACGCTTGGCTGGAAGTTGACTCCCAGGCTCCATCGGCCATCAGTAAAATCAAGGATGTTGACCCTGAGCGATATGAACAAGTACATTTCATCCCAGGTCCTACTTCCGATGAATTTGCCGATAATATTCCTTTCGTGACGGATGTATCAAAGGAGACTTTGAGCGAAGCTTACAATGAATTCAAAGCCAAATGGTGGCCTGCAACCTTGCAGTCTCCCGAAATTCTGGCGGCCGCCTCGTACGCATTAAGGTCAGGGCAGTTGGGCATTAAAGCATGTTGGGTTGTTCTCAGCGGTCTATCGCAGACGGGCGGACTGACAAGGCGTTTTATCACCCATTCGTCGCACTTGCGGCTGCCAGATAGCTCCCATCCTTTTGAAGGATACGTTCCTTGCCAATCTGGCGGAGCTGCACTTCCGGACTGTGCACCTGCCAAGATCATTGAGCTTCTGGGAGAATCCGAGTTCCCATCCGTTCGGCTCCCTTGTGGTGTGAGTGGCCAGGTGAAAGACACAAGACATCGCCGCGCCGATAGTGATTGCTTTCGATTGTACGAGATTGCGGGAATGGCCCATCGCGAGTCTCGGTACGCTTCAGTGACCGACTTGAAGCGCTTGGCCGTCGCTGATCTCAAGGGCGCTCAATGGAGTACTTTCCCGAACTCCTTCATTTATCATGCTGTCTTTGAGTCAGTGGTCAAGTGGATTTGCGATGGCACAATCCCACCAGCGAGTGCATTCATCAAAACAATCGGAGAAACAGATGACATTGTGCGAGACAAGCATGGAAATGCCATAAATGGAGTGAGAACCCTTCACACTGAGGTGCCTCTCGCACGCATCGTCGCTGCGACACCTAAAGGCAGGCCAAATTGGTACTGTGGTATGTGGAAATGAGAGTCCAGTGCTCTTAGATTCAGATTACTAATGATTTCCAACTTACAGGATCGGAGTGGCCTTACTCGGAAGACGAGTTACGCGGGATTTATGGATCGGTCGCCGGGTATCGAATGCTAGCTGGTGCCGCTATTGCAAACCAAGTTCAGTCGGGCTTCTTGCTTCCAGTAGATGCGGAAGTCCTTCGCCGGGAGACCGTCGAACAAGTGAACTTTTGTTAATCATGAATAATTGTTGGGACCATTGTGGTCTGATCAATGATCCTATAGAGGACAGATCCCCATAAGTTTACCCTACTCTCTCTCTCTCTCTCTCTCTCTTTCTCCCCTTTATCTATCTATCGCTTATCGAATCTACACTATCGGTTTCTCTATTCAATTATTTCGTCACCTTAAGTGTAGATTCCTAGTATAATACTGTTTGACATATTGCACAACGAAAGAAGGGCATAGGATCTCGCTTAATTAATGTATTTCCAATAATGTATGGGTTCGTGAAAACTCTTGTCTTCTAGATATATGTAAATTTAACTGATAATCTTTGGGGCAAGCCCATCTGTTTACAGGCTATTTAGGCATCTTTTTCAATTAGCAGCTACATATTCATCATTCGATATCAAAGTGTATCTATCATCAGTATTTATTGTTTTGAATTCTATGAAATAATCTGAAGTTATAGGGTCTAAGGTTATATATGTTGACGAATACAATGTGGGGAAGTGTACAACAGAAAGGTATGATAAAATACGATATCACTGGGTTTTAAACCATGGAGGCTAGAGAGAATGATATGAGAATCTGGATGCGAAATCAGTGGGAAATGAATCATGGTGGTCAAAAGATATTTATCAGGTATTCGATGGTAGCCCGCATATTCAGGCAAATTGTCAATGTGATGCAATATGATATTCGTCAGATAGGCGCTCTAATTCATCACGCATATATAACGGATTGCCGCATCCCAGCATGTGTGAATAGATCATTCATTGTCAGATCTCCAAAGTGCGGTGCGCATTACATGGGGATAATGTGCAGACTAGCTCCAATGACTTGGCTAGCGGTGCATAATATAATCTCCAATCTCACATAGTGTACCTAAAGGTTTCCCATTGCTCAAAGTCTGTCTTATCGGTGAATTCCAATCGAGCGGATTTTGGGGATCCTTGTTCACTTTGAAGGAGTTGATCTCGCCGCCGGTTCTCGTATTTGTACCATGATAACTGAAGCATTGGAATAATAACCATGAGAGCATAACAACCCACTACGAGGTACGTTGGCGTAAGTCAGCAATCATGAGCGTAGGGAGGAATATCAACTTACTTAGCATTTTGAAAGCAAGCATGTATGCTGGTGCTTCACTTTCAAGGAAAAACTCTGTAACAGCAATTAGTACCTGGCACCTTAATCCTATCTGAGATAGTACTAACGGGGGCCTGCAACCAGACCAGCAGCCCAGCCAGCAAAAATGATACCGTTCGCCGTTGACTTTTTCGTGTTGCCCGCATAGTTTGAGGCCATTAGGCCGGTATTCAAAGTAAAAGACATCGAATGCCTAAAAGAGTTAGAAGCAATACCCAGATTTTGATAGATATCTTGACATACGTGTATGTGAGATAATAGCCAGCCAATCTTCCTGCCTGATTTGATTGAGGCAATGAATGAAGCAACGATGCACCGATCAATGGTGGGATGGATACCATTATCGAAATCCACAAGCGAATGTTGTTGTGATGAGAGGCGATATATGAGAATACCAAGAATGTGGATAGTTGAATAACGGCAGCTGGGCAAGTGGAAACAAGCGTGGTTTGGAGGGTCGAGAATCCAAACCCCTGGACGACTTGACTCGAAAACTTGGCTGTCTTAGCTTTTGAACATACAAAGCAAAAAATTGCTGTACACTTACCTGGCTAGCAAAGGTAGACGGCATGGTGTTTCCACTAATCACAACATGAGGTAAGAGAATATCTCATCATAGCCAGGATATAACACTTACACTGCGGTGATGAAGAAAAGGATTGTCTGAGGATCCCGCAGAGCTTCCCAAAATTGCGTCCATTTCCACTGATTATCGGAAGAAGCAGTATTGTTTTCTCTTACTCGCGTAATCGCGATCTTCTTCTCTTTCTCGCTTAGCCATCGTGCATTTGCCTGATTGTCTGGCATGAAGAAAATGAGAACAAAGGAGAAAGCGAAGCTTAGCGCGCCGAAGAAAACGAAAAATAATTTCCAAGTAGGAAATGAAGGGTGCACTAAAGCAGGTTAGTAGTCGTATATTTCTTACAACGCTGGGAGTACGGACTCGATCCAAGTGCATAGGAAATCAGTCTTCCGAAGAAGTTGCCAATCTATGAAACATGAGCAAGGTTAACATAATTTCTAACATTTGAGGACAATCACTGACCGGAGTCCCGCCCAACCAAAATGCAGTCCTGAATGCTTGCTCAGGCCTAGTCCACCAATTGCTCGTCACAATAACAAATACGGGCCCAATGATGCTCTCCACCAGTCCGAGACATAATCGAACGGTGACCATTCCGGCAAAGTTGACGCACAGGGCTGAATATGATAATCAGGTCAGAATGGGAGACCTGCAGTATTGGGGACGAGAAGGACTCACGCGTGAGCAGAGTAATACAGGACCAGGTGAACACAGCACCTGAAATAAACTTTCCGGCATGCTGTGGCCAACGTCGCACAAGATTGGACCATACCATAGATCCCACCATATATCCAATATAAAAGACACTATATCATCATTAATATGCTCTATCTTTTGAGAAGATACGGGAACTCACCTTCCAAGCCAACTATAATCTGATCCCTCTAAGTGTAATGCGTGCTTAAGGCCGAATATGCTGCTATAGTTGAGGAGTGTTTTATCGAGAAACTTTGAATTGTCAGCTTCGTTATTTGGATGGCAGGAATAGTCACCATACCGAGAGAACATAGCACATGCACAATAATGGTAGAAGAATCCAATCTATCTTCCTCTTCACTTGTCTTTCTTCATCTTGAGTGTACGCGAGGAACTCATTTGAATCTCCTACTCGCACATCCAGATTTTCATATAAGTACTGCTCCACCTCGGGGTCTTTCGATGTATAGCTGGTCTTCTTCAGTTCCGACTGCGAGTCATCAATTGTTGGATGTCCAACATAGGTGTCCTTATTTTCACTCATTTTGCGGTACAGCGATAGGTTCGTATGTTGTAAAAAGACAGTTCAAGTTGGGCAGTCCTACCACACCGATCCTGATGAGAAGCCATATTTAAGGAACCCCATTGAGAGTGATATTCCGGGGTTGTGGAGTTAAGGCTGGGGTATTGAGTTTGTCGCTCCGATTGTATCGGAGACGTCATGTGACACTATCGGCGTTTCTCCGACAGGAGCGCAAGCCATGGAACTACCATGCGACACAATACGATTGGGATCAAATAGAGAAACAATATACTTGATCATTGTGTAAGTGAAGGTACAAGCGACGAAACACGTATGCCATCAGCTCGACACTCTATCATTGGACACTGCCTAACGGCCTCCGTCTTCTTGAAGCAAATTCGGCTCAATTTAACTCTGCGTCTATATTTGGAAAATGAACAGAGAAGGCATTCAGGGTGTTGATTTGCACTCTAGGAGTGAAAGCACCTCCCTATATTAGAAACCTTCCATTAAGATTATCCATCAAATCACATATATCTGACTCATCATCAGTAGAGCGTATCTTCGTTATTGCCATAATAAGTTCACGAGTTCTTCCCACATAAGTACCCCATCTTTCGCCTTTTTTGAGACGTTCTAGAACCCAGTCACGATGAATGGGATCCACTGTGCAAATCCCAGCGAGAAAGAGGGATGACGGTACTAACGAAGATGGGGAATCGCTGCGTGAGGGATCTTGTTGTAATTTAAGTTGACAGTGTAGAATACGAGACACAGAATTCTCCCACTGAATGGATTTAAATGGCTAGTCAAGATCAGCCGATTTCTCTGCGCAGGCTTGAAAACAAAACCAAGAGACGGTACTCACGTATAGGAGGTAGAGATATAGCACAGCACCGTGGAGAGCTGCCATGACAAGATATTGGGCGTATGTAGACGCCTCGAGGACAGATTCCATTGGCAGAACTTCGTCTGGATTGTGGCCTCTGCTCCTCATTTGATGTTCCCATTGCCGAATCTCATGTTCAATATGTCTATGCAGTGAGCGTACCTCCTCAGTACGTACTGGCGAGGTGATTACGTCTTCACTTTCCATTTGGAATCGTAGCCGCATGTCAAGTTCTCCAACTTTCATGCGTAATATATTAGCTCGAAGGAGGCTGACCAATGCATTAGATGCTGAGCCAGCAGTACTGTCATGGTCGAAGATGAATGACATGGCAGGAATTTGGCGTAAAGACCTGATTAGCTTTCCACCCCCAAGTCGATAGCAGGAAGCCCGTGCATCTAGAAGAGCAAGTCGGATGACCATTCGTTGAGCGAGAGAAAATGGGTCCTCCAATGCCCGCTGTCCTCTTTCGGACAAGGCAATTTGAGAGGCTTCAGTGATGAGGCAGTGGAATGACTCTATGTCACCTGCTAGAAGATGTACCCTCTTCGCGCGTACAAAGAGCGCAGAAAGAAGGCTACCCGGCTCTGAGACATGGTCTTTGCAAGCTTCAAATGAGTCATGGGCCAGCTGCTCATATTGTGATGCCGTTTCCAAGTAAGAGTTATTTCCCAATGCCAAATGTGACGCGGAGAATGCAAGAATGGCGTACAGAAGCGGTTTGAAGGAGAGTGACTGTGAAAATGCGGTGGTATACAGGTTATTAGCACCTCTCGGATAATCATCAACCTTTGCGTAGCCAGTCATAGTTCCCAGATAGTGTTGTATCAGGTGCTGCTCGTCGGCGCCTAAGCTTGGGGTTTCCAATGGAATACTAGCATTTGGCCTTCGGTCATTTTCACGTAAATGGGGATTCTCCTGAGGTTGAAGGAAATTTGAAGAGGGTAATGAATCCGGCAGATTCATCAGATTTGACGAATCCCCAGAAGGTAACGAAAATGAGTGGTCAAGAGCGGGTAGCTGTGCAAAATCAAGTCCCTCCCCGTTGAAATTCAAATCTACCGGATTGAGATCCAAGTCGAAGTCAATATCGAAGGGCAAGTCTCCAAGGATATCAACACAAGCATCGATTTCAAAGGAGGTTGGTTGAGCAAAAGCTGAGCTATCTTGTCCAGGAGGTGTCGGTCCATCGGCATGCCTTGTGGCATAATTCTCTTGTGACCCACTAGCCTGAGATGCCTCATGGGGGAATGTGCAATCCATGCTTCCATTCGCCCTGCTGTATCGAGAGCGTTCGCGCCTTCGCCCGATCGTCTGCCGTCTTTTCGGTGGGGGGTCATAATCTTCCCCAGCCGACGGGGCGCTCCACCGACATTCCAGACCAAGCCGCCTGCAGCAATCACAGCTGGCCCGCCTATCAAGGCCGTCAATGCCCTCCTGGACTTCAGACTTGCATTTTACTTTTCGAATTTTACATGTATAGCAACCTGACGATGGTTAATAAGTAGTATAGTAGATCAAATGTTAAATACCGACCGGAGCGAACTTGCTGCCGTGCAGTTGAGGGTTTTGGGGCGAGCATGGATGCCATTGCCACACATGCCACATGATACGTTCCAGAAGCATGAGCCTGGTATTGTAGACTGAACGAACGTATTGAGCGTAGTGATGAGAAGGAAGTACAGTTCAGGGTTTCAGCTGATCATGTGTCGAGAGGTAGATCTCATCGCGTGTCTGGTTCTCGTCACGTGGGGTGGGGCCGTGCGCCGGTATCACGCGATGTCCATTCTCCAGAACGCGATACCATGATCAGTCATTCGCTATTCCATTGGATTCCCACTGTAGATGCTGGCTGCTGGTATAGCGGACAACTGCCATGAGTACCAAGGGTATTGGTGTTGATGCCTCTTGCATGATGGCTCTTCGATATTGAGCTTGGCCGGTATCACGGAGTCGAAGCTTGGTGAGACACGTTCTCATTATCAGCTTTGTATTTGAAAAGTGGTTTCGAACGCATGATGGAGAGAATGGGCTGTGTTCACTTTCTCTCCAGGGATTTCAAGGATCTTGTTCAATTTTCAGCGGTGGAACCTATTACTGTGGAGTTTGGAGCATGGCTCTTCATCCTGCACAGAGGTTGTCACCTTGTATTTTTCATTTACTAGTTATAAACCTCATACTAGTAACCACGGATCGCCCCTAGTGATAACCTACCGGGAGCTACTAGTAAGCAAAGCTCACCTGACAACCTGACAACCCCCCTATTCCTCTTCATCCCCGTCGTAGCAACTTAGAGGAAAGAGGTGGACTAGATTCTGCTTTAGGTCGACGCGGAAGTTCGACCTTGGAATTACAATAATGAAAAAAGGAAATTCATCATTTCCTCAATGCTGCCTGCTATTGTGCTCATGTTCGCCTCCAGGTCCCGATCCACTCCTCTCGCGACATATGTTGTCTCACTGGATACTGCGCCAGATTCGTTGCTCTGCGACATGGCCCTGTCACTCCTCGGCCCGAAGGCCGACCATTTGGTGGACAAGTTCTATGATGCACACTTCAAACCCCCACAGAATAGAAGTATCGGCAAAGTCGCAGTCCGGCGGAGTGTTTGATTGAAGGAGGCCCTCAACACGCCTTATGATTTGACAGGCCTCTCTCAGCAGCGTGCGCCAAACTCTAGCTCAGCCACTCGCACATAGATGCAGCCTAGTCTGCTCCGCGGGCTGATTGTTGTTGGGAACTGGAATCATGAGTTGGTCTCCCACTTTTTCTTGTTAGCTTGCTGCGTGAAATGCACTTTAAGCTCATATGGTGTATCTCACTGATCTCGAGTAAGACGCCTGGGTAGTCCGGCAGGGGCCCTGGCTTCAATAGTTTCTCTAACATACAATGGGGCCTTCATTACACCCTCGCATCACATGGGTGCTATGTCTCTGGTGGGCCTGCTCAATCGGATTTGGAGCATGGCTCTTCATCCCCTTTATAACAACTTATGGGAAGTCGTTGGACTGGATTCTGCATTTGGTCGACACAGAAGACTGGTTTTGGAAGAAAGATATTAAAAAATGACTGCGCATTGTGTTCTCAATGTTGCCCGTTACTGTATGTCGCTTATCCAACGTCTCCACTGCTGTTGTTCCTCCTGTCGACGAGATGTTATCTTGGTTCATAGCTTGCCAGATTCTTTCCTCCACAGCACGGTCGTCCTGCTCCTCAGCCCGGAGCGCCAGCATTCGGTTAACGAATTCAAGTAATCTAACCTCAAATCCCATGACAATCGAACCATGCGCGAAGTCGTTGTCAATGGTGGGGTTTGAGGCAAGCACACGGTCAATCCTTCTCATCAGGTCACAAGCCCGCCTAAGCAGTGTCCGTCGGATTCTTGCTCGACCAGCCTCACGCGAACGAAGCCTAGTGAGTTATTCCAGCTGCCCGTGATCGGGAACTGGGATTGGATGACGGTCGCCCACTTTTTCTTGTTAGCTTGCTGCTTGAAATGCACTCAAGTTCATGTGCTATAGCCCACTGATCTCGGTACTGGGATAGATAACGGTTTGAGGGTTTTGTGGCTGCAGGTTCCGCCTATGGGTTGCCTAATGCAGGTAAATATTGTGGGTCGTCGCCAATATCATGTAGGAACAAGGAGCTTCACCTGTCTTGGTTGTGTGGCTCACAGTTTTTAGAAATCCTATCATTGGTGAAGGAAGGAAGAAGAGTATCGGGAGCAGTTTAAATGCTAATTCCTACGACAGAAGGTGCGTTTTCGCGTGGAAGGCGCGAGTATAACTTCACCCTAAACAGGTAGAAGCAAGACTAGGTAACTCAATGCTCCCATTGTAACAACAGTCACAAACCAACCTTACCAGAGCTTTCATAATTTCGAAGCCTGGTAAAAAAATATAATATATGTAAATACATATATATAATGACCTACAAGTGAGGTAAATTAATGATTGGCAGAAGCCTGGTCAAAGGATGGTATGAAATAAATATACAGAGTACGGCATAACTCATGTGTAAATGATCTTAGACAAAGCGTTAGTGAATGATGATGTCAATGGAAAGCAAGGTGATGGTAGGTACGTAGTTAGGGTCCTCACCTTAACAAATGTTCTAAGATCATACATGAGTCCAATCCCAGTTGTGTCAAAATGGCTTCCAATAACAGAAAAACAAAATAACAAGTAAAAATTTCTTACATGAAAGTCGAAATGCGATCTTAGCATTTAATTCCTCTTGGTATGGTAGTTTACCGCGGCCTTGAATCCAGCTAGCTCCCGCTTCGTTCTCACAGTTCACATCCCTCCACAGATCACGCTCAGCGTGCCGGTCCATTGACTCTTCCCTATTTAGACCTGTCAATATCGATGGACCAACAGAGCTTGCATACGGATAGCTGGGACTTACAGAGGAGGAAAGTTATTTCCCACAGGTAATACGATTCCTGGATGATACAAGGTGGATGGTGGTGATGATAGATGCTATGAAATTGTGCGAGGCTATTTAGCCTGGGAATGATGTTCTGTGTCACAAGACGGAGTCTCCTTTTATCTAACCACATTCAGATTATCTGGGGGAAATATGAAACCTTGTTCGCAGTTCTCATTCAGCTTACGCTACATGAGATGACCTACTTGACCATGATGAGGGTCATAGATACCAGATAGTGCTGGCGAGTGAATAAAAGAAAGACCGCGATTGGACTAAGTTTGTAATTTAAAAAATACATGGACAGAAAGAATGGTAATGATGGAGAAATGCAGATCGTTATGCTCTTAGAGACTGCCGAAACAGGGCCGGCGACCGGAAGTTCCATATCATGATCGGGAGGCGTAGCGGTATTACATAACCTGGTGCAATATCTCTGCTTCCTCGGCACTAGCACATTAATCCTCCATCCGCAGCGCGATGAAGCTATTAAAAAGGACCAACATTCGACGCTCATAGTGCTAGAGCCTCTGGATCTCGGCATACTGGCAAGGGTAGGTGTGGTGGGGCATGAGAGCTCGCACAGCGCGAAATACTCCTCTCCCCTCTCGCAGAATTGCTCTACGAGCGTGCGCTCGTCCACTTCGCTGGAAGCGCAAGTTCGTTAGGGTGTGAAGCTTGGAGTTGCTAGGCGTCGGGATGGGACGGCTATCAGACACTGATTTCGTCAGCGTTTGTGTTCAAAGGCGGTTTGGCACTAAGGATGAGGTGAAAGGAGGGGATCTCACTCTTGGCTGATTTCACGGACTTTGGGATTGTATTTGGATGTCCAGGAAGTGATTGCAGTGTTCAATCTATAACAAGAGCAGCCCGAGTTAGACGTTTGTCTCGCCTCAACTATTTCCAATGGGCGGAAGGGCCATACCTGTGTTAGAGAGGAAGTGTGTGTTGAAGATTGCAATCATGGATGAGAGTCAGAGAGGGCATTCTGCGCGAATTCTGCTGGGAATTATCATCGAGGGATGGGGTTTGTTACTCTTAATAACCTGGATCCTGTATGCAAGGTTTCGATTCGATAGAAGAGTTTATATAAAACAGCCTGGGGCTACTGCTATATCAGTCAGCGTTTTATCCTGTCGCAAATATTCGTTATGGGAAAAGGCCCTAACCTGTTTTGCGATAAGTATGAGTAATGGAAATGGAGATGGTTTGTTGAGGAATTGGAGGAAGGTCGAGGGGGAATAAGATCTTGAATAGTAGCCGAGAAGCTTCGTTTTCGGGAGTGTTGGATATCAGACCGACCTTTGACTTGTTTGTCAGACTGATCACTTGTTTGCTTGAATTGGCAGGGTATAAAGAACCTGCTCATTGCTAGATTGAGCAACAATGATGTTCTTTATCTTCCTCCTCTCACCAGTAGCCGTAACAGGGAGGTGTAAGTGTGTCTGAGAAAGCGCAAAATTGGTGAGGGGATAACCAGCGCTAGTACGATGAGAAAGCCTGATCATAAACCCACCTTCTAAATACTTCTGATGCCCTCAAAATATCTAACGGATCGCGAGATGGGCCAGCATGGTGCTTTCAGGCAGCAAGAAAAGAAGGGCATTATACGTATCTTGCATTAGTCAGATGTGGAAAACTCACCTGAAAGCTCTTTAAATGAAAGATAAATATACATAATCGGATGGAAATCATCACATTCAAATATGGTTCTTCAAAACCGAGTGCCGACCCACTTCCGATGCCCTCAGTCTCGTCGATCTAAACACCGATGGACCTTCTCCATGGAGACGAATCGATGCGACACAGGGATGAGCTCCTAGAGCTAAGTATTACCAATCGTTTATTATATGGGACGGACGATGATCAATGAGGGTATCATATTCTACAGGACTATCCCCAGCTGGTAACTATCCATAGATATGCGCTCGGAATGTAGACCTCCGTCGATCCTACCCTCTCCATGTCCTTCGGCAGATCATACAATATTAACCTACGTGGCGCCAGACAATCGCTCCTCGTGCCGACCCAGTCGCTCCTCAGCCTGTAGGGTCCGCAGATTCTCCATGATCCCCGTTAATCTCGCTTTATAGTTGGCCAGTCGGTAGACCACAACTGGGTGAAGGGGATAACTGTATGGCCTCAGCAGGGTTACAATGCACTCCCTGATATGGCTCGCCAGGCGTAGGAGTCGCCTCCGAATCTCCGCGTATCTGGCCCTCTGCACCCTTAACTGGGTGAGTTGCTCGAGTTGTCTATCGTCTGGGACCGAGACTCGCTGTTGGTCGGCCACTTCCTTCGTTAGCTTTTTCATTGACTATAGGGGAACTAATTTTTGAGGAGAGAGGTGTATCTCACTATTGGCAGGCTTTTTCTAGGGTCGGTTGCAAGTTTGCAAAAGTATTGTAGGGCCAGCCTGTAAGTAACCAGTGTCAGTCAGCCTCCTGTCTCGGCGCAGGTAGTATCTATAGGGATGAGGGATCCTGCCGTCAATGTTGGGTCAAGGAGCAAGCAACAACGGGTGATGGTGAGAGAAGAAACGAGAGAAAAGATTGAGAGAAGATGTTAAATAGTAATCGAGAAACTGCGTGTCCACGCGGAAGGTGCGATTGCCACCTTAGGAAAGCGTAATATAGGTCATGTTTAATCAATGCTTTATCTACATACAGATCGTGCTTGCCATCAATATCAGGACGGATTACTATCAAAGTGGTAGCTTGAATCCCTCTCTTAGGTATATGACCCAAGTCTTCTGAATGTGAAGTAAGGGTAAACTGAGATCATGTTAAGCGCTCACTGCGTTCAGGGGCTATGGTTGTCTATTTCACATTTCAGGCAATGGCCTTCCGAATGCACCCATCTACAAGTTGCTCCTCGGCCTTCAGACTCTTCATCTCATCCACAACCGCTGTCAATCAGGTTTCATAAGTGTGTAGTCTCTAGAGCACAATTGGAAGATATGGATAGCTATAGGTCCCGAGAAGGGTCAAAGCCAATTTTATGATGAGTATCACCTCGTCTATGATCACACTATGAGCATGGGCTCCCCTGGTGTTTCGAATACGTAACCGAATCAGTAGCTCGAGCTGTCGGTCACTCGGTTTGCGGATTGGCTGCTAGTCAGCCACTCCCCTTGTTAGCTTTCTACGTGAAGGCGGCTAGGTCTAGTAATTGAGGGGGGGTATCTATCTTACGAGGCTTTGTCAGGTCCAGATGTACAGTTTCGATGTAGTCGAAGCGTTTGTGCAAAATAAGAAGATGAGACGCCGGAGACGACTCCAAGTGTGCACCATATAGGACAGATGATAATCAAACATGGCGTGATATTCGTCGGACTTTCTCAGGTTGATAACAGTGCATTGATGTGCTATCGAGGTGCTGACCTCTCCTCCATTACACCCTCCCAATATCCTCTAGTGGATCGCACACTTCGCAATTTCAATTCCTCGCTCACCCGCCGCCATAGAATCTCCTCCGCGCACAGGTGAGGCGTGCGCTCCTCTGCCCGCAGGATCTTCATTTGTTCCATCAGCGCGACCATGCTGTCTTCATAAGAGCGTAATCTTTGGAGCACGGTCGGGTGATACGGGTAATTATACGCACAGAGGAGGAGCAGGACGGAATTCATGGTTTGGCCTGTCTCGGATAGGATTCTTCTGCAAACCCGGGCCTTTCGGACCCTCGGGAGACGTAACTGAGTGAGCTGCTCCATCCGCCTGTAATTTGGCACTAGGATCGGCCTCTCGTCGGCCACTTCTTTTGTCATCTTTGTGCTCTAATTTACGGGAATCAGTCTTTCTATGGAGGCATGTATCTCACTATTGGCAGACTTTGATGGCGTATGGTTGTGAATTTTCCAGACTATGGTATGGCTCAACCTATGAATGCCCAGTGCGAGTTGGCCTTCTCGTTTGGCGTGATAGTTCGATGGCAAAGTGTGAATGTTGGGTAAGATGAAAGAAAAGAAAAACGAGGTGATGTCGAATAGTGGCTGATAAACTGCGATTTCCCCAGAAAGGTGCGACTCTCAGCTCTAGGAAAGAGCAAGATAAGCGTCATATCTTTGGTAGTTGTCATTCCGGGGTGAGGGAAACCACATCGCAGAAATGAAGGCAGATTGCAAAGGGTAAAGGGGGAAGTAACGGAGAATTGCAAAAGAAAGCCCTCACCTTTCATTACGATTGTTCTTCCATCACTCCTCAATCAAACATCAATTTGCTTTCAATTCTGATTCATTGTATATTCTAGAGCATCCATTATATCCTGGCACCCAACTTCTAAGTATGAAGGTGTTAAGAGGGTCAGGTTCTAGTGACCTCTAGTATATCGCTAGTTTAGGTCTAGGTGATAGTCGCGCCTTCCTCATGCAGTACTCCTTCCTCATTTAGCCTTGAAGAAATTCCTTCCTACCATCCTCCACAAACACCATCTATTCTTTCAAAATATGTTCCTTGTCCAAAATCTTCGCGCTTGTCACCCAACACCTGGCCCACGTCTTGCGAGGTATGACACATGGACCCCTAAGACGATGAGTGGGTTCTATGATAAAGCAGAGCACTAATAGAGAGTGGTTATTGCGTAGGCTTCCATCAATCCACAATCGGCAAACTCACCAAGCAAGGAGACATCGACAACCCAATTTACCAATGAGATACACCCCTCCGCGTGATATTTTGTCTTAACTAGAGAAAAGTGAGTGATGGTCGACCGATCCCCCCTCCCGACCGACAGCAGTTCGATCTATTCGATCAGCTGCAACTTCGCCGTACTAGGCGCGCTTATCGCCGGGAAGTTATAATTGCCGAAGCATCGCACATATTCCGATGGGTTGGGTTCATCATGGCTAGATATGCCACAGGCCACCAGGCACCCACGGTTGATATTCTTTTGAATTTTGAGCGGCGGGTCAGGGTTTTCGTATCCGATATGGCGAGGCTCATGATCGGAGACGACCTTGACCGGCGCTTCGGGGATGAGATCTGGAGCCTAGTCGGATGACATTTTCAAGATGATACCGACTACGTTGTATTTGATTCTTTGAATCTTTGTTAGAGTAGTCATTACCCAATATCAATCTAATGTTACTTTGCATTATGATGATCCTTCACTCCGCCTATCAGATATAATTTCGCTCCCGAGGTCTCATTTCCGGCTTAATATACATATAATGTGTTAATAAACATAGGATACAGATGCTAGGAAGACTTATTTCTCTTACTCGCCGCTGTGATGGAATTCCAGGCTTAGTTAGGGTTCACTGTCTTGAATTTTGCTCAATGCGAGTCGCTTGCTCGCCTCCCCCACAAGAAAGAGCGTCATCCTGAAGGGAATGCGACTGCCACCCGTGGAGGCAAATGGCGAGGCTGATGAGGCCTAACCATTACTTCCGATGGACATCATCCACATCTTAGTAGATGGGGAAGGAACACTGTGAGTAACTGAAATCAATGATGATGATAATTTACCTACTGCCATGAAGTTCGCGAAATATCTTCACAGGAACAAAGAGTCGAAAGCCTGAGAGCCACAAATAGGTAAAGGGCGGCCTTGGAGACTGCCGCTAACCAGGCAATGTCTCCGTTCAATGACATCGCTGATATTATGGATGCAAATACAGTTCTAGTGACGATCATATTTAGGAATAACTAGTAGGGTGAAGTTTGAACCAGTGCGCTTAAGTAGCTGATGTCAACAAAAGAAACGACCAAACTGAGGTATTTTGAACATCTGACTGTGGTTGTATGGTTCATTGAGACAATCTTCTTTCAAATCCGCTGAACCGCCCGGATCCTTTTCGGCCCGTGCTACTGCAGTGTCCAACCGTCCCTCACAGCAGATGTATTTTATACTCAGTCTGTCAATGCATTATGTCTAGGAATGCACACTGTCTGTATTAGGAATATTCTTAAGATTTTCCAAATACTGGCTTCGAATCTGCTCGCAAACGCCCCAAATTCGCCTCCGGTTGGCAAGTCCAAAAATGTAATCATCATTCTCGGATGAATACTGACTCTTTTTTTCAATATCCACAAGTAGGTTGGAGGCTTTTTCCTCTACCACTTGGGATTGAAAGACATCAACATCGTGAATCTCCCAGAGCCACGGTATTTCACTTCTCAGCCTATGCTTCCAAAAGCCGTCTGACAAGGAGGTAGTATGCATCGCCAATGAAGCGGCCTTCAGAGCAAGGATAGAACCAACGGGGAGAAACTTTAAAACCCAATTTCGCAACTCAGCTGGAAGCCTATCAAAAATGTCTTCGCTTCGGGAATGCTGGTCCGCTGTTGCCTTCTTGTCGAGAGATTCTGTGATGGGATCAAGCTCGGCTTTCAGTTGGGGAATTTCAACCGGGTTCACCACCAAAACCTGCTTGCTATAAGCTTTTGGTCTTCTATCATTGAATAGGGATTCCAAAACAACGTACTTCTTGGCCTTTGATACTAAGCCAATCCTGTTCGGTAGGTGGCTCCGGTTCGCCATAACTGACCTCCAACCTGGTGTTTGTTTTCCCCAGCAAATCTTCCATGACATTAACTAATACTTCCCCCTTAAGCTTCCCAGTGTTCTCTTGCTGGATACACCTCTGGAGAATACCATGGTAGCAAATTGGATGGAAGGGAAATACGTGAGGCAATTGAGGGTCGTCCATCGCATGATAACTATCAGTGTCAGGATGGAGTGGTGGCAAGGTTGAGTGGTACAGCATACGCAGTCATTGAGATATGGTCACTATCATCATAGCAGGATTCGTTAGGATCTTATAGCGATATCAGTCAGTTGATTGAATCTTGTTTATATAAGCCTCAGAAGGTAAGTGAGAAACCCACCACCTGCCGGGGGAACCGAAATTGATCCCTGTAAAGCAAACATTAACTCCGAATATTTTGTCTGCCCTGTTAGAAAGAGCCATACATAGTCCCAATAGAAGCCGACACCCGAGACAAATGATCTAGAAGTTTATACGTAAGAACATCTCCTTCGCCCTGCTGATATCAGGAGAAAATGGTCACAAACTTATCATTTCCAGGCGCATCAGGATTAATACCCAGACCACATACTTCCTCTAGCCATTCTAGCTTGCAATCTCTCAGGACTTTGTCACGATAACAGAATTCATCCACGTCTGTCTCTTCGGGGTCGATGTCCAGGTGGCTCGAGAACGGACCACCACATATCGCGCAATACACTGACCATCCGCCCATGCTGTGTTCTCCGGATTTGAATCTCGATGGTAACCTTGGAAGGAGTGGAATAAGGGAGAACGTTGAATCTAAGTTTATCACGTGGGTTAAATGCGGGGATTAAGTAATCTGTGGGGAAACGGATCAACAAGCAGCTAGAAATTATCCGGCTTCAACGCCGACCTCCTTAGCTACTAGAAGCGTCTCTTTAGCTATAAAAGGACCCATCGAGGACTGAGGGAGATATATGAGTAAATTTTAAAGAGTCTCTGGTATTCAAACTATGGGAACCAGGGTATTTATACCCAGATAGAAATGGCAATCGAGCGGTCAGTCTGACAAACAAACATAACGACAGTCCGAAGATAATGTGAGGGCGGTCCGAGGACGGTCCGATTATGACAGGATCTTTTTCACATCCTTAAGGACTTCTTAGTAGCTATAATGACCTCTACTACCGCTAGTAGGACCTCTTTCACACTCTCCGCTCCAATCTCTAGAGCACTTCGGAAATCGACTAAGAGGGGTAGAATCCTTGACACCTCTGTACGTTCAATGGACGTCAATAATTATAGTTGCCTTCACATTCACTCCGGCGCTGTCGTGGGCGGGCTGAGTCTGCCGGTCTGCCAGCTGCGTGGTCGACTATAGCGCCTGCCGATTGTTGGCCACTCTTTCAATATCAGTATTGTGTCCGGAATGCGGCTTCGAACGGCGCATTGAGGCGAACGGGGGTATATCTCACTTGCTTTGTATGTGGTGCAGAATTCAGTCGGTTTTTATGTAAGAACTCGGATCTCCAATGCGTGTGATCTACAAGATGAGTTCTACGTTAGCTCCTTGTCTTTTCATAAACTCTAATCATGGAGAAGGGGTCGTTCAAATGCAGGTGGGGTGACAAATTTGAAACTGAAGAATGGAGCTGAAATACATTTATAGAAGTAGGCTGATCAGATAAAGGAAGATTAGACTGAATAAGCATCTCACAAACAAATCCCACTAGTCGTATCTCGAGTAGCTGCAGCATCCGTGGGATAGAACCAGAGAGACGAAAGCGACGAGGAGCGCGCAGGTTGATTAAACCTGCACTAGTCGCCATGATGAGTCGGGAATTCACGTCCGCACCGGGCCGGAAGCTGCAACGGGCCGCAGCCGCGGGGAAGTTACAAGACGTGCACGACCAGCCCCATTGGACTTGACTCCAGTCCTCAGTTGGCACAAGCATCACACTCGCCCCCGACTGGAGCCTGGTGGCCACACAGCTGGCGCACAAAGAGCCGTGCGGAGCGGAATCATACGGGCGAACAGATCATCTATGCCTGACGTGCCCATATAGCGCACCATGCGCAAACCGGCCGCGTCGAACCCCACGATATATGGAACGATCGCGTCAGTACGCCGCCGTGACGACGAAGGCCTGAAAGATTCTTCGTCGTTAGAGTCGTTAGAGTCGTTAGCTATGGTATACTAGGTACCTGGATAATTGATACCTGAGTTACTGATGCCTGGATAATTTCCATATTCCCAGCTCGGGTGTCGCCCACTCTCCCAATTCTCGCTTCATATTTGGAACGCGATTAGCAACGTGAGATCGAGGGGGTGTATCTCATTTTCTCCAGATCCTGGATTTGAGAGATCGTTTTGGAATTTGACGATTTGGTCAAGTGAAACCTGCAAAACAAATATGTCGAGGCCATGCTTTCTCTAGTAAGCCACTGTCGGTCATGGGCTCAAGTAAATTTACCTTTGTTTGTTGGTTGTATCTTCGAGATTGCGTGAAATGTGAAGTTGAACATGAAAGTAACATCAAATCGCACCTAACTCGAATTTTCGACTTCAGTTTCAGTCGTTTTTCAGTCAATTTGGTCCCAAGTGCAATTCCTTACCTGATCCATGGCAAGGTCGTCCTTCTCTTCGACCTCGATGTCTAGCATGTGATCTAGAAGTCTTCATTCACCCTCAGGGTCCTTCTGGCTACCGTTACGATATCGTACAAGTCGCTGTCCGGATCAATGCACCGCTGCCATGTGCAGCTCGCAGGCCCGCGCTCCATAAGCTGCTCATGTAGGGCATTGGTCAGCGCCCATATCGGGCGGCTGTGACTTGTCTGGTAGCCCTATTAGTAATTGCTCTAGTCATAGAAGCATTGGTGGCGCCAAAGAAGCGTGCTCAAATTCTTAGGTTCTGTGCATATTTAACATACCTGCAACAACCACTAGAATGAGGATAGCCTTGTAGTATTCCTTTCCTTATACACACCCACTCTCATAGCTGGACTAGGACGTTGAGCTGTCCATCCCTTTATGATGGCACTAGCTGATTGTCGGCCAGCTTTCCAATCAGCTTTAGTTTTGTCTCCATAGCCGAGGTAGAAACGGGTGATCGTGGGGTGGTGCGTTTTGGACAGGGTCGCATGGTTTTTTGGTCAGCGTGACAGGGGTGTGATGAGCGGCGGAGCTATATGCTATTTAGGACCTTCGTGACGTTGGCGTACGGCACTGCTTTTATCGCTTCCCAGACGTCCTCCGCGATGGAGTCCGGCTTGTCCATAATTCAGTGGGCCTAAGGACCACTCTTTGGGTGGAATCCGATGATTTTTATAATGATGGACAGGGTCATGGTGTTCTTCCATTATTTTTTATGGCCATATCAGTTGGGGCGTACCGCATGTGGATGCCGTATTTCTTGGCGACGTTGCTGTTGTAATGGATGTGCAGTGTGGTGGCGGTCAAGGCTCCGGAGATGACACTCGTCGGAGCGATGACTTCGCCAAATCCAAGTTCGCGGAACGGGGGGCTTTCGCTTTCTTGGTCAACGACCAAAGATAGTGATGAAGGAGAGTTCCGCACAGCAGATAATAATCGCCGTACTCATCTCACGTGCTCGTTCCTATTGGACCGTGTCTAGTGGTTTGTTGCAGAAGATAGTTGCAGAGTATAACCTCTAAAATAGTCCGTCATTGTTAGCTCCTGGTCTCTTATGACTTTTGGTCCTCGACTAAGCAGCAGTACCTTTTCAAGGGTTGCAGATGGTGTAGGAAATGTTAATATTGGACAGGATAAGAGGCAAAAGCACCAGGGAGAATTTTAAATAGAAATTCCTACGAGAAGGCGCATCTTCACAAAGAACAACTCTCACACCGAAAAGGAAAGACCAAGGTGACGAACGCTTCTTTCATATAGCCACAATCATAAGGCAAGTCAACATTTTGATATATCTAAGATCAGTCCTAGGCGGTGATGAATTATATAAATAGTAAGGTGTAAGTAATGGCAAAGTGAGATTGGGATGATATTTTAAATTAAACATGAGTATAATGCGAAGTGGAAGCCAAATGAGGTTTGACGATGTCAGTTGGGCCTTATATATTGAAGATGAGACTTGGGTGAGATGGTTTCATGACCGCCTAGGTGACTCACTCTACCTAGGTGTAATATTCCAGTAGACAGTAGACATTTCTACTAGATTCCATCAACTACACCCGGGTCGGTAATATAAACCTCCAGCTTCCAAGTCTTCTTGAAGGTATCGCCTAGCAAGATTGCCATATCTTGGTGATCGTTTCCGACGATGTTGTTCGCGGAGTCCAAAAGGCGCTCCATTTTGTAGTCTCGATCCGCTCGGAAGGTCCTGTACTGTCTCTGCACGGTCCTTTTCATGTTAATGAAATATCTGGACGCGATGACTGAGCCCAAGCTGAACACAGGCGAGTTCTTGACGTTTTTGTCGGTCTTCAAAGTCAGGTTGCCGAGTTTTTCGGCGTGTGTACGGCCCACGAGGGGGATTCCTCCGCGCGCTACCATAATCATTGGGAGACCGTGGACCCAGCCGAGTGGCGCAGGGTCCTCAGGTGTTTACTAGGGAAAGCTGTGCAGAATATGTCCGAACACCCAGATCCAGATCTGATTCACTTTCCGACTCATCAAGTACTCTGCGTCTCATATGATTGTGATGCGTTTGAGACATGTTTCATAGTGGCATTACGCAACATGGTCACATGCTCACCGACCCACTGCTCAGTCTTCCTGTTCGTCGGCCTTCATTTCCATCATAAGGTCAAGGAGATACTCGATCCGCCCCCTCCACCCCCTTCTGGCTACGCGCCCGATATGTCCTAAGTTACCAGACAAACTAAGCGTCCTCAAGGCTCGGTAGATATGAATGTTATCGAATGGCCATCAATGGACCAAATTAGAACCCTCATAAAGATCTATGGGGGGATATTTGGACGTATACCCACAACATGATTGTAAAGCTCTTCAAGTCCACACATCCCACTAGTCCAATCCCAGTCGCTCTTGGTCATCTCCACCCATCAATGCGATGAGCTGAACATCTTTCACCGCTTACTTGTTAACTTTGTGTTAGGAACACTGTTGGACATGGTTTAAGCGAATTCTCCAGAAATGGGTCTTCCATATCTCAGTCACTTGAAGCTACCTCGGCCGCGAGCGCTGCGTTCCTCACATCTCCCGCTCCCCTCATTGACCCAGCACGGCCTGTTACGCTTCGTCATCCACCCGGATGGCACTAATCCGTCCGTGGACGTCTCTGAGGCTCTGGTTGGTGCGTCTCATGATGGACCGTAAGGTGGGATGATGTGCTGTTTCAGGTTCACGAAAAATGGCGGAGGCTCTCCAGTTGTTGAATATGTTTTAGTAACCAGGTAGTACCAGCGGTTCGCTCGATTTGCTGCTGCATCTCGTCGTTGCCGATGGACTGGATAGGCTGTGGATAAGCCACCGCTATCTTGTTAGTTTTCTTTTCTTTTGTCCCCACGGTACGGGTTTAAGACAGGGAGATTGGATCTCACTGTTGTAGGTGTAGTTGAAAATGTGTCTTGTGTGGGAAAACGATGTGTGGCGTGAAAACTAGGTGCTTCCTATGATAGATTAAATTAGGGCTTGTCAGCTTTTTCTTTCGATGCAAATCTTAGTCACGGGCTGCAAAGCCTCACCGTTGGACATATGACGGTAGTGGTGGTAAATCAAGGGGATACTTGAAGAGGGAAAGAGAACACTCGGGAGGATCTTAAATAGCAATCGAGAAACTGCGCCTTCACGAGGAAGGTGTGACTGTCCCCTTCAAAGAGAAAGAACAAGACCAATATCAACTCTCCTGAGATATATATACCATGACCCATGTTAACATTTTTATAAACTTGGAAGAATCACCAGTAAAAAATAATATAAATGAGCTGCTCTCGACAATATAGTGCTATATAAATTATAGATCTCTGAAGGAAGAGTAAGAAAAATCGAGTCCTGGCGATACCTGGGCAGCGGAGGGCTATATAATCTACATGGACACCGTTTGCTTAAAGGTATGCCTTAGACTCCATGTAGTATCCAGCTTGATTGGCTGTCTTGATTTGCTGTTTAGAAGTATGAGCTTTCACATTCTCTCCTTTCCACTATTGTGACCCACGCAGGACGAGGTCCAAAGATGCAAATGCAATGTGTATATAATGTGATTAGGAGCCAAATTCCCAAATGCTTGAGGAAGTGAAATTAGGTTACAATAGCTTTAATCAAGTAGAACAATCGAAAGACCACAGTAGGATTATGTATATTTTGCTTAAAGAAGCCTGAACAATCTCCAAACCTCTCGCACCATCTATGTCATATACAGAGCTTGACGTCAAAATATATGCGGGTACCAAACTCGAACTTGAATATAGAAGACGGAAAGCCCTAACTCTTCGCGCTTTGTGTATGCGATATCTAATGCCCCATTGTAATAGCGTCTTCTATTTGGTCTCAATATCACCTCCTAAGCTTGATTCACGCGGCAACGCCTGATATCAGCATCATTCTTGTCCATCACGTCCACAAAGCTCAACTATTGTGCAGTCACATACAAGCACAGAATTGGGCAAGGCCCTAGTACTTCGAGCAAGCCTTTGATCTTTTCTTCGGCTTCACGTCCCAACATAGAGTACGTGGGTTGAAGGGACCTGGCTTGTACTCTTTATTGATTGATCCTTTTACTAGTCACTAGATGGAGACTGGCATTTTGTGCCTTCCAAATACTATTGTTTCGGCTTCTTATATGGCCATACATAATAACCTTATCTGAAGAACAATGCATCATGATCGACGACAGTATTCTATTAAGATGACTAGGTGCCGGCTAAGGTACGCCAACAAGTAGTATCTCACCAAGTAAAGCATAAGGCGGTGGCTTGTCTCCTTTAAATGAGTACGAAGCTTTCTCATGTTCACCGCGTAGTAAACCTCTCGTGCTTGGAGTGGCCATCCCGCAAGGACGCGTTGAAGACGCGCGCTTTCAGCAAACAATCTCTTCTTCGCTGATTCTTCTCACCTCATAAACCAAACCTTCGACAGGCATCAAAAACAGACCACCCACTCACTCACGATGGCTCGCAAAACGCCCAAGAAGCGTGGTACGACCCGCCAGCCTGTAAAGCGTCCGGAATATCCTTGCCCAGTGTGCATCGATCGAACATTCAAAACAGAACAAGGCTTCAACGACCATGTCAAGTTTGTACACAACATCTTCTCATGTCCGAAGTGTGACGAACTCTTTGCGGCTGAGGATGACTTGATTCGACACAGAAACGGCGCGCGCCATGGGAAGCCGGCATTCGGGGGCAAAGTGAAATCGGCTTTCTCTGCTTCCGTGTCTGAGACTGAATATACTTCTTCAATGCAGATGCCGATGCGGGTCCATCAACAGTCGTCGCAGGCCCGTCCTTCCATTGGCCAGAATCGTGAACCACCTACCGATGCCCGTTTTGATGCACCTGCGAAAGCCCGTGGTCAATCCCCCGCTCAGGGACATCAGCAATCCGCAGATCAGGTCCGTCAAACACACGGCCAGGTTGTCCAACCGCAAACTCATGTTCTTTCACCACAACCTCACATCTCCCGCTCACAAGCGAATATCGTTGAATCCCAGCCCTACCTCCATCCATCCGGATATCAAGTCTTCCGTCACCAATTCCCCGCTCAGGGACATCAGCAATCCGCAGATCAGGTCCATCAAACACATGGCCAGGTTGCTCACTCCCCAGCTCAAGTTCTTTCACCACAAACTCACGTCTTTCGATCACAAGTGAATGTCGATGAATCCCAGCCCTACCTCGATCCGTCAGAATATCAAGTCTTTCCAGTACCAACTCCAGTTAGTGACCGACAAACTCAGCTTTCTCAAATCCAAGCTGAAATTCGAAGTGAAATTGAGCACGCAGCTGCCCACGCACATCGAACACAGGCTCGGATGTCTCCACCACCAGTGCAGGTTTTTCAAACACCCTCTGAGGTCTATGAGAGACGACCTCGGGTTTACCACGCACCTGCTCAGGGCTACCGAGGATTTGCTCAGGGCTCTCAGCCCCAGTTGCACTCTCACTATTCCTCGACACAAGGCCCCCAGTCTTTCGAACGGGCCTCTGTGTCTTCAGGACGGTCGTCTCAGGCTTCTGGACGGGCGAGTCAGTCTCTTCGACATAATACCCAGGCACCCCCGCAGTATCCTCACCTTCCAGCACACCACTCTCGTCCCCCAGTTCAAAACTCAGAGTCCCGTGAAGAAGACTCTCACTTCCACATGCAACACTCTCAGATTCAAATTCAAATCCAAAATCTTCAGTCTCCACTCTCCACAACCCCCCTTCAACACTCTCAGTCACAGATGCATCACTCTCAAAATGAAATGCAAGTCCGCCAGCCTCCAGCGCAGACCTCCTCAACCCCCCTGCAAGACCCCGCCCAAGCAGAGCAACTTCCCTCACCACCAACGCACCTATCCGCCAAGCATACCACAACAGCCGAGGCAAACGACACGGTCACACCCGCCGCGACAGCAACGAACACCACATCCTCCTCCATGCAGCCAGAACCATCCACACAAAGCCTGTCATTGATCTATGATGGGTCGCGACACCGCTGGACAAATCTCGATCCGCTCGAACAAACCTTACTCCACAAATACGTCCTGGGAAGGTGCCACCCAGTCCAGCGCCTGCGTCATCAAGGCTACCACATCCCGCAAAACACCGACACAACCACCTGTCTGAATAAAGGGGAACCACATCAAACCCACAACTTCGCGTGCGGCTCAATGCGCCTTAAGGCGATCGTCATAAATTGCGAAACGATCAATACCACAAAATCAACGGCGGAGCTAGCTTTCATTGTCGCGATCGACTTCCTCACCGGTGAAGTCCTGATCAACAGCTACGTCGCGCCAACAGCGACTGTGACAAACTGGATGACTCCCGTGAGCGGGATCACGCAAGAAAAGATGGATGCGGCTGTCTTTGAAGGCAAAGCCTTCCGATCGAACCGCGACGCGCGCAACGCGCTGAACGGGTTTCTCGATCGTGACACCGTGTTGATTGGTCATGCTCTCCACCATGACCTGCGGACTCTGGGCTTGAGCCACGGCCGGATTGTGGATACCGCGCTGGTCACTGCTGAGGCGGTATTCCCTAACTTTTCATCGAAAAGTGTGTTGCCGCGGATTTGGCAACTGGGGCAGTTGGCGCGTGAAATGCTGGATCTTCAGATCCAAAAGCGTGGTGAGGGACGTAGCTCCCTTGAGAATGCTTTGGCGATCAGGGAGGTTTTGATTTGGTGTCTGCGTTCGCCTGAGTGCCTTCGGGCCTGGGCTGAAAAGACTCGTAGTCAAAACGAGCATATTCGGCAGCAGAGGAAGCGGGATGCTGCCAATGCCGCGAAATAGGGGGCCGGGCTAAGGCGAACTTGAGAGGATTTGCACTCTCAAAGTTCTGAGATGGAAGAGCGTTTTGAGAGATGGGGAGGGCAGGAATGAAGAGATTCTCATGCTGTCCACCGTCCCCGGTTGGCCGGTTGGCGGCCGACTGTGGGGCGGTGGACGAGTATGGGAAGTGGCCGGGGAGAAATCGTTCGAGGAATGTACATATGTATGAGTAAGCGTGGTTTTGATTATCTCTGCTCTATCTCTGTAGATTGGTGGGAAGGATAGACACTTCCCTTAGTACTACGTAGACAAGCAAATAGGCAATTAAGTATTATCGCCGTTGACAAAGAAACTAAATCACACAGAAGACATACGAAACAAGGAACATAACGATAATGGGGATAGGGGGAATTAAACGCCAAGTGTACAGAAACAGGGGAAAGGACAGGCATAACACACATAGACAAATAGACAGAGAAGCCAATTGGACCAAGAAGGCGATGAAAAACCAGAATAGGAGAAACACGCTCCATAGAGGTACGACAATACCTCCCCAGACTTCTCTATGCACGCATCAAAAATCTCAGAGACCAAAATTCGGCTTTAAACGCCTTGATCCAAGATAGGACGCATGACAAGGCCGATAACGTGTTTTAAAGGATACTTCGACTGGCCTGGCTACGGCTCGCCTGGCTGCGACTGGTAGCGCGGCTGGGATTGGTGCGACTAGGCTCGTCTTCCTCGAGAACATCGCTCAGACGCGTGGGGTGACGATGGCGCGGTGTCACGGACTCCCACCCAGTGCCAGGACCCCAGCCAGAGCCACTGTAGTCCGCAGCGGAGGTGGGCGGATGCGGAGCCTGCAGTGGGGCGGAAGAGGCAGCGGAGGTATAGGCGCCGTCGGGCATGTACTGGCCTTCTGGGTCATACTCTTCGCTTCCCTCTGAGGAAGGGCCAGGTGGATAGCTTACGGGGTTTCCATGCTGGTCGTGGGAGTAGGGAGCATAGTCTTCATCCCCGGCTTCACTGCTGCCGACGTACGAGCGCGTGTCGGGTTCTGATGTTGTGGGTCCTGGGTATGGAACAGAGGTGTTTTCGTGTTCATACAGTGGACCCGGGTAGGGGGCTTTGGAGGCAGGTGGGTCTACCTTTTTGGGTTCGATGAAAGGGTCTGACCCCGTGGGAGACATCGGCGTGCCATCCTCGTAGTATTGTCCGCCAGCGCCCCCTGTGGACTTGCCGTGGTATGAGTCGGTGCCCATGGTTGTGGCTGTCGGTCCGCCGGGGTATGAGCCCTCGCGAGTCTGCGGGCGAGTGGTGTGACGACTAGGGAGGCCAGAAACCATAGGCACAACCTGAACGCCTCCGACCAGCGTGGGCTCTCCATTGCGCAAGGAGTTGGTGCGGTCTCGCTCCTCTTGTTCACGGCGGCCAAGCTCCTCCCAGGCACGGCGTGCCTCCTCTTTGGAGATTTGGAGTTCGCGGCGCATCTCTTTGAGTAGCTCCTCGGCCTTGACTTTGTCCTTTTCGGCTTCCTGGGCGGCGGAAAAGGCATCGGCTCGGCCTTGCCGTTCTTCTTTGAGCTGCCGGTCCAAGTCTGCCTGCACTTCCTTCGAGCGTTCTTGCTCAGCACGGGTGTCGAAAAACCAGCGTTGGAACTTGCGTTCGGAGGAGGCTCGTAGACGTTGCAGTTCGACCACTGCATGGAACAGATTGGCACCAGCGGCAGACAAGTCTGTGATTTGGCGAGCCAACTGTTGGCTGATGGGATCACGCTCCAAGTCCTCGTTGTTTTGTTCGAGCTTGCGCATCCAATAGCTCGTAAGACCCTCCCAGTGTGAGGACAGTGTTTCCCATCGCTCGAAAGCATGCGGAAACCCAACGCGTTTCGGCTGCTGAAGAGCTTGGGGGGCACCAGGCTGTCCTGCGGGTAAGGCCTGGGTGGATTTGGAGACCCCAATTGGTCTGCTTTGAGCTCCAATTTCTGCTGCACTCTGCGAGCGACCGTGCTGAGGCTGGCCAGTTGCCTGTGTCGGTCGTGACTGGCTAGCCAGTTGTCCCGTTCCAGCTGTCGGCGGTGCGGTCTGGTATTCCGATGGTCGGGTACTCGGGGCAACCTCTGCTGCTGGTCGGTAGGCAGATGCTGGCCCTGAAGCGACGGGCATGGTCTGGGGTGGTCCTTCGGAGCCCCTTGGTGCTCGTGGGGCTCTAATTCTTGATTGTGAGGCATTTTCGGCGGCAACGCCAGCAGCGTACTGTTGAGCCTGGGCCTGTATCTGGGCCTGGGCTTCAGCATGAGCTTGTTGTTCTTGCTCCAGTTGTTGTCGTTCTAATTCTTCCTGTTCTCTCTGCTGGGCCTCGTGTTCCGCTTTGCGGCGAGCCTCTCGATCCCGGCGCTGTCTCATTATATCCGTGGGGGTCCTCATACCACTCGGTGGCTGTGATGTCCCTGAGATGGGGTTCTGCGGTACACGGGCTCCACCATTTTGAACACGGCTATTGCCCACAGGCCCAGCGGGGCCAGCGACGCCTACCATGTCTGACATAGAAGCATTCACCTCGTCCCAGTCAGTGGAGAGCTGTAGGGGTCCACGTATAGCTTCCTCGAGGGCAAAAAGGACTGCCGACGCGGTGCGCGACGAGACTCCGGTGTTTCGCTGCGGCCAGTAGGAGGTATTGAGGAGCTGGTATGGGTCGTCAACTGTAGACCCGTTGTCGTCGGTCTCCGCTTCGGAAAGGGCCGGACGTAGCGCTGCGATGCCACTGGCGGCGTGTTGTACAGATACCGGGGTTGTACGCGCCGGTTGGAGTCGATTGGGGTGTGGAACCCGGGCACCTAAAGATACCGTTCGACGGTGGACAGATTGGCGGACCTCTGTCTGGCGAGGGATACGACGTAAGGGACGCTGAGAGTCGGAAGCGCTCGGTGGTCGGAATTGGGGATCGGCTGATGTAGAAGGTCGTTGAACAGTCGGCTGGCGTTGCCGCGCAAAGGTCGTAAACGTTGATGGGTCGTAAGAGTCGTGGACTTCGTGAGAGGCTTTGGGGATGTGTCGAGACACCTCTAAGAATGGTGGGTAAAATTGTGGATTGGACGACAATGTGAGTGTTGCGTCACTGAAGCAGTAGATAGCTCTCAAAGATCGCGATCGCAAAATTCTCGATCGAGCTGAGAGTTCAGAGGATTCACAGCCGCAACGGCTGTATAAATCAATACTCAATGCACAATATAATGCAATTGAGAGGAAAACTGAAGCGATTTGAAATCTGGAGAAAAGAACGAGAAAGGGTATTGCGAGGTGGCTGGTTAATTGAGATGGCTGGGGCCGCAGCTCGAGCTGCAGCCAAACGTGTCTCGGGGATGAAGCGCCAACCTTTCACACTCCGGCTGCCCGGATTCAAATTCAAACAGATAAAAGATGAAGATGAATATTGGGGCTGTGAAGCCTAAAGAAGGGTAATGTTCTCCCAAGGCAAGAATGTTGGTGTGCCTGCCCTAATTCGCCCAAATCAAATATTTCTTTTGTTTTTTTTGGCTTTTTTTTCTTTTCAGAGCTAGGGAGTTCCAAGTAGATACCTAAGGTACTTTCAAGTATATCAGTTCTCAATATTCCAATGTCATCACGCGTCCAGATCATAATGTCACTGCGCAACCAATTCAGGATGCAATACCTCAATAATTAGCTGCAACCGAGTTAAGCCGCACAGACTGTGGGTATACTGTATCGAATAGTCCAAAACTATGTTTTTGAAATGCACATGTGTAGTTTGCAAGAAATCCAAAGAGAGCAGAAGCTCTAGGAATGAACTCTCGAAACATTAAAATTAATTTCGCCGTGCCACGGTTGACTTTCAAGGCTAATGGAATAATGGAATAATATAAACTATATGCGTTGGCAAATCACAGGTTTGGTGTCGGGCATCAATATATATATATATATATATATCCTAACTGATTCCTAACATGTAAAATATATATATGGCTTCCGTTTATTAGTACTGGACTACATATGTACTGTATTTATTATCATTTCTGTTTATCACAATACTAATATGAATCTTGGTTAGGATCCATTCTAATATTTTGGTCCACTTAGTTCGTTTTCGCGGTTATTGGGACGAACTACTTTCCCCACAGTTCCAATGGAAAGGGGGGATTTTTTTTTAAATTTTGTTGAACAATTTAGTAGTATCTGAACTAAATACCTATTACCATATATTGACTATTCTACTAAAGTAAGATATTGTATCAAGTTCATATACGTGGCACTGTTCAGCCTCTCCCCCGCAATGACATCTCCAGGTGTTCCCGACACGATGACAAAGCAAGAAAGCTCCCGATCTTGGATTAAAAGCTAGAACTACTTAAGTACCTCAAAATCAATTAATATTGACCACATCCTAAGGTCTATTTACGAAGCAAAGACCAGATAAAAAGGTAACTGAATTCATATCGCAATGCCTCTGGACCTTTTCAGCACTTGAGCCCTGGATCGAGAAGAAACAATTGTGTAGCCCAAAAGACCCTCTTTAGTCACCATAGCGGATGCACGAAGGGCCCCAGCGCGGCAAGCCCATAAATTCCAGGCCGGGCGTCGCGGATGCCCCCGAAGGGGCCCGTGACACTGCGCGGGGAGGAGATTATAGGGGCGATCAGGCGTTGCTGGGTCCCGGGTAGCACTGCGGTGAATCTCCCCAACTTTAAGGTACGGGCGAGGCACCAATCCTAGGAATTGGAAAGGGGATCAAACCGACAGTAAAGATGCAAAAATGAATTATCTTCTCTACACATACCAACCGACCCAATTTTGGTGCTAAAACTCCATACAACAGTACAAGTGGCTAGAAAGTGCTCCGGGGGACAATTTTTGTATGGTGCTGGTCCGTGCACGACCAAAACACCATACAAAGTGGGCCACTTTTGCCAAAAGCTGAGTGACATTTCCGTTTTTCGTGGGACTTGGTCGTTGGAAAATCATAAAGTCAACATGTCTCGAAATATATATTTGCGAGAACTGCTCGTAGTTTTCGCCTAAAAGATCCTGGGTTATCTACAGTGTCTGCTCAACTTCAAAAACCCATAACTATAGAATGAATAGCTTCATGGTGGCTTAACAGACTATCGCTTCTTGAAGCAGGTTGTGAACTTCATTGACACTGTTGCATCCCAAATTCAGTGTACCTATTTCTAGATTCGACCTATTCTGATGTGTCTAGAGCAATCATGAGTGGATACAGCCCTCTTTCGGGAAAGCCGTGTTCTCGGCCACCCAAGGCCCCGGGTGCCACTGCCAAAACGGTATTTTGGGACATTCCAGCTCTTCCCTTAGCTACATAATCTAAGGTACATAGTACTAGTTACTTAGGCCGTAATACATGTATGCACCCAACAATAGTGACTATAGCCCCTAGCTATCCCCGATGCCAATCCCTGAAGCCAGGAGGCCTCCAATACAAGACCCCACCGAGACTGCAACGAGACACCCAAACAAACACGAGCGCCCCTATAAGCACTACAACCTTGGAATTAATATTAACCCCTCTGTTCAAGGCCTGGACCTCCCCCCAAAGAACAGCAAGGGCCATCCTGGGAACCGGAAAATTTGATACCTCAGTCGGGCCGGGGAAGGCCTTCCCGCAGCGCGGACGCACGAATACGAAACCCGGAAAGTCTCCAGAAGGAAACTAAGACCCAGTATCGAGGTAGGTTTCAAGCATGCCTTGCAGCGGCCTAGAGCCGGGAGCTTGGATGTTTCAGTTCCTTTGTTCGGGACCTTGGGATAGGGGCTATTGGCCAATCATGGAAATATGGTTTGCCAGACACTTCCGGGATTATGGATAGGGTTCCTTTAGGAAGGGATCTGTTCTGGCTCTTTGACTGTGGGATATTGAATTGTGGTGATCATCGTTAAGTTAATTTTGATTCTGGTTCAATCTTAGATGAGGTTCTCGAGGGAGGGATGCCCTAGATTGCTGTTCCATTGCGGCGTTGGGAGAATCCCTTCTGTAGGAGCTAGTATTCGATATATTCGATTATTTTGTTCTCAAGATGCTAGCACACTGTGAACAAATGTATTCAAAACTCTATGTGTCTGCACTCGACATCTAACGTCAAAAGAATGTGACCGAGATGACGGGAGGTGAGGGTTTCTGCAAAGACTGCGTCCGCGGCGGGTTAACCGCTCAGAGATCGCGACCAGTGCATGAACTGGACGATAAAGAGCTATTGGGCCTGCAGATCAGGGGTACCCTACTGGGGAGTGCATCGATACTTATACTACATGGGCGGGATGGCTGCACTTCGGCTGTACGTGTAGCGGGATGCATGCAAGTCAAACTTTTCGATGGAATGTGGGGTTCATTGACTTAGCTGAGTAAATGTCTCGGGTTTGTTTTGTTTTGTTTTGGTCTACTTGAGGGCTTGCAGACCTTCGACAATACAGAAAAATAGGAATTACAGGGGGTATACAATATAGAGCTTGAGACCATTGGGATAGAGCAATATCTAGAGTTGGACCCAGCAAACACATTGACACATTGACAGGCTCGAAGTGAATTTGTATGGCCCGATCATGAAATAATGAGAAAAAGGAGTTCGATGATGAACCAATGGCAGCACAATGTCAGAGTTACAGATGCACAACATGTGTGATTCGTCTACAGTCAGGGTTTACCTCAGCTCCTGGAGTGTCCGACCATCCAAGATCCATATTGTGGCAAATTGGCATGCTTGATCTGACTAACTTCCATCCAGGCACCGATTTATTTAAGGAATCAAGTTAAAACTAGGAGAACTAGGAAAACTAGGAGCACCAGGGAGAAACTATAGCTCCTCTTCACTCCTACAAAGGTGCAAGACCTGATGTCACGACTAAGCTTGAAAAAAAGCATTAAAGCTACCTAGCCAGCCACTACTGAAAAGCAAAGAAAATAAAAATACAAGAATATAATAAGCCCATGACGTAGTTCCTTGGAGAACAATTTCCGAGATGGAACGTTGTGGCATCGAATTGTGAGGCTCGATTTAACGTTGCTAGGATTGCGAAGAATGTGCAACGGTGACCGAGCAAAAAAGCCCAAAGTACTTCTGTTCAAAGTACAAAGTGACAGAGCTAATAGATCACAGATCACGGCGATCGGCAGCATTAGTGGCTGATCTCGGGAACTCCGCTCCAGACGGCCAGTGATATCTCACATTTTCTCTCCCAGCCACTGCACAGGACTTCTGTACACTGCACATGTAGCATGTAGGCTTTTTTTTTTCCAACTTTTGTCTCTGACAGGCTGAAAATATTCCAAATGTTTGCATGAGATCTGGTGGTACGAAGACCTCGTGTTACTTCCTTGGCTTCTATATCACAGACACACAGGAAAATACGAGAACACAGGAACACGGAGACACAGAAACACGGAGACACAGACACATACAATCCCTATTGTGATGCTTCGGGTTGTTTCTCAGTGCCAATTGTACGGATCGAGTTCCGCGCGCCCTTGCTGGAGGACCCAATCGAAGGGTCCTTGCTGCAACATCCCTACGGAAGGGGACCATGCAAGGTCAGATAGGTCATGATCGTCTGTGCTTGTGTTGTTTACATTGTGCATTGGCATGCATCTGTTTTTCCCGCTAGCCACCGGATCATAGGCCAAGGGCTTCTAGGTCCTCAAGGTTATTTTTGGTATAATTATATCCCCTTCACCCTGGCCTCCACTTCGGTCATTTCATTCCTCATTCCTTCTCTTTCTCCCGTCCTGGTGGCAACTCTCCTCTCTTCCATCTCTGTATTTGATTGCGATTAGATCCTAGAGATCTTGCATACCTCGTGTTACTTCTCCTTTACATTACTCGAGCATACAGTCCCATGGATCACAGAGGTCTTTATTGTCCAGGCGAGTTGGACGTGCTGTATCAAGATCGGAATAGATCAGAGACTACAATTTGTCTCCCATCACCCTCACCTGCAAAGCGAGGATCATCTTACTACCCAACGGCCGGCGCAAAGGTCCTTGAAGAATCAAATCTCGATCCTTTCTACCTCGAAGAGTCATTGGCAGCTACACCGTCTTGGAATCCTTACACATCGGATATGCGCAATGATAGTTTTGAAGACGAAAGCCAATACTACCCTCTGTCCTTGACCCACAACAAGGACATCCGCAATCCATTACAGTACCCTGGACCAGATCGCTCCACACTCGCACAGGTGGAGTTGGAGAACAGCTTGAGATTCCACCGATACACTCCCTCCACGGAGGAACACAGTCCACTTCACAGCAGCCAGGTCTCGTTTAGCTCCGTTCATACAGACAGCACAACCCCCGACTTGACGCCTAGCAGCTCTTTTTCTTCTGCCTACGATTCACCTAGCTGCCCCGACGCCGTCTTCGAAGCTACTCAGCAGCTATACGAGCACGCAAACCAGGTCCAGATCGAGCCTCGCCGTCGCTTCTATCTCCCTGCATCTACACCACCTACATATTCTCTTCCCCCTCCCCCACCGGTGCCTTCGTTGACCCCGGCGGATACCCGTCCAACTACACCTTGCTTCCAACACTCCAACGATTCTACTACTACCATTACCATGGGCTACGAGGACACCACAGGATCCTGCACCTCGCGGACCCGCCGTAGGAAGCAGCCTCCTGCTGTTCTCAACTTGTCGCGTGCCGCGAGTTTCCACAACACATCTCGTCGCAAGCAATCTAGCCCTGGCACCCGCCCTCCCCTGGACGCTTCCATGATCTCCCCTCCGTCCTTGATCAACCCCGTCACCATGGAACCTCACATGACCCACTTTGACCACCCTCTCTTCATCCCCGCCAACGACTGCCCTAGCCCCGTCCCTAGCCCTGTGGCTAGCTCCCCACCCATCTCCCGCCAGTGGACAGCGACCTCAATGGAGCGCCCTTCAATTTCTACCATCGACGCCTTCTGCGAGCAGTCCGTCTGGGAGTCCGACTCCGAGTCTGAGTCTGCTGGCCGTAAGTCCATGTCTCGCCGGCCCATAGACACACTGCGCAAGGTTCGCAGCCGTGCTAAGCTCCGTGGTGCCAAGTCACAGCCCAGACTTCACCAAACTATGCTTGATGGTCAGACATTCGATCAATTTCCGTGCATGCCAGAGGATATTCTGGGAGAGCCCATCCCAGAAGCTTTCCGTCCTAGCATGGACCGACCCAGCACTAGCAAAGATGCCGTGCGGTCATACAATGGCCTGAATACATTGCGTCTCGTTGCCCCCTCCTCCACATCCCTGACTCGCCCTCCCCGCTCCCGCAAGAACAGCAGCACCAACAGCTCCGATGTCGATCGCTCCGCGGCTGCCGCCTTCCAAGCACAGTTCCGACGCCGCCAGCGCTCTGACTCACCCACATACTCTAACAATTCCAACTCTGACAAGGGTGACAAGGAGAAGTTGACTTCGTTCTGCTACGACCAGTACTCCCAAGCCCCCATCAATGGAGCTCGCGAGCAAAGGCCCCTCTTCCAGCGATTCATGAGCTCCCTACGTTCATTGAATTGCCAAAAGCCCCAAAAGTCTCACAAGAAGACCAATGTTACCACCATCTGATGCATTTTCAATCGGCGTTCCGGTTCTCTGGGTTTAATTTTACGGACGAAACCATGCTACAACATACCGACTTTACCAACGATCACTCCAACGATTTCATATCATTGCCTTCATGTCTCCAATGTGTCTCGATGATGACGAACACGTCCACTCTCTAACGCAAAAAATGCTATTCTGCTTCCCGCGCACAATGAAAATAATGAATCTCCAGACCCGAATGTGGCTGGACACAGACGCGCTCAAAGACGTTCTCTGCATGCGCCATCTCGCGCCACGAAACGAACACGATGCCTGGTCCTAGTGACCATGACTACCGACTGATGACTCGATACCCTCGAGCTAACTATCTTTAATTTTCTTACTCCTCTATCTGCATTGATTTTCTTCCATGTCTTGATTGCGCTATTTCGCGTGCTGTATTACCATTGCACTGTTTTATTACGAACTTACTACCAACGGTCTTCATCTCTACTATGTGTGACTGAATCATGTCCTGCTACTACTGCTACGACAACCATTTCCTTCTTCAACCTGTGATCTATAATCCAATATAGAGGAACACGACGCCTTGTGCGAATTGTGTTTCTATGACCCAAAATTCGCATTCTCTGCACTCTTTCTTGCATTCATCAAAAAAATGTTTCACTACTTCATTGCTCTCTGGATAGACAAAAATAGAAACCATCACATTTTACCACAGCCATGAACGATCCTTTGCTACTTTGTTGTCTAGGAGATGGGGACGTTTTGAGGAATGCGGGACTACGGATTCTAGACGATCCTTAAAGGTATCTTCGATACTACCGCAACATCCTTGAGCCATCCACCGACCCGAGTAATGATAAGTATGTAACACCAGCTCCTCTACCAGGTAGATAAGGCAGCTTAGCCTACGCCATGCACCGCGACCCATTGCACGGCCATTAAGCCCTGGACCACCAACAAGGGCGAAGGGAGCCACCAAACCCTCCCCTAGGCCGGACCAAACTTACCCCTCAACTAGCAGTTTTTGACTTCTGCCTGTGAACAGCCGACTGATCGTGAGAACTTGCACAGCCCAACGTGCCACGTATGTAATGCGTCATGGTCATTCCAAATCCACGTCCGCAGCTTCTCTTGCATCTGTTTCAGTGTACTACTATATAGCGACTGGAATCGAATGTCGGATACTGGGTCTGCCAGCATGACACTAACAAGCTGGTTACCTGTCGAATTCTCAAAGTGCAGCTATTCGTATGTTCTCCACAACGGCTACACCGGGGACCCCGGGAGGGGATCCACAGGGCGCGGATGTGGGATGGCCGACATATCGAGGCGTTGAGGTCTAAGTACTTAGGGCTTGGAACGACACATGCAAACTAACACCCATTGACCGACAATTGCGCCCGACGAACACCTCTCAAACAGCTCACACAATTGAATTGTTCTTATTCAAATACTAACAGCTGCATTCCCAGTACTTAAGGATATTTTATACAGGTAACGGATATGACGATGCGTCCCATCCCTTGCATGGGCCGCCCCTCAACGTCCGCCAAGAGCCAACCGCTACATTGTCCGAGACCTTGAATTTCCACCTCGGCTGAAAATACTCATCCTGCTCCGTTTATTCGTCTGCTCCCTGTGTCATACAAGCTTAAATGAAGTCTACCAATCTGATTCGAAAGACTAATCCAACCAATCTTCACCCTCCCCGTCTTCCCCTCATCCATCAATCCGTCAATCTGATATTACACGTCTACCCTCGCCTGCTCCAAGGCAACACGCCGATCTCCCAATTCACTTTGACAGGTAACGCTAGACAGGGGTTTTATTTGGGTCGGCCATACAAATCTCCTCGCCTTGTCCCGGGGCTCTTCCGCTGCGACCTCACACGCAAGGAAAGGTGGCCGATCCACCGGCTTTACGCCCATTGCGTCCCCGAGACCCGCCAACCTGGCGGGTTTCAGATCTATCGGAGTTTGTGCTTTGGGGCTGTAGGATGCTCGATCTGGTATTGCAATCTAGACCTTTCGCCTGTTGTCCTGTAGGTACTTTTGATTTGTGCGATGACAACATAGATTTGACAGGTAGGGCTACAATGTTGTGTGACATGTGACTTATCATTTCCACATCGTGTTTGACAGGCAGGCGTTGCAGTTGCTTTTTTTTGCTCTGACAAATCCACTTCTATTTTGTAGAATGCATTGTAATATAATTGAGTCGTTGGCTGTTCACCGAAAGTCTGGTGAAATGTCTTTGAAAGTCCCAAAGGTAAAATCGGACTCCAAATCCGACCCGCAACACTACCATAGCAACAACCGTGCCGACAGTAGTCTACAGAGACCCCAGCGTCAGTGTCTCAGAGAAGCACGACTTTCTATCCCAAACAACCGAGGACATACAGCCCGGACCGGCCTTCCGCCCCGCCCGTCCGCCGCATCGACCTTGCAGTGGCAGCGGACCCTGTTCCAAGTATTTGGGTACTCGCATCACGGCAGGGATGAGCCTGCAGCGGGGAGCGAGCAGCAGAGACCCCGAGAGACAGTCGACCCGCCCGTCTCCGCGGAAACTTAATCCTGCATTCGCATCTGTAAGACGAGAGGAGACCTCTTCCTCCCCCCGTGCCTGTACCTGGCGGGGCATTTTTATGTAGATCCTTAGACAAAGTACGGCCTTGTGTCGTATCGACGACAAACACACAGCGCAAGCCAAGAGCATGTCTGCACAAATCCAAGACAACTTCAACTGTGCTCCACAACCTGGCTCTCGCCCTTGCCCTCTTCCTTCTCCTTCTCCTTCATGTCCAAAGCCTCCATATTCTCCTCCCACCTCGGAACATCAACCCTGCCCTCCCATTTCGAAACAACAACATCACCCTTCCGCCCAAGCTGCGTCTCCGCCTTTTCCTCCCCATCCTCAGCCTTCGATGCGACCTCCGCTCCAGTACCATCAGCTCCGGCAAAAACAGCCTGCACATCCAGCTCCTTGAGCGCAGTTTCATAAAGCACACGGATCTGCTCCCTCTTCTGCCGACGTGATTCCGAAATTCCAGTATTGCCACCGTCATCTGTCTTCGTAGACCCAGATCCAGATGCAGTAGCAGAATGACCCGCCCGAACAGCCGGCTTCCTCACAACACCCGGTCCACTGCGCTCCTCGAACCCGCGTAGCAGTCCCTCCATAATCCCCAGTGCAGTACCGGCACGCATACCCAGCTGCGCGCCGACGGGGAAACCCCCGTCGAACCCTTCTTGCACGTGTGCGCCCTTGGAGGCGGATGTGCCGTCGCGGTAGCCTGCTGTCACGTGTTGGCGGCGGAGACTGGGGAGGTCGGAGGGTTCGGATGGGGTGATTGGGGTTTTTGATGTCAGTGTGCTTTCGTGGGGTGGGGAGGAGCCGAAGATGTCGTCCAGGGAGTTGTCGACTGCGGGATCGAGTTGGGCTTGGGGTGACATTATTGCTGGAGGTAAATATTCGGAGGAGTCTGTCATATCAATGACCTTTTGAGTGCAGGATTGTGAGTTGAGAGGTTGAAGTCCGAAAAAAAAAGATAACGGGTCGGCGGGGCGATCCGTTGATCCACATCTACATATTATGACATAGGGGATTAGTATCTAATAGTTTTGGTTCTATATAGGATAGTTAAATATAGATCATTTTGGATATACAGATTATTTGTGGACTGTAGCCCAGAGGTTTCTTTGTATAATCTCGGTTTTAGGGACCCCACGTATATATTAAGATTTACAATTTTGACCTATTATACACCTAACAGAAAATATATACCTTTGAAGGCCCGAAACCTGCCCTTAAGATTTTGTAAAAGCCTCGTTCAAATATACTGCAGTGCACTGAATCGGACGGCTCCCAGCTCCGTTAGGGCGTTCATTGAGGGGCGCTAGTGCTCCGTGAGGTGCGCACTAGCCTCGAAGAACTGGGTGCTGTTAAAATACCTCTTAGCTCGACATATATTCCTAGTTGAAACGGCTGAGGCGCATAGTTCTACTTGTTGACGTTATTATGGCGCCTGCCGCCTCCAAAACCTCCACGCCCAACGCCGGCCAGTCATCGTTCACCCCTAGCACCATGGACTGGAATAACTACACTGGACATACCGACAGTCACAACTCCCCCGACGCGACGAATGCGGAGTTCCGCTGTGGTCTCTGCAACAAGGCCTACGGTCGCCGTACGTTGTCAATTTGTGTCCATGCGATCGCTTTGACTAAAGTTCTGACGTGTCTGACAGGGGATCTCCGGGACCGGCATCGACGTCGCTGTGCCAAAACATTTGGCCAGGAACGCCCATCCAAGCGCAAGTCTTGCGAAATTTGCGCCCAAAAGAAGTTGCGTTGTTCATTGACCCGCCCAGCATGTAGTCGATGTGTTCAGATGGGCACCGCCTGTCACTATCCTAACACGTCTTCGACATCTCCAACATGGGTAGATCAAGACACAGGCCCAGAGCATATGTCGCCCTTGGAAGTAATTCTGGAACCAATATCCACAGGTTTTACCCCCGATTTCCCGGTCTCAGCCATGACCTTGCCCGAAGACAGCAGTAGCGCTCCGGGTATGGACGGCATCGCCTGGAGTCCACCACTCAATGATATCGGTTTTATTCTTGATGGAACTGGCTTTCCTGGTCAGGCTACATGGCCTGACCCAGGATCAGGATTCGTGGATTATCTGCACGACCAGACGTCCACCTTTCTTACGCCGCAGGAAAAGTCCAAGGAACCGCACCCGTTAGATAACCATTCTCTATTACTTTCGCGGAATTCGCCAGACCACTCCCTGTCACCCCTATCCTCGTCGGCGGAGAGTAGTCACCGAGAGCCATCCATGGGACGCGACGACGTAGAGACCTCCAACTCCGGTGTCTCCTGGGATACTACAAGTATATTTGCCAGCTCCTTTGTCCCAGACTTGTCTCATCCAGCACTGCGAGATACAACCAGTCTATCTCATGAGCTTTTCGGGATCCTGCGCGAGTATTCTCGAATGATGATACAGCCCAACTTCTGGTCCCCATTCATCCACCACAGTCTCTACCGGTGCTCTAAGGACGGCATGGCTGAGCCCCTCGGCATTGCCGTGGCCTGTGTATCGGCATATTCAAGCTCTGTCGAGTCCAGCGTTGACTTCGTTGACAACATGATCAACTCACAACGGGAGCGGCTGGTCCGCGAGTTTCACATTTACACCGACCGTCCAGAAACGTGCCTCGCCGCCCTGCATGCTGTGTGCGTGTATCAGATCTTGGGACTCTTTGGGGGCCCATCCGTAGACTCCCCCAGGTCGGGTCATAGCACGCCCTTCAAAGATAGGAGAGAGGGACGTCGCGAAGACGCGGGCAAGGCTGCAGAACTCCATGGTTCCTTTTTACTGAAGGTGAGTATTCTACTATCCCTCTGTTGCCTTAATCCACACCACTCATTCGTCGATCACCGCACAGATGACCCGGCGTCTCTGCAAGCTGCACCAAAAAGCCCTCGGGCAAAACGAAGCAGGCTGGTCCGAGTGGAAATTTGCTGAATCCCTCCGCCGCAACGTCTTCTTTGTCCACATCGTCAATATACTCGCCGCCGAAGCCCGGAAGCTGCACCGTGACTATTTTGAGCCGTTGAATGATGGCATAAATTTGCAGATGCCCCTTCCAGCACCGGAGTACATGTGGCGCGTCTGCAGCGATGCAGAATGGCAAGTCGCCCGGGAATACGCTCGCACAACATCGCCTACTCCGGGTACTCTTCAGGACTTACTCGAACTTGACCGTGTGGGAGGCTTGGACGTCGCGTTGCTGCAACCTTTAACAAGGATAATTTTGGCGTGTCATAAGATTCGGGCTAAGTTTAACGATGGGGTAGAATAATGGGCGACAATGGAAGTATATGAGTCCTCTGTCCTTTTCTTTTCTTTTATTGTGTTCCCTAAACCATTGTGGGCTTGACTTTCTGGTTTCCTGGTGCAAGATCACAGGATGTATATACAATGGGGGAGTTCCTATCAATACCAGTCGTATGACGGTCGTGAGATAGAATTTTGGGTTTAAAATATTTACTGAAATTTCTAGATATATACTCATTACGTTATTTCACAACACAACCTTCAAAGTAATATAAGGGAGGGTGTGCAGCCCGGAGTTGACTGTATATATACTTCATCAAAGCGCAAAATTTCCGACCCAACATGCTACCAGCATAACACTCACCATCTACTAGACAGAGAAATAACACCGGTATGTACTTCCCTATTTACAGCTATGCCCGGCGCATTTTTAACGAAATTGACTTACTCATCCTCTACCCACCAGTTCTGGGCATGTTCGGAGGAAAGTGGACATCACGTGATTACTGCCTCGGAAGGAAATGGACGGCGTCGTTTGTTGATGGAGCATTATTGCTTTGACAGGGGTAGTTACTGAGACTGGAGCTATCAAAGGAGCTTGAAAGACCTCTCGCGGATCAGAATGGCCGCCACTAATCCATTTCTACATAAATATGTACAATATATGTGGATATATTCTCCATTCTCCTGCCTGCATCCTAGGTGGTTGTGTTTCTGTTTGTTATAGGCATTTAAAGCCACTCAATTGAGTTCTGGTCGTTCTCCACCCGACCTCAAACACTATGGAGACCCCGGAGTTCAACTCTTCACTCCCTGGTATGAAAAACTTCGCACCCAAGATCATCAATGACGACCACGGTGCCATCCGCAACCTGATCGAGAAGCCAGCTTCGGGCAATGCGTACCTAGCCAATGTCTCCGTCAATTGGCGAGGCCCGATAGTACTTTGAGGAACTAGGCTTTGTCCGCACAAAGGGTCAAACTACCGCAGAGTTTCTCTCCTATGTCACCGATCCTGCTCATCGTGAAGCCACGCCGGGCAGCGTGGCCGCGAACATGCACACGGCTGCTGACTTCACAGCCTTGTTTAAGAGCTCCCCACACTACATTAGTCTAGCCCACGAAATCAATGAATCGTTGTCCCAAGGTCACCCGCAGGCCGCCAAGTCAACGAAAACCGCATCATTCCACCTGTCCTACCCGTTGCAAGTTTGGGAGTGTCTGCTGCGCGAGATCCAGCTCGTGCGTGGCCAGGCCATCATCCACTACGGGAAGTGGATCGCCACCATCATTTTATGTCTCATTATTGGAAGCGAGTACTTCGACGTCTCGACGAATGCCCAGGGTGCTTTCTCCCGTGGCGGTCTGATTTTCTTCGCCCTCATCGTGAACGGCTGGCTCCAGTTCCCGGAGCTCTTTGATGCGCACACGAACCGTCCCGTTCTGGAGCGTCAAGCGGCACCGCACATGTACCGACCGTCAGCGGTGGCTCTGGCTCGAGTCATCATTGACTTCCCGCTGATCGTCTGTCAGACCAGCATTTTTGTCATAGTATTCTACTTTCTGGCAGGGCTACAGGTCAAAGCGGGCAGATTCTTCTTCTAGTTCGTGCTGATCTTGTCCACTATCTGCTTTAGCAATTTGTTGCGGATGTTCGCGTACTGCGTGCCTACTTTGGATGATTGTAAGTATCTCTTCAAATCTTTTGCATAAATTGCGATTCTGATATGAACATTGAGATAGGCTTCCGGTTCGGCGGCACTGGCTCGACTATCACGTTACTGTTTCAAGCTTCTTTTTGGTATATTTCGTGACATAGGCGACGAAGGTGCATAAGTGGAAGAAAGAACCAGCCGTCGCTACAAAGGAGTCTGCTGAGCCTTTGGATGAATTGAATTAGACGGAGGGACTTGGAAGAGGGAATAACATTACAGTTGTATCTTAAGTCTGTTATTCTCAAATATTTGTGTTTAACTTGATCCGAGGCTATTTTTCATCTTCAGTACTACTGACTTCGCTCTCAATGCTGAAGTCAGCTGGATTGTTGTCTCTACCAGGCTGGAATTCTATATGTCAAGGATCAGGCTGTGCCATTAGCAATACAAGGCTCTGTACCAATGTCAATTTGGGAGCTTGTGGACATACGCTACTTTGACTTTCGACTTCAGGGTTAGATAGTGGGTGGCAATCAACTGGCTTAATTTACTGTGTGACTCACACGCGGTCTGACAAGCGAACAGTCGGTATGATAAAAGTCAAAGGTAGTAGCGCAGTGTATTCGTCGAAACAGGAACGCAGATATGATAGAAGCGACCAAGGAAGCAGAAAAGAACCACCGTAATGAAAACAATCCCAATGCAATACTAAACTAGAGTGAAGATGCTGGAATCAGAAACGTCCCTTAAAGCCACCATGTTCCACACCACCCCAGATAATGAATTTAGGTTCGAATCCCTTACCAGCCTTCTCAGTCTGGCTGACACCATCATACTGCGGCAGGAGCACAACGTTCTCTGGATACAGCTTGCCAAGAGTTGCGAGAGCGACGATTGGCTCCACGGTCGGGATAACATGAATACCGCCATGTTTTGCGGTGATAAGACCACGGTCGGGGTGCAAGAGAATGTCCAGGGCCGAGTGGACTATAGCATGCTGAGCTGGGAGGTCTGCCTCCTTGCCCACGAGGGCCTGGTACGCGTACCGGTGGCCGCGGGCAATCTGACCGACGTCGACGCCGACACACTTGCCGCTGTTAAACTCAAGCCGGAGCTCCAGCTGACGGACAGGAGTGGACTCGGTTGAAGGCACCAGGCCTAGACTGGCATTCTGGACCACAGAAGATGTGGACTCGGAGGGAAACTTCAGCAGATCTTCGGCCTGTACCTGGGAGCCAGGGGCAATCTCAGGACGCGGGGCAGTATAGTAATCTGAGAATTCATAGTCGAACAAGATGTTCTTCTGAGATGGATCGAACTTGGCAGGGACGTACTCCAGCAAGTGGAAATGGGTATCTCCGCCGCTCAGGACGGCCGGCAGGATGGTGCCATGCTCGTACTGGAAAGCATAACCACCGGTGTCAGTCCGGGGCAGATCTGGAGCCAGAAGCGCTTTAGCGTGTGCTAGGACCGACACTTGAGTCACGCTCTTGGTGACGAGGGTCGTCAGGAATTGCGCGCGACTGGGCTCCACATGACGAATGCCTCGAGCAGCCTTGCCGTCGATGGGAATCAGGACCTCATCGAAGTTCAGGAACGGAAGAAGAGCGTCGCGAAGCAGCACCATCTGATGCATGTATTCATTGAACAGTTGCATTAGATGCGGCTGACTGCGAGGCCCGAACATGAGATCGACATTTACCGGTGTAAGGAGATGATTCTCGCACGGGCTGCGGATGTTGAGTTCGGGTTCGAAGGGGCCATTGGAGGCCTCACGCGCCCATTTGACGAGGGCCTTCCCGATTCGATCAGCCTGCTCCTTCATCTCCCTACGCGAGAGATCCGGCACATCCTTCTGGAAGGATAGGGTGGATTCGCGCGTGTGGGTCGCCAAGTTGGAGGCAACATTGTCGAGGAGCAATGCCCTGGCAGATCTTGTATTTGGGACATCCTCGCCCAGACGGTAGACGACTGTGTCCAGAAGGGGAGCAAAGCCCTCGACCACTTGCCGAGGAGTATACACCCCAGAGCGTAGGGTCCATACATGAGGTTGGGGCGTATCTCGAGCATTACCCTCCGGCTTTAGGGCTATGGTCTGCCCAGCTAGTATTCCTCCTAGTCCAGCGAGGCGGTAGATGGCGCTTTCAGCGACAGGTTTGATCATGGTTGCGTTGAGCATTCCGAGGCCGAGGAAAGTGAGAAGCAGGATTTTCACGGACCCAAGTTCTCTCATTAGTTCGATGAAGGGCTCTTTCTGTTTCTTTTAATTTATTGGGAGTGATTAATAATTGGGTCCTGGTCATTTTCGGGGTATCGTGGTCAGTTCGCAGATGCTTGGTCAATCACGACCACCCATCTCCGGCCTACTACCATCCACGTCCAGGCGTTCCAGTCGGAATTGCAGAGACAAGGTAGTCATGATTTTGCTGTTATAGGCCATGACCTGTTATCGATAGTTGCAAAATCGACATCTCGACATCTTCAGCCTGCGAAGCGCAGGTTCAAGTGTCCAGGCCTCTGGCTAAGGGGCACTGATTTCTGAATATAGGCTCTGTGTTTAAAAGCATTGCGGAAGTTATATAAATTCTTGTCCTAATTACGTTATAGTACTGACTATAAGCGGGCTGGGGCGATTTGTTAATATATTGAGAGGTCTATGGATGTTTACGATGTGTATCTATAGTACGTGCAATGTTTATATTCTTATCAATTTGTCTTATTAGGTACTCAATTCTTTTATCTAGTTCAATTATCGCAGTTGACCTGTTGGGATTCATGATAGGAATGGCCAATGTGATGTTGGACTAGCACTGTCTTTGGCCCCCAAGCGCATCAGATGATGTGCTCAAAGCAGTTAGCAGCCCTGATTCCCCGTGTTCTGTCTTTAAAATCTACGCAAGGCCGATCCAAACTCTTCCAAGTAACCTAAACACTCACAGCTATGCCCCGACGATCCATCCGCCTACTAGGCTACACCACCGCCGCCACCGGCATAGCCAGCTACGGCATCCACCGTGGACTCTGCCATCTGGAAGAAAAGTACCCAGAACTTCCTGCCGCAGCGGGTAGCAAGGCCCTCCGCAAGCCGCAGAACCCAAATACCCAGCACTGCGCATATACCAACATCTATGCCGCACAAATACCCCTACAAAGCCTCGAAGCACGCGTCCCAAGTCCAAAGACACCAACAAAAACAGAGCTTGAGTATGCATGGGCTAGATCCGTTCTTGGAAGCAAGATATTACGAGCTGAGGGCTCTATCATGGGATTATTCACCAGCTTCCGCTTCACACCGGGCGATACAGGGGACTCAGCGGAGGGGTTCTTGCCAGACAAAACCACCGGCGCGCCGCGCCCTCTGCTGAACGGTTTATTGCAAGTGCAGCGACTCCCCTCTGCTGACGCAGATAGTAACGGACTATTGGTCTCTTCGGAATTACCGGACGGACCCCGTGTGTTCTTTGAGAAGATTGCACGGTGGGGGTATCCTTGGCGCTTGATGTCGTCTCTGCGACATGAGATGAGTGTCTCGGAGCCGTTTCAGATGAGTGGACAAGGGATGTTTGTTGAGGTTCGGTTTGCATCTGCGCATGATTATGAGGTTGTAGATGCAGAGGGTGAGATGGGGAAACAGAAGACTATTCCAGATTGGACTTCGAGGTTGCATCGTGGGTTTGCTATGTTTATTCTTGATTCCGTTGTTCGAGAGTTGCAGCGGGATGCTAAGAAATAATTCCGGTCTCAAAATGGGGAGTTGGGTTGCACTTTCCAAACTCTTCACCTCCCGCTACGAGGAGCTCGGTAACGCTGCGGCATACCCAGACCTGATAACACCGGGAACCTCGGCTTGCAGCGTAGTCGATTATCCTTTAGAAGCTCAAGAGAGCTCTGAGCGACTCTCCAATGATCTTTACTCCACTTTTACAATCCACTCTACGATATCCAAGTCTTGACACTTCTTCTCGTACGAAATTCCTTTGATACCTCCCGAGGGAGCAGATGCGGTAAGCCACGGCTTTAAGCTAGGGGAATGATGTCTACACATTAATACATTGATAACAAATTCATTTGTTTCTTGTACTTTAGCTCTTGAACAAACATCATGTGCAACCATATAAACATTTGTTTGATACACACCCTATTTACCACGCAGTATCAAAATCTTTCCCAAATATCAGATCAGACTCCTCTATTTCTTCCCTTCATCATCGCCGCCCGCAACTGGAACACAAGGATTCCCATTAGGAACAATCGTCCATGCCTCAAACCCATTGTACAAATAGCAGACATCCCAGCCATTGGTAATGCTCCCTAGCAGGCCAGTCTCCCCGCCAGAACAGTCAGGGGAGCTGAACATGCAAAGATCATACCGATCTTCCTCCGAAGGGCTCTTCCACGAGATACTCTTGACGTTTGTTGAGTTGAATTCGGCAATATTTAATGCCTGACAGTCACGCGATTTTGCGCCAGAATAGTGCAGAATGGAGTATTGGATATTGTTCACGGAGCTGTTGCACACTGGGGGTGCTTCACTAAGGAAACGGAAGTCCCACTATAAAGTGTGAGCAGGTTTGACTCGAAATTTGATTTCGTTGACGTACCGCTCTGTAAGCAAGGACTGAGAGATCTTCAGGGCTGGGCAGTGCGTTCACCGTCCAGGGAGAGACGCCAACAAGCGTTAAGCACGCGGCAAGGAATTTCATTATGGTGTATTTGGTAGGAGTAAAAAGTGGGATTAAGGTCAGAAACAAGGAATGAGATGTTTATTTGAAATATCCAGGAACAGGCGCAGATTTGCTTCTTTTTGAACACCACCCACATCCCAGTCAGACTATTTTAGAACAAAAATACACCTGCAGAAGCGGAGCCTGCGCTTCCAATCACATCCGTCGACATCCAGTCGAGACTCCATCGGCTCGAGGACGACTCCGTTTACCTGCAGCTGACAATACAGCTGAAAGAACTTGACCAAGGAAAAGTTAGTACGGGGTACTCCGTAGAGGGGGTCTCGGATGAGTCCTTTCTTGGCATCGGGGAAAAAGCGCCAAGGTTTGTGGGCTTTTCATTGGATGCAACATTGTCGAGACCCTGATTCCTGAAGGGTCCTATCGGATATGCAGCGCCACGGCTCATCCGGGCCCGATCTCGGAATAAAAGGCGAATAAGCCAATTTAATAGCTGTGGTGTTCTCATAGATTCAGGAACACGGCGCATGAACGCTTGTTTGGCTCAGGAACTACAGGGATTGGATATTGGGTAACGTGCAGCCTGAAATATAGCCATGAGCTTGCATTCTTCATCCGGTTATTCCGTATACGGTTTGATGACCGTGTGGTCGGGCAATGGCCTCCGTAGCTCTCTGAATAGTCGATGGGGGCGATGGAAATCCTTGGTTGCTCACGTCAGTCTTATTCCTGTACTTGCGTGTTGAGAGATTTCCAGATTGCTTGAAGTCGAGCGTTATATTGCTTGTTTCATCGTGTAATTGGCTCAATGTATTTATCGACACGTCGAGATGAGTTACGGGGGATGTTGAGCTGAAAGAAGTATAGAAGCCTGCGAAGATCTTCGTATGTCTGGACAAGAGAGCATTTGATCTCTGATGTACTTGGTACCTATGAGGCTTTTGTTCGTTAAGCAACACAATAATGCCTCAAGCTTTATGCTTTGTCTGGACCTTTTGATACTAGTACAAAAGGAACGTAGTCTCTGCTCACCGCAAGTGAAGAATTTCGGAAGCTATCGGTTATGTCTATCTCTCACGCTTTAAATTCAGCTCTAATCTCATTTTTCCGGTTTAATCCTTCGGCCCATAACAAAGCACGTGGTAAATATCTCAATGAACGCCTCTTCTACAGTTTATCCATATAGAATGTCGCGCCATAGGAATGATTGATATTCTGTCACCAGCTTGGAGATTTTCTATCCAGCTCCTCTGCTTCAACGCTAATGGACCATATGTCGTCTGATGACGTCTTTCCCTCAAGCTGGAAGGAATATTTCTGGTTAGGAAACCTTCCTTGCCGTTGGTTGTTAATTGGCTCTGGATGCGGCGGTCGTTCGAACCCGACATCAAACCAAGTGAAGGACTTCTCAAAAGTGCCCTGAAATTTGGGAAAGAGGCTGAATTCTTGATCGTGGCTCCAGACGACAAACTGGATCTCACGAACGGGACTGGCCTTTCACCCTCGGATGGGCTCAGAGATCAAGTAAGGCCGATGTTCTTGACATTATGCCTCATTACAACTCATTGTGTCCATGGGGGATTTTTTAGATCGTAGCCAATATCTTGCCAAATCTAGAATCCGAAGCAAGATCGAGTGTGGAGGCTTGACTGGCCCCCGTGATAACTGTAAGATCCAATAAACCTCGAATATATCACCGGGGTGTCTAGGCCAGTAGACAGTTGATTGTATAAGCCGTGATAAATCAAAATAGGAAGGTGTACGACCGGCAGCTCGAAGCGTGCCAGCGGCGCCAAAACAGCGATTCCGTTTGGCAAGCGCAAGTGGAGTCGACGAAGCCTCATTTTCTACATCCAGCCTGGAGTGATTTCAAGTAGCAGCTCGATTACCCCCAAGTTTCCGGCAGTGGCTGCATCATGAAATGGTGTGCAGCCATTCTCGGACCTTGCATTGACATCCGCTCCGGCCTGAATCAGCATCATTGCAAGCTGAGGAGGATGATTGGATGCCAGATGCAAAGCCGAACGCCCATCCACCCGTTGAGCAGATACAGAGGCACCCGCGCCAAGAAGTACCTGAACAACACCTAGATCATCCCTTGTCATCAGGCATACGTGCAAAGGTGGTGTTTGCTTTCCTGGGATACCCTCGGGAGTTGAGTCAGCCCGGGATCCGGAGCTTAACAAGGGTTGAATTGCCAGACCTGGCAGCCCAGTGAATAGCAGGGAGTCTCTCGTAGCATTCATCAATCCCGGCGTCCGCGCCATGCTTCAGAAGTAACATGACAAATGCAAAAAAGAACGGGTCTTCGAACCGTAATGACTAAAGGCTGATCTGGCTACCATTTTGAATATGGCTCAATAGATACATTGCCAAGTCACTTGTACCATCACACATGCTCCTTAACAACTGCCAAGAATCCCAAACAGCTATCCCTCAAGGGTTGTCCTTCACCGCTTCGAGATCTCGCAACCGGAAGCTAACAGGCTACACCAGTCCGACGAGTGCGGTGTCGAGTTAAGCCCGAGACCTAGCATGGTATATTGGGTATTAGCCCGGGTCATCTTTGCACCCCGGTAATCTAGGCGCAGTCCGTCGAGTTTCTCTGCTTCCCCAATGCAATACTGGTAATTGTGGAATGTGACGAATATGTTGTGCCGAGAGAAGGCACTGGTGGGACATGAATGACTGAAGTCGAAGACCGTAAATTTTCGAAGTCATTCAATCGCTGTCTTGTTAAGCTGACACTCGAGGGCCGCCACCTTAGTAGTCAAATCCGCCCCCATGACCTCAGAGGTGAGCCCGAATTTCTCTTTGGTAGAGGGATCCACCTCAGATAGTACGAAGTAAGTAGCACTCTTCAGTGGAGTATGTGGGAGGAACGGTGACAGGTATAGCACGTTTTGTGAGAACGGGAGGGTCGAAAGGAGGTGAGTTCAAATAGCTCGGTGCAAGCGGAATTCTCTATGGTGTCTGTCTGAATAAACGACGGTGCATAGAACCCTTTGCAAGAGATAAAAGTTCGATGGGAAGTTACCAATGTGGTCGATATCTTGTGCAGCAATTCCAGGGTATCCTTCAACGGGAATGGACTGAGATAATAAGGGGACCATATTTGCTTTTCCCGGTTGACTTAGAGCTCCTGGACCAGCCAGCAGTGCTGATGAGGATAGGAATCATGAGAGTATTTGATGTGTGCCTTGGGAGACTTGTGAGGTGTCTCTCAATACTAGCAGTTGGATTGCCATCAAAGGGGGTTGTTCTTGGATATGTGGCATGTAGGAAGTTGGTAATCGGAGATAGATTGACAACATTGAGATCACGTTGTAAAATTCGTTTCGAACATATTCAAGTGCATAAGTTGAATAGGGGCTAGGGTGGCGCGATGCATCACGAGGAATTGCCACATCACTTCATGTTGAGCATAGAGAGGGAAGGCTGAGCAAACATGCAAACGATGGTCCTCTATCGGACTAAGAAATTCCTGAGAACATTTGAAGACTACCGAGAAGACCCAAGGGCAAATAAGCAGGCGACTAGTTTTTTTGGAAATAAAAACTAGATAAATTTGAGCTGACCATTGAGGTTGTTCCACAATAGGAGACCTAGAAGCTCATTTGATATATTTTGTGACGTGAATCTGTGTCTACGCGTAGCCTAGTTAAACAGATCAATGTGCTAAGAAGAATGCCAAGTGCGTCTAAATTATTTATTTATTCAATCTATAGAATATCCCACACAGAGAGTATACAAAGACATTATAGGCCGTCACGAGACACCAAGAACCACAGTGGATGAAGTGTATCACTCCCGCTGGGGATTAGACGTCAACCGCCAAGCCCGGAGAGGCAAGTCCTGCAGCTTCTGCGCAGCTGGTTTGATAAACATAATGAATGTGATTGTGCCAATGAGCACACAAAGCATGTTGGTCATATAGTACCCGTCACGGTCGATGCGGCAGGTACCACCGCCATTGATGCAACGGTTCTTCTCTGGCTCGAGGGCACAGGAGAATGACGTCGTGATGAGAGCGTCTTTGAGGGAGTCGGCGGCCGGGGCGATGGCTGGGGGAAGACATGTTGCTTCTGTAAACATGTCGACTAGTTTGAGGACGAAGATGCGGGGGAATGTTCCACCAAGGTTGCACACACTAGGGGGATATGTTAGCTATTATGTAAGGTAGAAGGTAGATAGTAGGACTTACGTGGCAAGGAGTGTCATGTACGTCCCGCCAATTGCTGGGTCGGCGATGCGGGCGTGGAAGGCCGAGATGGCGACGAACATGACCGTGTTCATGAATGTTGACAGGACATGCTCGCCAATTACTGTGACCATGTACCACAGTGGCACTTCGGTGGCAGTGGGGTAGATCATGACGGTAAATTGAGCGAGCACTGCGGCTGCCAGTCGTCCAATAAAGGCCCAGCCCCAGAGGCGCATTGCTCCGTAATTAGTTGACCACTGGCCGGCATAGTAGCCCAGCATGATCTCAAAAGGGAAGTCGATCAACACAACCAGGGCCATGTTGTCTTGGCCAAAGCCCTTGTCCAGGAGCTTGAGACTAGTGACTCCGTCATTGGCCTGGAAGCCGATCTTGGCAATGAGATGAATCAGAATGATGGTCTGGATGTTCTTCAACTTCAAAACGCTCCACATGCTTTTATACACATCCATAATGCTGTCCCGTTCCTTTGTGCGTTCTTCCTTCTTGAGGAAGGCCAGACCACATGTCACGATCAGATAAGCCCAGCCCCAGAAGTTCAGATAAGTGCCAAGGGAGAGCAAACCGCCCTCGCCGGGGATGGTTCGGAACCATCTGTTTGCAAAGTCCTTCGAGTTGAAAGCCAAAAAGACAGTGTAGGACAGGAAATGGCCCGCTGTCAATCCGACGGTTTGGGCGGTTGAGGCGTAGGAAATGTTAGGCGGGGACATCAAAGTGATAGCCCATCCATCCACAGCAATATCCTGGGTGGCACAGAAAAGCACCAACATAAACCACCAGTATGTGAATTTCCAGACGCCCGCACCATTATCCGCGCCGGCCTGGACCATCATATTCTCGATATGGCCACCCATATAGATCATAGCCAATCCGGCAATGACCTGCACGGGGGTGATCCAGCTCTTTCGCCGACCAAAGCGCGTGCTCCACACAGCATCGACGATAGGACTCCAAAACAATTTCAGGGAGTATGGGTATGAGGCGAGCGAGAAGATTCCAATCTGGCCGTATGAGAGGTAGGGCTTGAGCAGGAAGGGTACGGAGCCGGTGGCTAGGCCCATGGGGATTCCTTGGAGGAAGTATAACAAAACTAGCAGTAGGAAGTTGCGTCGGTCACTGCGCGGCAGGTTGTGGAAAGTTGTATTTGTCTGGATCGGAGTTTGAGGCACAACGGGCTCGTTATCGAGGGAGAAGGAAGGTCTTGACATAAGTTGTGCTGTTCTTTCGGCAGAGGTCTCGGAGGAGGGCGTGTCCCTCCTGCGCATTTCGATGCTGTTATTCATCTTGCCATTCGCACGTCCGTTTGACCCGGTAGCAACTTTTAGGTTGGGTTTGGAGCGGCGCTTCGAGAGGGTCGCGTTCTTGCGTGTCATTGAATGCTATGTTATGGTAGGGAGAGATCGCCTTCGTCAACTTCGTCCTGATTGGATCGAGGACTGAAGTTGGTATTATGATATTGAATAATGAAAGGGATGGATCGAGGGTTCAGGTTTGAAGGGGCCAGGTTCAAATACCCTATGAATCTGAGAATGAAGGAGTGAATGAGGGATATGAAAAGAAAGAAACCTCATGGATGTTTGGTGGGGGATCGAACCGGATGACAAAAAGCATGAGGCAAGCTGGCCTCTTGGCTGTGCAGATCCGGGGTGCCGGGGGAGTTATCTATTTTAATCTTTTTATATAAAAATGCTTGAACGTGGTTATGGACATGGTCATGGAAATGCATCTGAATTTGATCTCCATATGTATTGTCTCTATTTGTTACACACATAGCACTTAATGTACTATGAGATCATATCAACACAGTGGGCAGGGTTAAGCATCCATATCAGATTAATATCAGACCAATCTACTCCATAGTCCAAGGAAACCCTCAGCCTAGACACCATTGAGGCTTAGTCTACTATCAGGATCTGCCCAGGCGTTCAGATCTCGCATAAAATAATTTCGCCTGAGCCCACCTGGACATCTGATCGCGTCAGATGTTAATGTGATCACGTGTCACGAATAAACAACTCCAATCTCCAATTCCTCCTCTATATATCTGACTTAGCTTCTACGACAACGTTCCTTGTGAGAGAAATTCAAATACGCATAATCATCCCGAGAACCCTGCACAGCTCCCTAAATCAACCTTGAACCATCCAAAATGACGACAAGCACATCTCGCGTCCCCGCATCACCAGACCCAGAAGAAGAAGAACTAGACACAGAGATCGCCTCAATCCGCGCAGAAAGTAAGCACCCAAACCGAAATTCAAATCCAAATCTCACAGCTAACCTAAACCAAGTCCAAAACCTCCAAAAACACAAGCGCATTCTTGCATCCAGCCTCCTAACAACCGACCCAATCCAAAAACTCCTCCGTAAACAACCCAAACCCACCACAGCAACTCCAACCGACCCCCTAACAACAATTTCCCCCCTCGTCCACGCCGCCGGCGCACACGCCACCTCAAACCACCACCGCATAGCTTTCGGCGCAACAGCCTTCCCATTCAAAGACCCATCCCCAACAGCGCCAACCACACCCCTCCTCGGCGTGCGCATCGAGGTATGCGCGCGTAACGGCCGCTTCGCAAAACCATACTACATCCTCCTCCAATCAGAGCGGCGCGTTCCCAGTCCCAGTTCAGGTTCTACAAAGATGTTGAGGGTGTATCGACACACCGTGCCGGGATTTATCTCAATCGCGAAGCTGGAGAGTGTCTATCTACCGCGGCCTGGTGGAACACGGGCCAATGGAGATGGGAATACGGAAGGGGGTTCATCTGCTGATGAGGCCGACCCCGCGAAGCCATGGAAGAACAGCAGCCGTGTCCGGAAACAAGATTTGCGGGGGTTTGTGCGTGAGCTTCGGAGGGAGCTTGTTGCTTGGAATATGCGTGTTGATGCGGTTGAGTTCCTGCGTGAGAAATTGGGTCTTGTTGGTGAGGGTGGGGGGTCTTTGCCGTTTGATGTTTCGCCGGATCGGGATACGGGGATTGTTTTTTTGGCTGGTGTTTCGTTGGAGACGCGGTATGTGCGAGTTGAGTGGGTTGATGGTCGGGTTGGACGGTTTAAGTTGTCTAATAATGGGGTTGTGGAGCGGGCTGTTGTTATTGGTGATGAGGGTCGGGATAAGAAGATTGAGGATGCGATTACTGGTGGTGGTGGGAGAGTTGAGACGGTTTTGGATAGATTGAGGGTGGATGTGTTGTCGGGATCACCGCGGGCATGAAGTGTTTTGTTTTGTTTCGTTTTTCAGCAAGAGATACCCCAATGCTAAATGTTTAATTCGAATTTCAATTTCATTGCAGCTAAATTATAAACAGGCTTGGTATGTCTATGTAATGGTCCCTACCAAATGATATGCTATCATGAGACCAAAAAGCCGCAAGGCGTGTATGTATAGGTGACCAGTTGATCCAAAAGCAGACCAAAATTATTACAATAGGGGTAAGGGGCATGACAGGGATAGAAGCGATTAAAAGGGTATATTGAGTAGATGTCGTGTCATCGTCTCCAATTCAAAGAGCCCTACAATCCTGGCTGGGATGGATTGTATCTGGGGTTGAAGTTTCGAGTGGTGAGTGGTCTGCAACACTGGGGGTGTTGGGGGTTGTGAAGGTGAGAGTCGGCAAAGGACCATATGATTGGCCATGCCGCACCTCGAGATGCCGACGTAGGACAGCCTCTTCCAAATGCCAGCGGTGCCGCAATGTTTTCTTCTTCGTATCCAAGGCTTGCATGAGGGAGGCTTCCTCTCGTTGGTGCTCGGCTTGTAAGGTAGCAACCACCTGGAGATGTCGGTTACACATTTCGTCCAATTCTTTTTCCATACGCGCCGTGGCTTCCTGCAGCTTAACTTCTTGGCGATCACGGAGGACTTTGATTCGGGCTTCGTGGAGCTGGTCCATGCTTTTGTGGGAGTGGTATTGTTGTTCTAGCTGCTCCATGTGTTGGCGAGTGAACACACGGGCTGGGGGAGTAAACTCGGATTCCGAGAATGATTCCGAGCATCGTTCAGTTCCGGTCGAAGTTCTGGTCGATGTTCTGGTCGATGTTCTGGTCGATGTTCCGGCGGGGGATGGCGGTGGGCTGGTATTGCGGAGGAACCCCTCCATATGCTTGATGCGAGTGCGCGAGTTGATTTTGGCTCGATCGAACTCGCGTTGCTGTTCGATTTCCACCGCTAGCTGTCGCTCCTCGATTTGGGCTATGGCTTCGATGTTCTGTACAATCACTTGTTAGCTTAGAGACAAATAACTGAATTTTGTAAAGCGAACCTTCTCGCGTTTCTCTTCCTCCTGGCGCTGGTTGTCAGACTGCTGCTCTGAGAGAGCGGTCTGGTGCCGACGCCGGAGGGTACTTAAAGCGGCGTCTTGGAAGGCGAGATGTCGGCTCCTTTCCATCCGATGCCGCTCGTGCACCTCACTTAGCTCCGGATCGTCCAGACTTCTTTGTAGCATCTCTTTGCTGAACAAAGGAATTGCCAACCTAGGAAGTGAAGCCTCGGTTCTCGCATGGGGTGGGGCATTCTCATGGGCAGCATTATTAGGTTCTGGTTTAGGTTCGAAGAAAACGTGTTCAACGCCTTTGTCGCCGGTGGATACATTCATGCGCGGATCCGAGGGCAAGACAAGGGCCGAGGACGTGCGCTTCTTGCGGAAATGGATTCTCCCAATGGCAGACTTCAGGCTGCTCCGTCGCTTCTCCTTCTTGTCGGCAGAGGCGACGCTGAGAATTGAATGCCGATGCGACTTGGCCTCGAATGGATCATTGTATCCGTGCCCGGTAAGGCCCGTTTTCCCCTCACTAGAGCAAAACGAAGTCGGGCGCGTAGACAGCGAAGCCAGCGATCGCGTACTGCCTGCCTTAATGCGATCCGACGCAAGTGTGACATCCGACAGCGACGCAACGATCTGATCGAGCACGGATGAGACCGGGGAGGATGGGTCGTGGGACGGGGTGACGGAGCCGCACGCGGAATTCCGATCGGTGGACGATCCAGAAGACAGGACTGGGGAGGTAAGATCGACCATTCCTGAGGCAATCGAGGCTAGTGGCGCCGATTTTGGAATCTCTGGCACTTGCAGGCCTAGTTGTTGAGCTTCTTCAGCTAGATGTCGCGCCTGCGCTGCTTCGGATTCGGGTGAGGGGTGGTGGAGGACATGGGCGCGATATTGGGCCTCATCGAAGATGGCCTCGGTGCTCGACTCCATATGTACAAGTTATACGAGGTATGTGGCGCCTAACCAGCGGGCGCACATAGGCAAAGTCAGCTAAGAATAATACTCGTCCACATGGACAAGATGTGTTCTATGACGGCATCCAAGGGAGTTCCAGGATGAGAGTAGAAGTTAAGAGGGTCAAAGCAATAAGGGGCCAGAAAGTAGAAAGGGGAAACAATCACGCCCTTTGGGTTTCCTCATGATTTTTTTCGTTTTAGGCAATTTCTAGTAATAAAAAATAATCAAAGACCCACGAGTGGCCCTGACGCAATCCCTTCCGGGACAATGGAGTTTTGAAACGGGCTAAGCTTAAGAGGGTTTTATATTGGATTGGTTAAGCTATAACCGTTTATATACTAGTGAGTTAAATTATATAGTATAGTCCCCAGAAATACTGTTCTATCATTGCACAAATTAAACATCTCGGCATTTGTATAGTCTTGCGCCAACGCGCATTTCCCAACTCTATACATTTGATGCCTGGGTCACATCCCTTGAAGCTCGACCATATGGGGAAGGTAGGGCTTAGGGCTTATTGGAATAGCCTCGGTTCCACTATGCATCATGCCATAGATCAGGCCAGGAACAGGAGATATCAGGAGAAAACTAGGTGGAATATAAGACTAGCTCCCGTTCAACATGTCAAATGCCAGTTGATATGCCCGCTCTTTCGCTTGGTATTGCGGTGTTCCCACCCTCGTGCTCTTATCCCATCCATGACTACACCCTGGCATGCGCTCGCTGACCACATGTCGGTCATCCAATGTCTTGATTCTCCGGGCCAATTCCTCTCCCTCAAGTGCAAGTGTATCGCCATCAACGGTGATTATAAGGACACGTCGTGGGAATCGATCCACCTGTGCATAGAGCGGTGAAATTCGCGGATCCCGCTTGTCGACGGATGAGGGGATATAGCAGCGGTCGAAGAGGCGCATGACAGGAAGAGGAATTACAAAGTCCCCACGGGCCGGGGCGATCTTCGAAGCAGGATCAGGGGTGAGATCGGTCACAGGATAAATCGATATCAGGGAGCGGAAGGTATCGCGAGGGAAGAGGCTTGAAGCAGCTACCAGCGCCAGGTTACCACCAGCACTAAATCCAGATATAGATACACGGGTCAAGTCGAATTCAGCTGGACATGTGAACACATATTTGATCGCGTCTTCCACATCGTTCAGCGCTGCGGGGAAGGGGTGTTCTGGTGCGAGACGGTAGCGGACGTCCAAGACAGTGTGTTTGGTTTCGTGACTGATTCGTCGACAAAACTCATCGTCACCGCCATGGAGGGGTATCACGAAGCCACTTCCGTGAAAGTTGATTAGGACAGGACATGGGCCGGCGCTGGACGGTCGATACAGATGAACCTTGATCGTTCGGCCGACATCTCGGGACTTGATTTGGCGGATTTCATCTGGAGTGGCTGATACATTTCTGCCAAAGCCCATGAATGTTCGGATGATAAATGCGAAGCATTTGTTATAACAATATATGAGATTATCCATAGTTGGCCTGGAAGGATGCCGTATGTTGAAGTTGGGTCTCAGCCGAGGCATGGGCTTGAGGATGCCACTGGTGATCTCCACCCTTGTCTAGTCTATGCTGACGTCTTGCGGTGCCTAGCCCGAAGTCACTAGCTGGAAATCGACTACCCTATGTTATTTCTCGTTTCTAATAACATGCTATCTATCCAATAATACTCTTTTAAACATCTAGTAACTAACTAACAAGGCGATATGTATGCCCGAATTTGAAGGCACCCATGCAGCATACAGTGTAACTCTCCCCCAACAATCTGACAATCGAACTGACTGGGGTGACCGTACTAAGTCTGACACTCGCACTTTATCCATATTATTCTACAAATACTCTAGTTCTTATAATCTGTGTAATATGAACTACGCGAATGCTCAAGTGCGTTGATATATCTCAACGCTCGTGGTGGTATTGAAGCTCCTATCAATTAGCTCTCAATTCCCCGCATTAGGAGAATTCCACGCAGAGCCTCATTGCTTTCCACGCACCTTATCTGCCAATCAAAACGACCGCCTGCCGTCGTCACGCTCCCCAACACCCATGCCATCGCATCTACTATTTCACTTTTGGAGTCACAAGTGGTCTGGAAAATAATCATTTCAGTGTCTAAAATCAGCAGTCTTGTTATTCATTAACCAAACAAAGACAGCTTATTCACCTGGACAGGAGTGCTGAGTGTTCTCGCTTTCAATATCGCAATCTACACGCAATTTACAGGATGTCCACCAAAGTCCACCCCGTCGACACTAATTTCACAGTCTTTATACGCTTACCATTTCCCAGGGGAGACTTTGTCGACCCACCACCTGCAAGTCTCCCCAAATTAAGCCCCGTGACCCTGCGCTGACGTCAATAGGTGGAATGGAATGCATCTAAAGACCAAGCGCTATGGGATATCCTTTCTCGGCCATCTAAAGGCGACATAGACTGTATGTATTACTCTGTTTTTCAGGTCTAGCTTTGCTTTCCTTTAGCACCACTGACATCACAATAGGGAAAGCTCTGTAATTGCAGTCTGCCCCGAGCACACTTCCAAGCTAAGGACTGCTAACATGGTAGTTTAGGGCAGAGAACTTCGACGTCACATTGCAGTTCCTTCTTCAACAGGCGGCATGGCTTTATGATCGCCAGCTCTCGCAGGTTCGGGCTCAAATGCGGAAGGTCGGCACTACGCAGTCGAACGCTCCTTCCCCAGCTCCAGGATCTGTCTCTGGTAGTACGGCCCTGGGTGAACAGTCACAAAGAGAAACGCCAGTACCAGGTATATCCCGTACTTCACTCTATATTCACTGCTATCTAATACTGACCATCCAGGTTCTCGGGCGCCATCACGGCAAGTATCTCAACAGAAAGATCTTCCTCTACGAGGTATGGACCGAAACCCTCCCCATTTTCGTGCAGAACTTTTGATATCGCCATTGAATCGAACGCTTTTAACATTGATTCTAGCCCCTGAGAACCGACGTATGAGCTTTACATCAACTACGGCTACTAATCAAACTCGTGGATCTCGTGACCCTGCACGCATCGGCACGCCGACAACTGAGGACAAAGAACCACGCTGGGATTCTTTTGGTCGTCGGCCTTCGGCTGTGAAACGAGAACAGCCACCAATAGCGTCTTTGCCCCGATCTCCAACACTCGAGGAAGAGTCTCTATCCTCAAGCTCGTCGGAAGAGTCAGCATCCGACGACGAAGACACTAGGCGTGCGCCCCGGTTCAAACGGTTTGGCAAATTTTCTACCCATCGCTCCGGTCTCCGGAATGATGAGGATGACGAAGAAGATACCCCCGCGTTCCTCCCCCTATCCCGAGAGCACGAGCATACCCATCGGGAGCGACCAGTCCAGGAACTCAGCGCTACCCTCCGTTCAGATGCCGAGCGAGCAGCGGCACAACGGCGACGTCCCGATCAGTGGTCTGGCCCCAGGGCAACAGTAGCTATGGGGTCATCCACCAGCTCCATGAGCTCCGGTGGAGCCAGACGGACCAGCGAGGGGGCATCGATACTGAGCCCGCTGCGCACTGCCGAACGCCAAAATTCGCGCAAGTCCACCGCGTCCGGTCGCGAAACTAGCGATGGTACCCCTAGCATGGGAAGCAGCTTCAGTGATCTCGACGGTATGTGTCCCAACCCCGAGGATTCTGCATTTCAACTGATCGACTGGTCAGATGCAAGCGTTACCCAGTCAGCCCTGGAGGAGGCCCTTCTAAGCAATATGCAGCATGGTGGGATGGCGAGTCGGATGAGTACCATCAGTCAAGCCTTGCGCAGCCGGTATCTGCAGTGAGATTCATACATAGCAACATATATTTTTACATATAAAATGTACCTAGCTATGTGTATGATGTAGCTTTTGCGGGACACCCCGCATATGGCATCCACGTGACTGGCACCTCGGCACGTCGGTGATGTGCACCAGTGACATTTTGATCTTCTGGGAGTAAGGGAGCTCTCTATACCCAGATATTCCAAGTATTCACAGTCACGGATCGGTCAAACGGGAGCGCTAGTCCCGGATCAGGTTCAGTCTCAACGCACCATATGATGGAGGGGTAGCTCAACCTAGCTATCCAGTTCCCTTTGAAAACGCAAGTTGAATGTACAACACAAAGAAAAACTCGATATTTTGAATAAACGAGACTCTCGGTCAATCGTGGAGAGCTGACAGGTATCAAAGAACCTGAAACCCCACCAAGTCCTTAAAAGCGAGCGGCACCCCTCGGCATCTTATTAACTTCATTTCACCTGAACGACAGATCGTCCGTTCGCAGTTGTGCAATCCTTTTTCTCCCGAAGCCTTTCTATCATTCACAATGGCCGCCCCATTAGTCGGCGAAATGCCTCCAGCGGAAGCAGAATCCGTCTACTTCAATGAATACCCCCCACCAAAGGCACTACCCCGACATGAAACCCTCGCACGCGCATTCATTGACCTCCACGTGGAGGAAAGCAGACGCGTCGTTCTCGTCACATCCGGAGGCACAACAGTACCACTTGAAGCGCAAACCGTACGCTTCATTGACAATTTCTCCGCCGGAACTCGAGGCGCCACATCGGCTGAGTACTTCCTTGAGCAGGGGTACGCCGTGATCTTCCTCCACCGGCAATACAGTCTCCTCCCGTACTCGCGGCACTACAGCCACTCGACCAATTGCTTCCTAGACTTCATGGACGAGGCGCCGGCGTCGGCGGACTCCCCAACCCCGGCCATGGGCCTATCATGGTGCGTGACGAGTACCAAGATCAGATGCGCAGCGTGCTGCGGAAATACCGCTACGCGAAGCAGCATAACCGTCTCCTCCTGTTGCCGTTCACGACGGTCTCGGAATACATGTTCGAGCTGCGGTCGATCGCGAAGTTGATGCGCCCACTTGGCCCGACTGCGCTCTTCTACCTTGCGGCTGCTGTCAGCGATTTCTTCATTCCACGCAGTCGCATGGCAGAGCACAAGATCCAGTCTGGTGAGTTGCCCCCGCACATGCAGGGCAGCGCAATCTCATCGGATGAAATCTACACGGGCGAGAACGAGGAAAAGCCCTCCTCCAATAGCAAGAAGCTCGTTGTCAACCTCGATCCCGTGCCCAAGTTCCTACACCAGTTGGTGGATGGATGGGCCCCGGAGGGAAGTATGGTTGTCTCATTCAAACTGGAGACAGATCCCTCGCTGCTTGTCTACAAAGCGCGCACTGCGCTGCAGCGCTACTCTCACCATCTGGTGATTGGAAACTTGCTTTCTACGCGCAAGTGGGAGGTTGTTTTCATTACCCCTGAGGAGCCTCATGAGCGCTGGATCCGGGTCCCCAAGACCAGGCGCAGCAAGAGTATCTCTGGTGTTGAGGATCTGGTTGGGTTGGCGGAGGCTAAGAAGGGGAATTCGACAACGTTGGAGCAGGCGGATGCTCAGCAGATTGATGAGAGCAGTCGGGATGGAATTGAGATCGAGAGTCTCATTATTCCGGAGTTGGTTAAGCTGCACACGAAGATGATTGAGAAGAAGACGCAACCTGCGCAGTGATGTTTCGAGGGATGTAAAATTCAATACGAAAAAAAATAATGGGTCTTGTCGGTCTTGTAGGTGATTCAATTAGTGCTGGGTTCCGTGCAGTGCTATGTATCCTTGGAGTTTTTATGTTTCACACTTTCATATCAATAGTTTTAGTCTTGTGCATATCCCAGCCCAGACTAAATCATTACAGAATAGCATATTATATACCTGCCTGACACATTGTCAGCTCTTGAATATTCCAAAAATATGCCTTGAAGCCCTGCACTGCCGCTGATCCCAGTGGATCCTGACGTCGTGCGGGACCCGGAAGCTCTTCACCCCTGAAGAACTGAAGCCTTGGAATATCTCTTAATTATATTAACTATTGTATCCGAAGGAAATATCTGATTCAAGGGGCAACTATTTGAAACCTCCAAATTCCACCTGGCCTACGCGTCCCCGATGTGTCAGCAACCAGCGAACGTCGATCATCCTAGCGCCTTTCCCCAGTTCGTTGCTCTTTTGGTTAACAGCAGAGGGGGAAAACGGTTAACGGTCTTTCATCTGAGCACTGCTAAGGAAAGAAAATGACCAATTGATCTCTCTTCTGTGTTCGGCGTATTCATATTCCTCATGATGGTCCCCCGCCGGTTCAGTCGTCGCCTTCTTGCAGTTGCAACCGCCATTGCCTTCTTCTTCTTCTACCACATCGGCACATTCTCCAGTCACAATCGCCAATGGCGTCCTCACTTCATAACAACACCAGATATCCCCCCGGTCCTCGATGAGAACGGGGAACCGGCCCCATTCTGTCCACCCTTACCCGGCATTGAAGATGTACTCGTGGTAATGAAGACCGGAGTGACAGAATCCCGCGAGAAAGTCCCCATCCACTTCAAAACCACCCTACGATGCATCCCCCACTTCGTAATCTACTCCGATTTCGAAGAAGAAATCGAAGGCGTCAAAATCCACGATGTCCTCCGTCACATGGACACCTCCGCAAAGAACAACCCGGACTTCGACTTCTACCACCGCATCCTCAAATATGGCCGCAAGGGACTTGAACAGCAAGATTTCGCCGACGAAGCCAACTCCGCAATCGGAAAACCAAACAACCCAGGCTGGAAACTCGATAAATGGAAGTTCCTCCCAATGGCACAGGAAGCGCTACGCTACAAGCCAGACGCGAAATGGTTCATCTTCATCGAAGCAGACACATACATCTCCTGGCCAACGGTCCTAACCTGGCTGGCCCGGTTCGACAACACAAAACCACACTATCTCGGCACGGAAACTCAGATCGCAGACGTCATCTTCGCCCACGGTGGCTCGGGGTTCATGCTCTCAAACCCAGCCCTACAGCGTGCCTCCGACGAATACAGTGCGCGCGAAGTCGAGCTGAACACATTCACAGACCAGCATTGGGCCGGCGACTGTGTGCTCGGAAAGGTCCTGAGCGACGCAGGCGTCAATCTACACTTCACATGGCCGATCCTCCAAAACTCCAACCTAGGCGAACTGGACGAGTTCACTACAGACTTCTACCGGAAACCATGGTGTTTCATCGCCGTATCCCTCCACCACCTCTCACCAGGTGATATCGAGAAACTATGGAAATTCGAACAAATGCGCTGGCGTGATGTGAGTTAACCCAATCTCCCTCCCCGTCCATCCCATAACATTATAATTACAACATTCCTAACCCTATCCCAATAGAAAAACAAACGCATCCTCCTCCACGGCGACCTCTTCCGCGAATACATCGCCCCAGACATAAACACCCAACCCACCCGCCAAAACTGGAATAACATGGCCAGCGACGAACAACCCTTCGCCAAAACCTTCGAAGACTGTCGCTTGATCTGCGAGACGCAGAAAACATGTGTCCAATTTGCCTTCCGCGAAGATAAATGCTTCACGGGTCTCAATCCACGTCTCGGACATGCCGTTCCGGGCGGCGATGCGACGTCTGCTTGGATCACAACTCGGATTCGCGCTATGACGGAGAAGCAAGGGTTGTGTCGGAAGCCTGATTTCGGGGATTGAGAAGTCTAACCGTGCTTGGATATTGATATTGCTTTTGCTCTTTTGGGAAAATCGTGCTACAATATGTTGTTGTTTTTGCTATCTATGTTTTTATTTGATTTGCTATTGCTTGCATCAAGAGCGGAATGCTCTGGCGATTGCTTGGGTTTGGAGCATGCCGAGTTATTTGGGCTCGGTCTGGAGAACTTTGGTTTTTTTCTTTCCTCCCGTGTTCCTGTACTACCATATTCTGTGTTCTGTGGCTGATCATTAGCTTGAATAGACAAGCTGTGCTCCTGGCGTTGGTGTTGGTTGAACCCTTTTATATACTTGCTTGATCGCTCAATACACATTTTGACATGCTTGGTCACATTCCCATTTCGGTTTAGTGGAATCGCAAGCATTGTTTCTTCTATCATTCATTCACTGGTCTAAAATGTACCTGTAAGAGAGTAAACGAACGAAAGCTAGCATTGCTCGGACGGCGTCTGGACACCAATTAGGAGAGAGAGATTATAGACTTAATAATATATAAACAAGACAGGGCCTGCTGTGAGGCTGTGCATATTTCACGGCATTGTCCATTCACAACGGTGGAGCGGATGGATCCTCCAGACACTGATCAATTCGCATGATGCGGTAACCAGCGTTCTTGATATGTCGAATGAACTCCGGTAGGTACCCAATGGTAGTCGGATTCAGGTAGTGCATGACGGCAAGATTCCCGCCCCTGTCCACACCGCGGTAGAAGGCTTCGAGCTGCTTCTCTGGGGTGGACGTATTTGCCCATAGCCAGTCTTCAACGTCGACACTCCAATTCACAATGTACGGGTTTGAAATGTGTTGGGCTAGCTCCTGGCGCAGCCGGGCAGCTACTGTACCGAATGGCGGGCGGAAGTATGAAGCTGCAGATTTCACCATGTCAGAATCGTTTTCAATGAAGCATTAGAGGTTGACATACACTCGATGTTGAGCTGATGTTTGAACACTTGCACAGCCTGAATAATCTCATCGTCGATCTCACGGATGGTTCTCAATGATTCCATCCTAGATCTCCATGTCAGCCTCTTCATGAAATCCAATACTCAGAGTAGACTTACTTTGGATGTGTGTTCGAATGGAGCGCCACTTGGTGCCCCTTCTTCAACATCTCCTTATAGAACTCCGTGAAATTGCTCGACCGATCCCTGAGTCCAGCCCCGACAACGAAGAATGTAACCCGAACATCCTCCTCGTCAAGGATGCGCATGACCCGCTGAGAGAACTGGGGCTGTCCATCATCGATACCAAACGCAAAGGAATTTGGACGGGAGCAACGGAGAACCAGTCTCCCACTAGGCAGCTTTCCAGGTATATGATAGCGACCATTTTCCCGCGACGGCATTGGAATATCAGGCACGATCTCCACATGATGCAGAGTAATAGCCTCATTGGTATAGAATCCATGGAACGAAACCGAGACGACACGATTGAAATCGATATGAAAGTGGGTCAGAGGGATATAAAGCTCACGACGTCCATTTGGAAGTTCAGCATGGCCTTTGGGGGCCTTACGTTGACCGCCCTTTGATTTTCTATGCTTGTGTTTTTTCTTCCAAGCATCCGCGTCCGTATCATCGTCGTCGTCATCCCAGTCATCGTCATCGTCATCATCATCGTCGTCCCAATCATCATCTTTCCCATAGGCCTCGGTGGTAGGACGAACTACATACCGGTCCGCCTGGACGGAGTCTGCAACGCCGGGGAAGGGCCTACGTCTCGGGTTGCATTCGTCGTTGTGTTGATTGAAAGAGACGCTGAATTGATCCGTGCCCTCAAAGATAACATGCAGGTACTCGTTGAACCAAGGTAGAAGGCTATAGCAGGTGTTGGAATCGAACTGTGTGTGGAAGTTCTGGTCCGGGTCTGTTGGGAACAGACGAATGAAGCCCGGTCCATGTTGTACGGATAGGTTTTCACCGGCGCCGTGCCAGAATCCTAGGTCGTTGTGGGTTGGCTGTTGGAAAGTATCGATGACAAGAGGAGGGCTTACTTTCTTTGCCGAGACGTTGTACGTAGTGTTGTGGGTGAGCCCTCGGAGTTCGTTCCAGTGGCCGTGGTCAACATTTCCGTGAAATAAAGCTGAGGATAGGAGGAATGACGAAAGAGCGGCAGAACTTATGAATAACCAATGCATGATGTAAAGTTGCCTTGACAAAAGATTGAATGTGCTTTGGTTGAAGAAGTCAAGGTGGAAGTTTTCGAAAGCACCGTCTATGTACTCGGAGCAGTCCAAAGAGTCAAGAACGATTGACACATTTACACAGGCAGGAGCTATATATTCCAGTGTACATCTCTACATTACTTTCTACAATCCACTGTTTACAATTTACACGGGAAATGAAAAATGAAACTAGATAATTGCATAAAACCCATGAAATCCGTGTTGCGGCACATCTTCCTGACCTTTGCATCCATATCACCGTAGTCGTTGTCGCAGTGCAGTCACGAGAAAGCCAATCCAGTCCTGATACGAGATGCAGGAGAAAAGGTCGTTCCACAGATCCAGGTAGCAGATGGTCGAGAGATCAAGCCCTCAAAACTTCCTCCAGGGCCACATAATGTGAGATCTGATCATCTTCATCCAGGCTAAAAGTCAATTTTCCTCTCCGTTGGAACTCTTTCGTTTCCAATTTTTTTGTTTTACTTTTCTTTTTCTTGTTTCAGTAATTCGTGTTTGTTGGCATCTTTCGCGCTTAGCATGACCAGAGAGCGAGAAGTCGAGCTCTATTGCCAGAATGGATCTTCATCCTCGGTAGGGGGATCTTTAGGGGCCCAGCCAGAAGCGTGAACACCACTCTGACGAGCTTCCTGCTTGCGCTCATTCTCACGCTCCTTCTTGCGTTCTGCGGGGGTGGGTGCGGGTCCCCACCATTTAGAAGTGTCCTCCGAGTTGGATTTGGCAGCGGGCTTGGGAGCAACGGGCTCATCATCATCGACAGTTTCCTTGTTGGCATCTTCGCCATCGCTTGCAACAACCTTGTCACTCTCCTCGGCCACACCAGATTCCGCGGCAGCAGATTCAGCTTCAGCTTCACCATCCGCGTCAGAGCCAGCATCAGAGCCAGCATCAGAACCAGCGTTAGATGGGTTCTCGAAGAAGTCCTTATTAGAGTCATCGTCAAACTCCAGCACGTCACCCTCAGGGCGGTACGATTCGAGGAACTCTGGAATCTCTTGCCTGCATTCGACCAAGATCTTAACAAGGTCCTCGGCAAGATCCTCATCGCGTTCATTGTAGAAAGAGGTCGCGATTCCTTCGTTTCCAATGCGAGCAGTACGGCCTGTCGATAGTAGAAAGAAATATTAGAGGAAGGGTCATCAAGAGTTTTAGGAAAAGGGGGTATTGAGTTGGAGTAACACTTACCAATACGGTGAATGTATTCAGTGATACCTCCGTGAATACTGCTGGGGAGATCGTAGTTCACGACGTGGAGCACATTGATCACATCGAGTCCACGGGCAGAGACGCCGGTAGCAACCATGATGGGACACTTTGCAGATCGGAAGGCACGCCTGTTTTGGTGGGTCAGCAAATTAAGACACAATAACAGAAGAAACGAATACTCACATAGCATCCTCGCGTTCACGCTGGGTGCGTCCACTGTGAATCGAAGTGGTGGGCATTCCAGAGTTGTAGAGGTAATCGTCGACGAAGTCAACCTGCTCCTTGCTGTTGACAAAGATCAAGGTGCGAACAGGTGGCATGCTGATCAAAAGGTCGTAAATGGCGCGCATCTTCTTGTCTTTATCAACCCAGACGACCTTGAAGTTTCACTAAGCGTTAGCATTGATCTGAAACCCCACAAGTTCTTCACGATTTGGGGGCATGCATACTTCCTGCACGACGTTGTGGTGCGAACTGCCGGCTCGGCCAACGCGGAGGCGCACATGGTCCTGGCTGAGGTATTGCTTTGCAAGTTTGCGGAAGTCCTTGTTGAAGGTAGCGGAGAACATCATGTAGCGATGGTCGTCATCCTCGTTCATATCTTCCTCGAATTAGCAAGACCGAAACGCAGAAACGCAGTAAAGGCGGGGTGATGAGCGCGCGCTAGGGCAAACACTTTTAGTTACTTACCTCCTCCAGACATGATCTTCTTGAACTCGTCTTCCCAGTCGGAGTCAAGCATTTCGTCTGCCTCGTCAATGACGGTGTATCTGAAGCGTTATTAGCATACAATATCGCACCGATCAATATCAGGTGAGTGGCAGGCATACCTAACGCGTCGGAGAGAAAGAACGTGAGTCTGTTCCATGAAATCGATAAGACGCCCAGGAGTGGCAATCAGAATATCGCAACCTTTCTGAAGTTCCTCACGCTGGAGACGGGAAGGAGCACCGCCATAAGCGACACATGGACGCAGCATGGAACGATAGCACAAACGACGTGATTCATCAAATATCTGAGTAGCCAATTCGCGAGTTGGACAAACAATCAGGACCAGTGGCTCTGCTCGAACAGCATCCTCCCTCGGGTTGAATCTTTCTGCGGTGTTGGGGCGAGGAGCAGCCAGCTTCCTTGCCTTACCCATTAACTTGGAAAGAATTGGAATTAGGAAGGCCCCCGTCTTTCCAGAGCCTGTGTTTTGTCAGTACCCATTTGTGCCAAACACCATACTCGGCAGCACATACCAGTTTGAGCTACAGCGATAAGATCCAGGTTGTTGAGAACAGCTGGGATTGCATACGACTGCACTGCAGTGGGCTGTTCGTACCCACAGAGACGAATGTTCTCCAGCATAACCGGGTGCAAACCAAAGTTAACCCACTATGAATTGTCAGATTGATCAATTGTTCCTAGGCTTCTTTCGCAGACTGACCTCGGTAACCGCCTTGATCTCATTGGGACTCTCGATGTTGACCTTGTAGCTATTCAGCCTGGGGAAGAAGACATGTTAGATATCAAATTGGTGTGCGAAGATTAGATTCGAATCACTTACTCCTCGAGCTTCGCTCCAGGGCGAATAATCAGGTCGCCACGGAAGAGCTGCTCCTCTAATTCAGGGACGGCAGGGCCAACGTCACCATATTCATCCTTCCACTCATAACGGACGGCAACTCCAGCCCAATCACGATGATTCTTGCTATTAGCAAGCTCAGAATATTCGAAAGGAACTGGATCAGTCCAACCCTTCTCACGAGCAACTCGTTTGACAGACTCGGCGTTAGGGCCAACACCAGAAAGCACGCCCTCAAGAGGCAACTCCCCAGCATTGGAACCGGCCACCGAAGCAACTTCAGCAACCGGGACGGAGTCGACAGCGGAGGCGCTGCCAGCAGCCGACGCAACCTCGGGCTCTTGGGATTCCATTACGATTGCGAATCAGTGTCTCAGCGATCCCGTATCAAGAAAGGTGATGGGTGGACAGGTGTTGGAAGAGGAAAGAGCGAAGAGCAGATTTTGAACACTCAGATCTAAAATATCTACGGAGCAAACGAAAACAACGCGTTCCAACACGCGGGATGACAACAGACTGGATTGCGGCAATTACCTTGTTCGTCACTGGTACTTCAAGGTCACACCAACTTAATATGGAGCACCCTAATATACGGAAGTATACTGGATGTACCTCTTTCGATTCGGGAAGGAGCCACCCATCCAACACCTATATACTAGGTAGTTCTGGATCACAATATTACTATGCCCATTACTACTACTACTACTACTACCACTAGTTACTACTACTACTACTCCCTAAGTAGTAAAATAATAGGTAAGCTATAACCCCTATGTTATCTAATCGTGTCTACACATACATTAGATATTGATATTGGTGCTCCGATTATACAATATCAAGACCGCCTTTCACCAGTTTCGTCCAATCCATCTAGATATTTCATTCAACCCCCTCACGACCGATTCTATAGAGAGATGTTTACAGTTAATTTCATTTCAGTTCGTTCTGAGAGCAATCTGAGGCGCCAAACAACTCATTTCCCATGTGTAGACTGGGCAATCGATTACCGATCTATACATCGATTGATATGTCGATCTATAGAAGTTTTGAAGATAGACAAAGCCTCGGGACATATTAGCTCCTCGGCTTCAGGGAAAAAGTGGATCGCCGAAACCCCGTGGGCCCGTTCCGGGTAGAAGGAGATATACGCAGTAAGCCTGGGAACGGGTACCTTCTTTGTCTCCAGCGACTTTACCTCCTCCACGACACTCATCATGGCTTCCGAACGTATAGATACCACTCGGAAGCGTCCCAATCGTTTGGAAGCTGCAATCACCAATCCCGGTGCCGTCAAGATCAATGTCACGGGCGCGTTTATCGTCGATGACGAGCCACGATCCAAAAGCCCCGTCGATGCGGAGGGTGTGCATTACGAAAACAAGGATATTCGACTTCCGCATCATACAGGCGTTGTGAGCCATGTCGCTGTCGATGTGAGTTGAGAAATTATTTTCACTGCCCCGCACTACCGGTTCCCCCGCAATCTAGGGGCCGTGAAGATAATTTGTTCGAACAGCAAAAGAAAACTTGGCTAACGGGACATTCGGGCTTGGGTAGATTGGCGGAACACTTGCGAAGCTTGTTTATTTCACAAGAGAGCCGGATACCGCGGATAACGGCGGTCGGCTCAATTTTCTCAACTTTGAAACGCACCGGATCGATCTATGCATCAACTTCATTCGACAGCTGAAGGAGGAACACGAAAAGCGGAATGGTTCAACACGAGAGGGACTGTGTGTGGTAGCTACTGGAGGTGGCGCATACAAGTACTACGATCGATTGAAGGATGAATTAAATGTTAATATTCTACGGGAAGAGGAGATGGAATGCCTGATCATTGGTAAGTCCTGGAACATGTCTAATTGCAGAGTATACTATCTAACATTTCAAAACAGGACTGGACTTTTTCATTACCGAGATCCCCAACGAAGTCTTCACTTACAGCGATGCCGATGCTGAACCGATGCAATACGCCGAAGCCCGAGCCGATGTCTACCCCTATCTCCTCGTCAATATAGGATCAGGCGTTTCGATGATAAAAGTCTCCGGTCCCAGACAGTTCGAGCGTGTAGGCGGAACCCATCTCGGTGGTGGAACGTTCTGGGGCCTCATGTCATTGTTGACCGGCTCCCGGACCTTTGACGACATGCTAGCAATGGCCGACCGCGGTGACAATAGTGCAGTAGACATGCTTGTGGGAGATATATACGGCATGGACTACACCAAGATTGGGTTGAAGAGCACAGCTATTGCCAGTACTTTCGGCAAGGTGCTCCGGTTGAAAAACGATGCCGAGCAAGGGGCCGAGGACGGTGAGGGCTTGATTCGCGGCGACCCTAGTGACGCCAGCGAGTCCAGTGAGTCCAGCCATGGACCCAAGCCCAATCCGGAAGATATGAGCCGGAGTTTGCTCTACGCTATCAGGTATGTTTCATTCTTTCCATTGTCCGAAAGTCCAAACTAACCCCGTTTAGTAATAATATTGGTCAGATTGCATATCTGCAGTCAGAAAAACACTCAGTCAAACACATTTACTTCGGAGGCTCCTTCATTCGGGGTCACCGGCAAACGATGAACACCCTCTCCTACGCCATCCGCTTCTGGTCCAAGGGCGAGAAGCAAGCGTATTTCCTGCGCCATGAGGGCTACCTAGGTGCCGTTGGTGCCTTCATCCGACGCCAGCCGCAAAACTGGGGTCGCAGAAACAGTGTTGACGACGTGGTTGCACCGCAGGCGGTCCGAAACCTCGTTCAAAATAACAATGTCCTTCAACAACATGGCAGGTCGTCCAGTGAGCTATAACATTTGTTACTAAACCATTGTGACCCTACCCTCCCTCCGTTTTGAGTCTTGATACCCCTGGAAAGCAATCTTTGAACTACCAATGTTGTGCCGACTTCTTTTGTGCACTGAGTGGCTGCTTTGGCCACCTGTGAAAAGCCAATGTGGCAATTCGGGCATTTATCCATGTTGTACATTTAGATCTGAAGTTTTCTAGCGTCCTGTTTGAACTTCAAACATGTTCGGTTATCATGTTAGAGAAATAAATTCCATATTTCATTCCTTTTTGTTACTGGCTGTGTACTTTAACGTGTGATCTCAGCGCATCAACAAAGGGCCTTTGAGCTGAGGTCTGCTTGAGCGGGAGATTCGAATGCGGATAATTCTCAATGCTCTACTATTTTAATGTACAATAATATTCAAGATATCTCCTCGGAATGACATGCTGTGGACTATATCCGACCGGAGGCCCAGAGATCCATATCTCGACCCACCGTCTCGAAATTATAGGAGCGTGGGATCGTATGGGTTGTTGACAAGATTAGTAGTGGTCGTCTCATCGGTACAGCACTGGCTATACTTCCTACTGCGATCGATGAGACAGTTATCCCTGAAGTCCAAATCACGATATTCGGCAGGCCATGTTGCTTCGATCTTGCAAAGAGGTTTCACTTGACCAGGAGTTTTGTCACCGTTGAACTTGGCATAGATGGTAGCCTTGTTGCTCTCACCACCCTGGTACATCACGTCTAGTACTGTCAGCCTGGTTCCCCAATGAAACGATTACACCACTTACTGTATGGTCCACCGAATGTCTCGCAGCGCTTTGAATCATTGATCACAATACAGCCCCTGCTGACATGCTATTGACTGACTTAGTCGCGGTTAGGAGTAAGAGATAGACATTTTAGCAGACTTACGATATCGGTACCCTTGTTAAGTTCTTTCATAAGGTCTGCCAACCCAGGGTCATCCGGCTCAGGGATTGCCAAAACTGGGGTAGGCACAGGAATTGCTACTGTGGAAAAGCCTCGGGTGGTCTCGAAGGTAGCTAGACCACTCACTGAGATGGCAAACTGGGCCAAAATGCTGAGTTCTAGGAATCGCATCTTGAAGTGAAGATCAGATAAACGTGATATTTATGAAGAGGTGGATAATAAGTAATTGAATCGGCGTGCTGCGGATGTCCTTTATATATCACTTTTATCTTCATGTGCCCTTGAGGAATTTATCTCACGCCACCGACTAGAAAGGGTGAAAGGTAAACGGGTGGTTTTGCAGTACTGTTGAGGCAATATGAGACCACTGGCCAGAACGGGTAAATGGTACCTAAACCAGTTTTATGAAACACCACTACGACGGGGCAAAGGCTTTTTGAAGGTATAGCTAGAGACAAATCCTACCCTCCTCCCGCTGTTAGTCTTAATCCATGAACTACTAATGTTGTGCTAGTTTCTTCTTTGCACACTAGAGTGGCTGCTTTAATTAGCCAGTTGTGAAAGGCCAATACGATCAGCACGCAGGCTTCGGCCCTGTCATGGCTTTTGGATAGTACTTTTAGTTGTCTTTGTTGATGTCTTCTCAGATATACTCCGTAGATATCATGGTGTAGCGTGGTTGAGAAATGGGTCGATGGATAATGACAACTATGCACTTGTCCCGATTGGCAAATCATTTTGTGCGCGTTCGAGGTATTCCTGCGCTTAACAGGGCCATATCTACTTTAATTCTTGTTACGGACTTCGTCATGGGCCCAGAATATGACTGATCTTGACATTCGCCTACGGGATATTGTCTAGCGAGAAGACTCTCTGATCAACCAATGCGAAACAGCAGAGGATCTAGTAGAAGATCCAAAGAAACGACCGCAATAATTAGCCGAGTGATATGCAGAGCTGCGAAATATCGAGCGGAGTTACTGGAGCGTGGAGCGGATGACATACTCTATCCCGTCGGTCCTTCCTGGCGGGGATATCTCTCTCTTCGAAAATTGCCACAATGGTGCCTTATCCCCTGGTTGATCGAGGATTGTCCAAGATGCGGCTGCTGTGGCCGAGCATGCGGATGTTGTTCGGCCATGCACATTGTACAAAAACGTGCGGTTGCTGTCTCCAGGCTCGAGGGGTTCTCTTAGATGAGAAACAAGACAGAGTATGCCAGCCGACTATTGACGTCAAGCGAGGCTTGTCTGGGTGCGATTGGTATGATCCCTACATGTTACAAGCTTACACTTTTGGCTTGTTCATGCATCGAAAAAGGATATTCCCATTCCTGGAATAAAAGATCCAACCAAGGCTTGCGCGTTATGCTTTTAGTTTTGCTCCAATCAATCTAACTCTTGTAGTAGCTTTTTCCTTCGCATGTACTTATTTCGGAGACTCCTTTGAATAGCTCGCTGATACGGCTGTCGCGCTCTATAGAAGATGTATAAGGAAGTTTAAGATCTAATAATCATTGACTATATGGATTGACTTCTACTAAACGTTAGAAGAAGGTAATTTGGTAGGATATAAGAAAGCTCACAGTTAGAGAAATAATTATCATTCCTCGCTCCTGTTTCTACCGGACTACGAATTTTAATGGTCTCATTCCAGTTCTCTCAGTTCGCATCTAATATTGGATTACCCGTGTTAGTCGTCCATATGATGTCGTTTAGTCCGCACATCTTGCATTCTCATCTTCTCGTGTCATTGGCTTCAACTTCTATTCTCATCCCCATGGCGGCTCCTTCCGGCTTTGTCTATTGCAGACTATTCACATTCTTCCTGTAAAGAGCCCTCAAGTTGTCACCTCAACTTGAAGCTTCGCTTAATTTGATCCCAATTTCAGTTCTACTACGATTTATTTGCGTTTAATTTCTGTTTCTTGCGTCACATTCACTCTTGCTACTACCGCTTCTCACTTTTTATCTTTTGATCATCTTTCTACCCTTCTCCTACCTGTTATATCCTCATTCTACAAACTCTTTATTTTCTTTGATCTTCTGTCTACTTATTCATATCACTATGGCGGAAAGCGTCATTCACGATATTGCGGATCAGCTGGAAAGCCTCACAGCGCAATCTCCGACTGCTCAGGATGTTGAGGTGCCTCAGCCCGCTCCTCAGGGCTCTGTTCTCAATGAACCGGAAGGGATCGATGCGCTTGTCTCAACACCCACCCTGTCTGATTTGACAGATATCGATGAAGCACTCCTAGAAGGGCCAACAGACCCAGTTCATGTGTCCCAATCAATTTCCCCAGGGACCCATTTCATAAGTCCTACTGCTCCGCGGGTCAGTTACCACGTCTCCGCATCTGGCGAAGTAATCATCACGGAAGAAGCCCAAACCGCCGTGTCGGCGGCTCCTGATCTTGAATCTCGACCAACTCTACCTCCTGCGTTTATATCCTTCGATCGAGTTGCGAAGGGCTTGTCGCCAAAGTCAAAAGCTTCGCCCACCACCGCTACCAAGCAAGCTCCTTCCTTGGCAGTGGAGCGCATCATTGGGCCGAAGCAACCAATCCCGGGCCGAATCCTCGAGCTTCTTGAGGAATGGCATGAGGATGCTCCAGACACCGAACATCCGGCCGCTTTGACTGGCCGTGCGCCATCAACCTGGAAGAATTTCCAGGTGTTCAATGAAGATGGCGACGAGTCTGAGCTATCCATTTTTCAGATCTCGCTGAAAGGCCAGTCCCGCCGCAACGTAACATACCGAATTATGATCCTTCATGCACAGAACGGGCCAGAAGACCTCGTCGTCTATGGAAACCCTCGCCCCAAGCTCAAAGGACCTTCGGGCAAGGGTACCAGGGGGCTGTACCTAATTGACTGGCTTGAGATCGAGCAAAAGGGAGAGGTGCAGGCATGTGGGATCAAACTGTGGAGAATGGATGAGAAGGGCATCACGTTCAGCCCACACATGTTTGATGATGGACGGAAGTGTACTCGGCTGCCTGGAGCGAACGACATTTTCAACACGCGTGTCTCGAGTTCAACCCCGAAGAAGCAGATTGAGTCAAATGAGGATATCGACGAGGCGGAGTCCAACCCATCTGAGCCACCTTATTCTCCCTTGAGGTCTAAGCGCCAAATCTCAACTAACACCAAAGCCGAGACCGACGACGAATACAGAACTCCAGGTATCTCATTCCCCACATGGGAAAAGAATTCCTGGCCAGGTCCCACTTCGGAAAATCATGAGCGATTTTATCCTCTCGGAAGTCCCTGGAGACCCTCTCAAAAAAGGCGCCGCGGGACTGTGGGTTCCATCGCCTCTAACGATGAACCAACTATCTCTATCCGATACAAGCTGATGTCAGACGTTTCTGATCAGGTGCGCATCTTTAAAACTGATGATGCCAAGATTGTGTTCCAAAAGGCCCGTGAATTTTACAAAAGCCTGGACAAGCGAACGGGATTGCTGTGCACTGTTCCTGGTGTGCCGGGAGTAAGATACGTGGGGGAGGGGTGTGCTGATGAATTTGACATCCTTCAGGAGGATATCCGCAAGACACCTTCTCCTGTTGAAGACCGGGTTGTCGAGGTCAAGCCCGCTATGGGCTTCTAGATCCTGGTAATATGACTTGTGGGAATTACCTGGTGAGACTGTGTGTGACCAAAAGACTATAGAGCGAGCGATAATTTTGACTACTAGCTGGTCTTCGTCGTTCTTGGTGTGGTTGGCCTGGTGGTCATTGCGACAATCTTGACTTGTTTATTTTACGTCAAGAAAATCTTCATCCAAATATGTGGAAGTCCGCGCGTTTGCGCACGTGTATTTCTGTGCACCTATTTCAAAAACATGAAAATAGAAAAAAATGAACATTTGTCAGATTACTTTATGGTCCATATAGTCAGTGGTCTAGTAAATATCGCCGTATTCATTGTGTGGAGACCAGGTCAAAATTGGGGATTCCCAGAGCCCACTATACCTAGGTCTGTGTCTATCATCCTTTTTAAGACTTGTTGTGGTGTCGATTCTCGGTAATTGTCTAGATGGCTAGGTTGGGGGCTTTTTGGAGCCCTTTGCGTATTTTATGCTGGTTTTGGAAACATAATCTGAGTGGATGCGAGATATATACCTTGGAACATTACAAGCAAACAGGATGCATAAGCCGCGAAAAGGGGTGGATCGTCAAGCTCACCATATCGGAAGAGACACACATCTATTCTACACATTTGAAAGTCAAAAACAGACCAGAGGCCTCTTATACCACCTAAGAAATGATTCCCAATGACTCGGCCAACCAGGGCTGATGAGGTCACGTGCCATCTATAGATAACTGCTGAATCAGCCTGCAGATGTGAGGTCCGCGGGCTGGGCACGCCCTCGTTGACAGCTGCCACCTCAACATTAACATCGGGCTTATTTTCTTCTCACGCCATGACCAGACGCTAGTTCTACCTGTGCTCGATGACGTCTCCTCCCCCGATCCCCGTCGACACCCATCCCAACCGCGCCCCTGGGTCCAAGTCTCCTGAGCTTGAACGGTCCCTCCCCGACCCCAATCGACTAGCGCCCGAGGATGCGTACTTCGCACCCTCACTCTCGCGCGCCCGCTCAGCGCCTACAAACTACGAGGAAAGTCTGCGGTCGTTGAATGGCGATAACGGAGCCCATCTTGGGTCTGCTGCGGCGTTGCGGAAGAAGTTGGGCGGTGCTCCACGGCGTCGAAAGCGGAAGGGTGCTTGGAAGAAGTTGCTTTGGGTTAAGCAATCGTGTATGTCTGCTGTGGGCCTGAGTCCTGTACAGGTCTCGAGGCTGGTGTTGCGCTGTTACTGACGGTCGATTTATAGATCCGGATAATTATACCGATACGGAAACGTTCCTCGATCACCTTCAGCGTAATCCTCGAGTGCGGCCGTACGATTTCTGGCCTCTGGTGGCTGATTCGACTGTGATTGTGCAACATGTGTGTTCGGTGGTTATCTTTGTTTGCTGCTTCGTTGGCATTGTCCAAGATCGAGTGAGCCCCGTCTCAATTGTCTGCTGGGGAAGTGTCGGTACGGCTGTGGGCTGGATTCTGTGGGATAATTGGATCTGGAAGGAGCATGAAGAATCCGTGCAAAGTACAGATGGTATTACCGGAGGCGATGATGGATCCAGTTCGGCTTCATTTGCTAGCGCCAACGATCCACCCGCCAATGACGCACAATCCGATGATACCAAGATGAACGCCATTCACGGCCTTGGGCTGTCTATGTCTGGAAATGAATCAAAAGAGCAATTCGCCCGTCGAAGTGCGGATTTCAGCGAAAGCATTGACGCAGTGGCTAATCTGACAGCGCAAAGTGCTGTCCCATCTGCTCCAGGCACCTCCGTCATTGGCACTACGGACCCGCCGATATCGCAATATACTCCTCGCGTTTCGATGCTATCACCACGCAACCGCCAGCGCTTGACTACGGTCAAGTCCGCCTTCCTTATTTACTTCTCCCTCCTGGGCCTCAGTCCCATCTTGAAATCTCTTACCAAGTCCACCGCCAGTGACTCTATCTGGGCGATGAGCTGTTGGCTTTTAATCATGAATATATTCTCTTTCGACTATGGGAGCGGGGAAGGCGCAGGCGCCACCACCAAGTTCCCTGCTTCTTTGTCCACCAACGCAGCTGTGATGGCCTCGACCGTACTTGCATCCCGGCTGCCGTCTACAACTCACGTGTTCAGTCTCATGTTGTTCTCGATGGAAGTGTTTGGGCTGTTCCCCATCTTCCGGCGCCAGCTGCGGCAGAAATCATGGACTGGTCATGTTCTTCTGACACTGGCCCTTGTGATTGTTACCGGTGGCGCTGTTGGTGTTACGATGAGCGGCGGATGGGCAGGAGCCATCATTGGGTCTGTCCTAGGAAGTATCCTGACAGCCTTTGTTATGGGCGGGTGCAGTTGGTGGCTTATCAGCTTGCAAAAGTACAAGAACGTCGTGATCGGTCCTTGGGATCCTGCCCGGCCGATCATTCGACGCCACTGGAACTAAGCCCCGTATTTGACTATTGATGACTTTTAGCGCCATATGTAATATAGATTGTGGGCGTTTGGATGTTCTTGTTGCTTATACCCCTAGATCAATCTCATTCTTTGAAACATCCTCGACGTTTCAGCTGCCTTTGTTCCGTATAGTTTTTTTTCCCCATGACAGTATTTGAGTCAGATTGTGACAAATATCCCTCAAATAATAGGAACATTGGACATTATAACCGGTTTTAATCCACATGGTCATTGGGCTCTAAGGGGGGAATGCGGGCTTGCAAGGCCATGAATGTACAAATTCGGCATACCAAACTAATATATTGTAAACATTGAACTTCCTTGCACCATTTACCTGCGAAGGAAAAGTGGCTGATACTTGAAACGTCTCGATTGGGATCATGGACCCTTAATCTATTTTTACCTATCAATAATTGGGGCCAATATCTAGTTCAGGCAGCCCAAACTCCCTTGGCATTCCACAGCCGCTTCTTAGCGCCCGTTGCCCTTGCTTAGCGCCTAGAACCTTTTCTTTTTCTCCCAAGGCTTTATGAGCTCAATTTGATGAATAGTTGGATACTGACTGGCCAATTACTGTCCAGCGATGAGACATTCCCGAAAGGAATGGTCCACATGCCCCGCATAGACAGACGATCTGGAATAAGGCGCATGACAGCCCTGAGATCATCCTGGTATGTTCTGGTCCATGCGTTTTGGGACTCGATACTTATATCTATACCTGACCTTCTTTGTCCTTGAAATCACTCTCCATTCTTTCATCTATCACTTTGCTCGCTTGGAGGCTGCTTTTCGACCCTCAACAGACTGGGTATCTGTTTATATATTCTTTCCTGATTCCCTGGTCTACCTTTCGACCTGTCTATAAGCATATCACGAATATCGCATATCTGATCCCCATCATGTTCAAACGCCTCGCACTTGGCCTGTTGGCCATTCAGTCCGTGGCTGCCACACGCTTTGCCATGTACATTGACGAGTTAGTACAAACTGGTGGAATTGATCTACATACCCCGAGACCAAGGCTAATACCTATCCAAGATACCATGTAACCGCTCTCCCAGGCAAGGACAAGACCGAGGGCATCGACTACGCCATTATGAGCTTCGCTGCCTCAAAGCTATTCAACTCGGACTCGCCCGCAGCCTACAAGCCATTTGAGGCCCCCGAGACCATGCGCAAGCGCTTCAGCCCAGATACCAAGCTAATGGTCGCCATTGGTGGCTGGGGTGACACCGCTGGCTTCTCCGAGGGAGCAAAAGACGAAGCTTCGCGCACGCGATATGCCAAGAACGTGGCTGCGATGCTCGACGCACATGGATTCGATGGTGTCGGTAAGATATCTCCGACAATGCTCTCCGAATAAACTAAAAGAAGTAGGGGACTAATTTTATATAAACAGATATTGACTGGGAATATCCCGGCGGCAACGGCCAAGACTACAAAGACGTCCCCAACTCAAAGAAAGTGAGCGAGATCGAAACCTATCCTCTCTTCCTCGCAGCTCTCCGCAAAGCCATCGGCAACAAGGTTCTCTCTATCGCAGTACCTGGTCGGAAGCAGGACTTCATCGCCTTCACCAAGGAACAGGGCCCTAAGATTTTCAAGTCTGTCGATATCATCAATGTCATGAGCTATGATCTGACCAACCGTCGCGATAACGTTACCAACCACGCTAGCGGCGTGCAGGGATCCCTAGACACTATCAACGAGTATCTTGCAATTGGGGCTGATCCCGAGAAGATCAATCTCGGCTTCGCGTACTACGCCAAATGGTTCACCACCGACCCTAACTCCGATTGTAATGAGAACCCTCTCGGATGCCAACTTGCGAAGCTCGAGAACGACGATGGATCGGACAATGGCAAGTCTGGTGCTTTGACCTTCGAGGCTGGAACGATGGCTGCTGCACCTAAGGATCTGAAGGAAGGCACTACCGGAGTGTGTGGATTTTCAGCGAAGGCCAAGTGCCCATCGGGGCAGTGTTGCAGTTCTTCCGGATACTGGTATGCATAATATTCCACTAGTCCTGATTTTGGTATCTGAACTAACTTTCAATAGTGGTACGACCGATGAGTTCTGCCAGTCTGGATGTCTCTCTGACTACGGTACCTGCAAGGGGGTATCTATTATCGGTTCATGGCGCAAAGCCGAGAAGAATGGCAAGACCGATGCCAAGGGCGGTGGTCAGTACTACTTCGATAGTGAGAACAATATCTTCTGGACCTGGGATACCCCCGAGTTGATTGCCCGCAAGTTCAAGGAAATCGTCGCTGTGAAGAAGCTTGGTGGTGTCATGGCTTGGAGCTTGGGCGAGGATACCTACAAGTTTGAGCACTTGGCTGCTATGCAGAAGGGTCTCAAGTCTCATCCTCCCAAAGTTGGTGTGCCTCCTCCCAAGGCTGATGTGCCTCCCAAAGCTGAGACGGACTGTGCATAGTGAATGCAGTTACTCTGAGTTTGTGAAAAGAGATACCAGATTGTTTTTGGCATATATTATGATGCTTTATTGCTTCAAAATCGACATTTGATTCCCCCTGTTTTATTGTTTTCTTTGTTCTACCTAGTCTCGCCTATTGCTCATT